CTGATGAATAATGAATAGGCCGGGCGTACGTCGAAGTTGTCGTGCATCAAGCACGCTAGATCTGTGGATACTGGTTGTACAGCAGATTTGTAATTTTATGCCGGCCCCAAACATACGGAATTCAGTTTCGGGATTCCATTTCGGAATTCCGATTCGGGATTACAGACGCCGCTCACACACCTATGGTAGTTTTCCATTCGAAATTTTGCGGGTAAAACGAGATTCTGTATGTGTGTGACTGACCTTTTTTCTTTTTTTTATAGAAGAGGGGGCAAACGAGCATGCGGCTCACCTAATGTTAAGTGACTACCGCTGCACATGATTAACCGCAACACCAGGGGAATTGCAGGTGCATTGCCGGCCCTTTAGAAAGGAGTAAGTTTTTTACTTGAAGGTCCCTAGGACAAATCTAGGAAAAATCGCCGGTGGTAAACTATTCCACAGAGAGGTCGTACGCGGAAGAAAACCTTGTGAAGCGTACAGTGGTGGACCGCCAAGCATCCAGATGGTGTGGATGGTATCGGGACGTTTGCCGCGTAGTGCGTTCACGAAATTTGGCGGCTGGGATTAATCCGAACAATTCCTCAGAGCACTCCCGTGGTATATGCGAAAGAAAATGCAAAAGGATGCAACATCTCTTCATTGCGCCAGTGTATCGAGCCGGTCGGAAAGCACTCGGTCGTCGACGATTCGAGCCGCTCTGCGCTGAATGCGGTCAAGTGGAAGAAGCTGGCACTGGGAAGCCCCAGACCAGAGATGGGAACAGTATTCCATGTGCGGCTGAACCTGCGCCTTGTAAACTTGCAAGCGGTGTGCCGGCATGAAATACCGGAACACTCCGCTGAGCACGCCCAGCTTTTTTGAGGCCGATTTGGCTTTCACTTCCAAGTGACCGCGAAACTGCAAGTCACTCGATATGTCGACGCCGAGGATTCCTATACTGGCTGAGGCAACAAGGGCAGTGCCTTGAAACTGAGGAGATACAACAAAGTGGTTCGTTTTAGCGGTTAACGCGCAAACTTGTGACTTCTGAGGGTTAAACTGGACTAGATTTAGTCGCCGCAAATCCGAGAATTTGTGTAGCGAAGACTCTAAGAAGAAATATTGGCACGGCCGGTGTAAAGAGCATCACCAGTGCTGTCATTTGCATAGTAATGTATGTTACGGGCTTGCAACATTTCATTCATATGCAGAAGAAACAGCGTTGGCGATAGCATGGAGCCTTGTAGAACACCAGCATTAATAGACTTGTAGTCGGAGCTTGCACCGTCTACAACGACCTTGATGCTCCGATCTGCAAGAAAGCTGGTGATCCAATTGTACAATTTCTCGGGAAGCCCATAGGAAGGGAGCTTCGAAAGAAGCGCTTTGTACCAAACCCTATCGAAGGCCTTCGCAATGTCCAAACTAACGACCAATGCCTCCCCATTGGACCCTACTGGATGTCCTGGAAGAGGAGTGCTTTGCGAACCGAGCGCTGTGTGAACTGCACCTCCGGCATGAAGCACTCACACCGCGGGATGGTCGGCGGCGTACTCCCCCCCGTCGAGAGTCGGCTTTCTCCTTTGCGGTATGGGCCAGTGAGTCGTCCTCCCTGTGAAGAGATGGAAGAGATGGCTGACAGAAATTCCCCTGGACAGCCTTGGCGAGAGACCGGAATTCACGGGTTTCAGAAGGAAGGTGAACTAGTTTCTCGCCAATTCTGCTTATGTGCTCTGACTTTGCGTTGGCAATTACTCTTTTGAAGACTTGGAGGCAAAATTATACTTCTTTTTTAGAACGCTGGTGTTTACATCCCGGGATATTGATGCGTCAGCTCACGCTTGGTAGCACTCCTGCTTATAGCATGATCTAGACACGCGGTAGCCAGTGGCGAAGCTAGAGCTCCAAGCTAGGGCAAGCCCAAGATATAAACTGATAAAAATATAGATTGTTGTTTTTTCTGGCGCACCAGAACACATGGCGCGCCTTCCTCCACGGCCTCCAATTACGTCTGTGCAACAGACGCCCCCGCGTCCCATGCACAAAGGCCATGGGGCCAGGAAAAACGAGCACTTAGAAGTACTAGCCTTCCCGACCCCAGCGGCGGATCTGGTCTATGGCTCCGCCGCCAACCAAGATTCGGCTGCGGAGGGTAGGGAGAGCGGCGCCTCGCAATACCGACAATCCTCTCCCCCCGCAGCCCCACCACCACCGCATCAACGGTGCGGCCCCGTTTGAGTCGCGGAGGATAGGGCGAGTGGCGCATCGCCATACCAACACTCCCCTTCCTCCGCGACTCCACCTCGGCTGCAGCGGTAGGTGGGGAGGACACACCTCTCACCGCAGTCCACCAACACACATCCAAAGTGGGCTTCCCAAGCCCACTCGGAGTGGCCACCTCGGGCCGGCCCTCCACCTCGGACCAGCCATATGGGTTCCTCTTTGTTTCGCCGTGGGTGACCAAGCCACGGCTTCTAAGCCCCCCGCCACGACAAGGCGGGAACCCGTTCAGGGGGGACAATATATTATCCTAAGTTATAAGAAGAAACGATATTTTATGTTGTTATAAATAAATTTCAGGGCTGACCATTGAACTTGGCACCCATTTAGATCTTACTTCTTTTGTCGTTGAAGTCAAAAACCAAGGCATATATCATAATATTGAACCTGGCTCTCATTTCACATTTATGTTTTTGATGGGATGCTATTTTACAGGAGCGACCAAACCATGGCTGAGATTTGCTTCCGATCGGTATCACAGAGGAACGAATAAAAAGTTTCATACCTTGTAGTACCACATCAGCGACAGAATCCGCAAAAACGTTGCAAAGAAAGACCGCATGCTATCCCAATCGGCTGACCTATAGTGCCAAACACTTCAGCGTGAGTGGCACCACACTCTGGACAAAACAATGGTCCGAAGAGCCTAAAGGGGCGTCGACGGAAATCTGATATCCGTCCGGCTGAGAGGTCAGCAGAAGGTCCAACAGGGAAGGTGCATGATCCTCCACATCTGAAATTCGCGTGGGCGAAGTAACCAATTGTGTCAAACCATATGTCTCCTCGTATGATCGGTTAAACGTGAACTAAGCCATTCGGCGTGATGGGCGTTAAAATCGCCAAGGATCACGATCTCAGCGGAGGGAATCTGCTGTAGCAACGAATCCGTAGCCATTTGGACGTGGTTGAAGAGTCGGTCTGTTTCGGCATTACCACTATGGGACCCATAGAGGCACCCGTCGACGCGCGGATGGCCGTCGCTGTCTACGCGTAGCCAAATGATGGACAGGTCCGAACCTTCAAGACTGCCGAGGCGTCGAGAACAGATGTCCTCTCTGACGTAAACGCAAATTCCAGCTCGAGGCACAAAGGAGTATTCCAGTTTGTACCCCGGGCAGGAGAGATACGAGACAGCAGACGGATAGGACACCTGTGTCTCGGTCAGAAAGAGCAGAGCCGGCCTCGCCGTCTCGAGATGGTAGTGGACGGCGTTTAGGTTAGAGTGAAGTCCCCTGATATTGCAGAAATTCACGGATAGCAAGGCAGGGATCGCCTTGGTCTTGTTGCTCCGTTTGCCCCGAGCAGTTGTAGTCTTGAGCGGAATTTTGCCCTCCCCAGAATACTCGGGGTAGCCTGAGCACCAACGCTCAGGAGTGGAGTAACTTGGTCGTGGATGCTCAGCGAGGTATTCTCCAGGGGTGCTGGCACCCTCCTGGGGTAGTCTAACATTTAATTCCGCTACCATGTTGATGACGGGGGGGGGAATTGGGCCTCCGGCCACCTGCACTCACCAGACGAAACGCGGAAGCAGAGCTTGCACTTCACGCCGGTATTATGTGAGTTCATGGTACCACTTCGGTTTGAGCCGGCCCATACGTGCAACAGCACGAAGCAGCAGGTGGCTCAGGACCGTACTTTGTGGCATACCTTGGGGTAGGTCTATGTTCAGCAGTGGACTTGTGAAGGGCTGTAATGATGATAATCAGTCGGACTATTTGTTCCAGGTAAACATACTCGTCAATTCGACCGTAGTGCCCCAAAACTACCGGCATAAGTGTGACATGGACATTAAACATGATCTTTTGTCCATGTTCATCTTAAGACCTATCCGTTGGGAGACACTATTGAGGTCATTGAGCATAGTGCTTAGGTCCTCCAGCGATTCTGCTATAAGGACTATATCGTCGGCAAATCGAAGGTGAGTGATGTACTCGCCATTCATGTTAATACCGTATCCTTTCCAGTCCAGTAGCTTGAAAACATCTTCTATATGACATAACGCCACCCTGTCTTACACCTCTCTGCAGTTGGATAGGTTTCGTACTCTGGTTCTGTACTCGGATAGCCATCGTAGCACTACTGTACAAACACTTCAGCACTTCAATATACCGACAGTCTACTTAGCACCGTTGGGAGTTAGCAAGGGACTGTAGCACCGCCCAAATTTCGACGGAATCAAAGGCTTTCTCATAGTTCACATACGCCAGGCAAAGTGGCAGATTGTATACTCTTCGGACTTCTGTACAATTAGCCGAAGGGTATGTGTGTGGTCTATAGTGCTAAAGCCTTTTCGGAAACCGGCTTGTTCGGGAGGCTGGAAGTCGTCGAGTCTGCGTGCGAGACTATTCGTAATGACTTTCGAGAACAGCACATAGACGCGACTCAGAAGGGATATACGGTCTATAGTTCTTCAAGAGAGCGTTGTCATCTTTCTTGAAGAACACGACCACCGCACTTCTGCTCTACGCCTCGGTAGTAGCGTCACTATGGGGGACGGAATTAAAGAGCTTCTGAAGAATTTCAAGTACGGGTTCTCCACCCGCTTTCAGAAGCTCCGCTGTAATTACATCCTCACCCGGGGACTTGCTGTTTTTAAGGTGCTGGAGAGCCATTCTAATCTCGCTCAGGCTGACGTCCGGGATATCATCGGAATAGTGTCGGATAAGACTTTCTCCTGGATCGTTACTCACACTTGCGTGTGGCTCCGACGATGACGTGTACAGCTGCCCATAGAACTTCTAAATCTCACTAAAAATCTCAGGTGTCCCGGAAACGATGCTGCTACACTCATTCTTTAGCTTCGACAGTTGGCTATTTCTGATAGACAGATCCCTGGCAAAGACTTTGGAGCCTTGGTTCCGCTCGATCACTTCTTCAATATGAGCTGTACTGAAGTTGCGTAAGTCCCGCCGCATGTATTTGGGTATCCGTCTATTCAGTTGCCTGTATGCTGCCAAATCTGCTGAAGACTGCAACTTCATTACCCGTCCAACAGCCATGAGATTAAGAGTGTGATGGGAGAGTTTTTGTGTTCTTCTGCGGTGGGTCTTACAGAACTTAGCTCCGACCGCATTGAACGTTTTCACGAGCTTGTCATTCATATCGTCCACTGCATTGTAACCTTCTAGGCAATGAAAACGGTCTGTAACTCTAGCTGAAAGATTTCAAGACTTTGGATTAGAGCACGAGGGGGACGGAGCGTTGACTTCATTAGACGAGATCTCTCCAACTTAATGTTTATGTTCAGTGTGCCTCTCACCATTCGGTGATCGCTGCCAGTTTTCACCCTCGCGATCACTGAGAAATCACTGAACATTTAGCGTCTGGTTGTCATAATGAAGTCAATCTCGTTTTTTGTCGAACCGTCGGGGCTCGACCAGATCAACTTCCTGTGGCGCCGCTTCTGGAAGAAAGAGTTAATCATAAAGAGTCCTTTCTTTCATTTGTCCATGAAGTCGGCCAGCTGCTGGCCCCTTGGGTTCCGTTACCTTATTCCAAATTTCCCTAACTTCAGCTCACCGCTTTCTCTTGTGCCTATTTTTGCGTTGAAGTCTCCCGTCAACACCGTATAGTGGGTTTTGGAGGAATGCACGTCTCTAGAGATATCCTCATACATTTCCTCTAATTCCTCATCGGGATGTGCCAAGGTTGGTGCATAAACCTGTATGACCTTCAGCGAATACCGTTTGGTGAATCTGAGTATCAGGTACGCGACCATCGTCCACACACTCTCAATCTTTCCAACATTGTTGACGAGAGACTTGTGGACGATAAATCCGACATCTCCTTGGGACAGATGGTCGCCCTCCCGGTGATAGAACCTCCTCATCTCCTGTGTCCTCCTCATCTCTTCGGACCTCGGACAATCCAATTATATGCTATAATATTCCAGCGCTTGTCTATCTCTTCTTCCATCTCCAGTATCTTCTCGTTAGTCCCCAGCGTGCGTGCGTTATATGTTGCCAGGTCGAATCGTCGTAGGTGGCAACCGAACCTCCACCGGAGATTCTTAGCACCCTCTGCCCGTCGTTACCATGGTCGCCACCGTAGCCAGAAATAGCGGGGCCGCCGGAGACTGGGGGCCGTTTTTTTGTGTCGTTCCTTATGGGGGGATGTTTGCCATAGTTGCCACGCTTGGCGAGCGGGTTGGCAAGCGCAGTTTCTTTATTGTATAGCTGTTGTTAACAGGAAGATGCTGCTGCCCATCTTCTGCCTGCCTCCCTCTGTCGCCTCTTACGACACCCACGGGAACATATGTGGTAGTGGATATTCTCAGCCGCCACTGCACGGCAAGTCCGTGTAGTGGCGGCTGAGAATATCCGTCGTAGTCCGACTTGGTAAGTCCAACTTCGATCGAGAGGACAATATACGGATTCAACTCAGTTGGGCAGCGTTTGGGAAATTATGACGCATCTCATCAGTTATACTTCAAAACCTTAAAACGAGACTGTACAATCAGTGCGAGCCATGCTCGGGATTTCTCTGCGTGATAAACATACGTTAGAAATGAGGATATCCGCAGTAGAACCAGAGTGACCGAAATAGCCCAACGGATTAGTAACTTGATGTGGCAATGGGCCGGCCATAAAGCTCGAATAACCGACAACAGATAGAGAAAAAAGGTTCTCGATCGGCCTCTGGCAGCTTCGTACCGGTAGGCAAAGTGCAGGGTAACTCCCCACTAGATGAAGTGACGACCTGATAAGTCATGCAGGAATTAATGGATGCAGGTGGCTGAGGACCGTGCTTTGTGGCATTTCCTGGAGGAGGCCTATGTTCAGCAATGGACTTGTGAGGGGCTTGTGAAGGAATGATGATTTTTTTACTTATTATAAGCCAGTGCTTAACCACAATCCCACCTGGTGGTAAGTGGTGATGCAGCCTTAGATGCTAAATCGTCTTAGTGTAAAAAAAGCCTATTCACTCTTGCCTTGATGCCAGATTGTATTTGGACGGAAAGATAGGCGCTGGCAAATTATTCCACTCCTTTGCTGTACGCATTAAAAAGTCGAAGCAAACCGTCTGGTTCTAATGCGTGAAATATCGACAACAAAGGGGTGAAGACCAGCCGACCGCCTGGTCGTCCCATGGTTGAAAGGAGAGGGAGGAATTAAGAGGATACCTTGAAAATGAATCGTCGTTTTGGGGGCGTGGCTTATTCCTTTGTAGGTGAAGCTCACGGACTGAGGGAGTGTCAAAATTAAAGTAATGCAATGACATCATAATACGCAAATTATGAGATAACTATACCGAGGAAGCGCTCGGAAAAAAAAACTAAGTAAGCGCCAAACAACATTTTTATTTTTTTAGCAAAAATTTGTTATGGATTAAAAAAATGGTTTAAGAGAACTTAGATATGAATATTTACTATGCCAAAATAATTCCATGAACTTATTTTTAAAAATATTGTGTTGTCATGGAGAAATATAACTAATTAGAGCCTAGTTTGCAATTTTTTTTTATCGAGAAAATTACATGATATCGTGTTTTCCTTTTATGTAATCCAAGGTCATATAGTCAAGAATCTTCACTTAAAAACACGTTTAGTAGAAAAACCACTAAATTTTCGTGGTATTACCTTAAAGCGCGTAATTCCTGCGCACTCTCATCGAAATGCATCCTATAGAAAACTAGATCCTATAGTTAGACTGGCTACCCCGCGCCTCTGTTCGAGGCTAGCAAGGTTAGTTTCAACCAAATCAAGGTCACCAATAAGCCTCTCGGCATGTCTCTACTGAGCCATACAGCCTTCATAAATCTCAAGGGATGCACAGAGGCCAGCGTAATCATGTGCTCAGCCTATCCCGGCGAGAACTCAGATCCTACCATCGAGTTAAAACGAGTGGCGGAGTTCGCCCGAAAACACAACACCGAACTTGTGGTGGGTTGTGATGCTATACATAGTGTTCACCACCCAGCCTGGGGAAGCACTAACATCAACGAAAGAGGCGAGTTACTTTATGATTTTCTCATCTCTAACCGCCTGGTAAGCCTAAGCTTAGAGTGTACACCAACCTTTGTTACGCGTGCTAGGCAAGAAGTGTTAGACATAACCTTTGCTACCAATAACATGTCCAAGCGGATAAATGACCGGCATGTTGGTAGTGAAAACTCGATGTCTGATCATAACATATTAAGTTTGTGTTTGGATTATCACTAACCTATGAAACCGTTGATTTTAGGGATCCAAAAGCTACCTCCTGGGATATCTACAGAGATATAGCCTAAGGAAGAATTTGGAAACTTCCTTAAAAGCATTAAAACGATTGAAGGTCTGGAGTTAACGATGGAGACAGTAATCCTAGGTATCCGTGAAGCCTTCGAGGACAGTTGTCCCGTCAAAACCAAGACCTCAACAAGAAAAGTTCCTTAATGGAATACTAAGCTCAAAGAACTTAAGGAAAAGACCAGGAAACTATTTAATAGGGCTAAGAAAATCAAAGAGTGTGATATTTTTAGTGCATCCCTAACTGAATATAATAAAGAAATTAGGAAAGCCAAGAGAGCATCGAGGAAGTTTGGTCAAGGTGTGCGAGGAAGTTGAGTCTTTGCCTCGCAGTGCAAGACTACAAAAAATTCTATCGAAAGCTAAACCTAATCAGATCGGGCTTCATAAAAAGCCTGGTGGTAACTTCACTAACAGTGAAACGCAAGACAAGACTTAAGCCTTAATTCTTTTAGAGCCTTACAAAGGCCTTGTAATAAGGACTGGTGTAGGGCTGCAAAGATAATAAGGCCAAACCTGGTGCAGTGGGCTGTTGACTCCTTAAAACCATTTAAAACAACCGGGGAGGATGGAATAATTCCCATCCAACTGGTGAAAATCTTTAGAGCAAGTTTTGCATGGGAATATATTCCAGAACGATGGACAATTGTCAAAGTTCTATTTATACCTAAGGCTGGTAGAAAGGACTACGCTTTACCAAAGTCTTTTAGACCCATAAGCTTATCTTCCTTTTTCGTTAAGACATTGGAAAAGGTTATAGATAGATATATAAGGGATGTAGCTCTAGCTACGAGGCCCATACATTACAACCAGCATGCTTACCGCAGAGGCAAATCTACGGAAACAGCCCAGATCAGTGTCATTGACAGGATCGAAAAAGCACTGGAGGATAAAAAATAGCTCTTGGTGCCTTTCTAAATATTGAGGGCGCCTTCGACAGTAGCCCCTCATTAATGCTGATTGGGGGCCTGACATCTAAAAATGTTGACCCCACAACCATCAGATGGGTGAAGTCGATGCTCTCAAACAGAAACGCAAAAGTAGTGCTGTTTCAAACTACGATTGAGATTGCAACTACAAGATACTGCCCACAGGGAGCTGTTTTGTCACCCCTTCTTTGGACTCTTGCGGTTGACCAACTATTGTACAAAATGGCAGATCAACGCATTGACACACTAGGTTATGCTGATGACCTTGTGATCATTGCGAGGGGCTTTTGCCAAAGTACTTTATCGTCAATAATACAAAGAGCCCTAAACACCATAAATAACTGGTGTAGGGATAACAGTTTATCAGTTAATGCTGATAAAACTGTTATAATACCCTTTACTAAAAAGTGACGGTTGGACAAATTACTCCCATCAAAACTTAATGGTAAAGCACTACTATTTTCCACTGAAGTTAAGTACTTGAGCGTAACAATCGACAAAAAACTAACGTGGAACTCTCATCTTAGCAACATATGCCATAAGGCTTGCTTTAGGTAAGTGCAGTCGTTCGGTCGGCAACAACTGGGGCTTACGTCACAGTATGGTCCTATGGCTGTAGTAGCAGCATAGTGAGGCCGATTCTCACCTACGCCTCTAGTGTCTGGTGTAACAAGGCCAACCAAAAGACGACTGCGGACGGACTAAATGGTCTACAAAGACCGTCCGCTTAATGGCAACTGGAGCTATGCGATCATCGCCTGGAGCGGCTCTTAATGAACTTCTATGCCTAAGGGTCAGCACAGACCGAACTGCAAAATGCTCGCGCATGCTCGAGCAAAATTTTGACTACTCGACCATGCAGGCGGCATCCGCGCGCTTCCGTGAGCAAGATCCATTGAAAGTGCTCTGGGTTGCTAGGGGGAACTGCATGACCAATTTGATGCCAAAATCCGACGTTGTTAGACGTGTTCAATATGATCGATTGAGACTTGGTGATTGGTGTACATGAAGAACATATTAATGTAATCAGACGTCAGAAAATTAGAAGAACAGTATGGGTAGAAGAAACGCGTAGATTCTTTCCCAAGCATTAGGCTTTTAACATACGATCGCTGTATGTTGGACTTATATATTGTACAGTTTTTTCGCTGCGGCAATACTTAGCGCGGGCGGTGGCGGTGGCGGTGCGAGCGCGCTCGCGCATGCTCGAACATGCATCCTGCAAGCTCGAGCATGGTCGAGCATCACGTTTGGACGTGTATATAATTTTGCACTGTCTGTCAATAGTAATAAAATTAATATTTTAGTGTTCTCCGAAAATGCTCTGCTCTTGGTGTGCGCTGACCCTAACGCCCCTAGTTCATTATCTAGACAAGGAGGCGAGGGCTAGTTTGTATAGGATTAACGCCCAGGGTGGTCTGAGTTTGCTCTCCTACAGATTGAGACACCATGCTCGACTCAGTTAAGGAAACACCGGTCTTATGCATGATCTCAGATATCACGTCCGTTATGCGTCCACTACACACTTTTGATAAAAAGTATATAGTGGAATTACTCTCCAGAAAAAACTGGCTAAATAGCCAGGTTATCTGTGAGGTCGGTAGCCTCATACGGTATACCGATGCGTCTAAAATGGGCATCGACGTAGGCTTTGGAATTTACGGGGATGCCCCAAATTCAAACTTAGTATGAATTTGGGTAGATTCACCTCTATGTTCCAGGCAGAAATTTTCGCCATACTTCAGTGTGTGGAAATCAATCTGCAAAAACACTACGGCAACCATATAAATTATATAAACTATGACAGTCAAACGGCACTGCTGGCGCTGAGGTCAAACTTAGTGAACTCGAAGCTAGTTGGAGACTGCGTGAACCGTTTAAACGCCCTGGGATGTAACAAGAGGGTCGTCTTAAGATAGGTTCCGGGTCACGAGGGTATTGTAGGCAACGAATTTGCTGACAAACTTGCACGGGAGGGCTCAAAGTGCACACAATTTGAACCTGAACCATTTTGTGGAATCTCAAGAAGCCTAGCCCGATTGACCCTTGAAACTATCACAATAAATCACTTAAGATCTGGTCTGAAACACCAGGGTTAAAACATTCTAAAACCTTAATCTGGGCTTTTGGTCGTAAATTCGCTTCAGAAGCCCTGGGTTTAAGTAAAAATAAATTGCGCATTCTGACAAGAGCCCTAACTGGACACTGTTGTCTTAAAAAGCACATGCCCATCCTGGTACTAAGCAATTCAAGGATGTGTCGGTTCTGTTTCATAACGGAAGAAACGCCTCTGCTCATCCCAACCGATTGCGGATCCTTAATGCGATCAAACGAAATCTATTTTATATAATACATATTTTTCAATTCGAACATATATTACTTACCCCTTTCTAGTTGTTAACTTGGCGTTGTGATATTCCTTAGTCTACTCAATAGAGTAAAAAAGAAAAGCTAACTTCAATTTACTAAAATAATAAAATAATTTATATGTCGCAATAGAGTCAGCACTTTGATTTTGATTGCACCGGAATGATTATTTTAAACAATCAGAACGCAAGCGCCATCCGGTGGCACTAGACAGAGTCTACGACGTAGCGGTCGACCGGAGCTGCACATATTATCGTGAGCTGTCGGAGAGTGAAGTTGTCTAACAACTGTCCCGCGTTCCGTATAGTTTGTACATGGAGTTACGCTGTAATTTATGTTAGTAATTGTTTGTGATTTTTACCAAGAGTTACATTGTTGTTAATTATCGTGACGGCTTTTTATCATTTTAAACCAACACCTCCCGTAGTACGCCCACGAGAAAAATAAATTACTATATCTGACGATAACGAGGGTAATTTACCCATTCCGCTATATACATATTAGCTTCAGACGTCAGGGTTAGATCGGATATTAATTCTTATATACACTGTGTCCTTAGCATCGACATCAAAATTATTTAATTCTTTCAGTTCCAACAGTATCAAGATGATTCGTGCTCGACACCACTGCGCTCGCCCCACCTCGAGCAGTCACGCGCACAGAGATCATTATAGTGTGCGTCAATATTACGCGGTGCTAAAGCGATTTCGACTTGCGAATATTTGAATATGCGCTCTTAAGCGGGAAAACCCTAATTGACATAAGAGGCGACGACCAGTCGAGTATATAGTTCTCTCGGATTATCCAAAGTACTTTGTGAATAGTTCGCGCCCTCTATACATATGCAGCTCATGTCACAGTTAAACAGTCAGAGAAAAGAGAATTAAATTACGACCATTTATCAGATTCAGGTGCTTTTGATGCCATCTCGGCTTTCAACGAGTCACAACGTGTAGTATTCAAAAATAACAGAAGAATTATGGAAAATGTCGTAAAAGAAAACTTCATGTGCGTTTAATCTTATATTTATTTGGTAAAGCATAACACAAACAATGTTCATGTACTATAAGGCATTATCAAGACACTCCTTAACTCTGTACTTTATTACATTGTACTTTCTCAACTATTTATATGTAATCACTAAAAACAAGGCGAAATCGAAAAAGTGTCTATTTAAAGGAATGTATAGATGAATACTGTAAAATAGAAAATACTGTAGTATTTGGAATACTGATAATATAAACGCCAAGACAAATACTCAGTCTATTACATGCTGGAATGCTTTAATATTTCATTTTAAAATAGAATTTAACTAGAACCACGCTAAACATCACAGTTCAATATTACAACAAAAAGGAATCCATTAAAACTAACTGTATATTAATCTATGAATGTATATATAACTTTTTAAATATTTTTTTTCTATCCAGCACCCTACCATACTACATAATCAGGTGATTATTTTAGTGTAAGTTATCTACATAAAACTATATTGTGTACTCTTTATATTGATCACTTAAAATCATTACACTGCAGTTAAATATCATCAAATACCATGCAAATTGCACATATTATATCTATGAACCTCTGAAGGCACATTTGAAAGCACTTAGTTTTTTAAATGTATGTAAATAAATAGAGTTAAAACTCGTATCTCATGTATATAAACTTTTTGCTACTCTTCGTTTCCGTTAGGATTGCTGTTGCATTCTGTAAAAGAAATATTCATAAATTGGTATTTGAAAAAACAACAAGTGGTAAAATTAAACATTTTATACAACCGCCTTCAATATAAATAAAATGAGAACATCATGAATGTAAACTCTGATTTTTCATTCCTTAGAATTCTGACCTTTTATAAGTGTTGCTACTAAAACAGTTCTCAGCCGAAAAAGGGACAAATTTGACGCATTTGAGGGCAATAAAAAATAAAATGCTACGTATTTCTTATATTTTACCTACAAAAAGGTAAATCTAAATATTTACTTATTCAAGTGACCTTATACACAAATAACAAATATTTCAATATCACGGACAATATATTTACTTTAATTACTTTATTTTATTCTTTAGCTGGCATCACTGCCTACTAATTCCAGGTTTAGTAAACATTTAAAAAATAATGCTAGTTGTCACGTCGCGTGTGTCACATTGATTGATTTTCATTCGACTTCTTTGAATGCTCCAATGCGCTCATGTGTTCCCGGTGTTTGCTGCTATTTGTTGTAATTATCTTGTTATATTTGTTAAGTTTCTGTTATTCTGTTGAAGTTTTCGTATTGTGATGGTTTGTTGATTTTTATAAACGTTATAGACAGCATCTGACAGAGCACAAGACTCAAAGTTGTTTCTCTCAGAAAGAAGCGTCCTCGTAGTGCTTTCACGCCCAACGAAAAGACCATAATTCAAAAAATTTACAAATATAGGTAGTATAGAAAATTAGCCGAACAACTGATTTGAGTACAACGGAATGTGCTAAAAAGACTTCTGAGATGACTGGCGTGGGTCTGTCAAGTGTCTATAAAATTACCAAAGAATATAAAGACACAAGAGTTTCAAAAGCCGAAAAAGAGTGGACCTCAATTATCTTTCATACAAAAATTTGACGAATTTACTTTTGCCGCAATTCGACGAAAGTTTCACGCGTTTTTCTATAGGAACGAGATTCCGACTATTGGAAAGGTAAAGTTATTGCCAATTCTTTAAACCCTCGTTGCTGACATCCCCCATTGTTTTAAAACTATACTTTAACCTGTGTTGCCTGTCTACATTTTAACTGTAATATAAATACTTATTTCAGATTCACCAAGAGATAGCTGGTGATCCAGACATGCCTGTTATGTTGAAATCAACATTAAGAAAAGTATTGAAGCATTTAAATTTTAAATAAGCAAGTCGCAAACGTCAAAGTGCGCTAACAGATCGCAAGGAGATAGTACTATGGCATTAAGAATACTTGCACCAAATTAAACAATATAGAAGAGAAGGCAGGTTTACATATTATCAGGATGAAACGTTTGTAAACGAAGGTAATTATTGAATAATGTGATAATTAACTTTTTATAACCTATTTTTTCTTCAAAGTATTGGTCGGTAATCAAATTCTGTACTTATGTAACACTTAAATTAACTTTTTTAATAAATTTCTGTTGCAAAAATGAATAAATAAAAGAAGAAATCCATATTTATAGGTAATATTTTTCAATTTATATGCATATATAACTGTCCTCATGTATAAGTGAAATATCGATATATTTATTTACAGAAATATCGAATATTTCCTTTTTGTATTTTACCTATGACCTATGGTCAAGCCAAAGAGTATGGTAGATGATGACAATTTTTTTTAAATGATATAAATATAACTTAGTCATTACCATGTTCTTATCCAAAAATAAAAATTATAAAGTAAGTTTTATCAGGTACCTAGATTAAGGCTAGTACCAAATATGTCTATTTTTCTTTTACTGTTTTGAAGTTTTGTGGTATGTAATAAGATATTGCAAATGTAGGTATAATAACTCATCTCGGCCATCTTACCACTATCTAAGTAGTACAATTCTAATCAAGTGACACTCATAGAAAATCACTATTACTACAATACTAGTTTAGCTATGTTACTCTGGTCTCTGATTCTACATTCACACATACAAAATCAAGGACTACAAACTTTGCGCATTTCACTGGAAAAAGGTAATATTAAACTTTTGTGGACACCCCTAGTGGTGGTTGCATGTATTGGTGCCAGTCGAGTGGGCGGTTGGGCGGGGCCGTGGTGGCGCGCCCAATCGCGCTCGAACTCGTGCTGCAGGATCTCAGCGCCACGCTTCACTCAATGTAAGGTGGTAGTGGTGGTGGTGGTGGTGGTAGTGGTGGTGGTTGGTGCTAATAGTGGTTATGGAGGCGGGTGGTGGTACCTGTTACGCGGGTGGTAGGGCGGGTCGTTATGACGCGTCCACTCGCGTTAGAACTCGTGCTGCAGGATTCCGGCACCACGCTTGATTCAATATAAAGTGGTGATGGTGCTAGTGATGGTGTTCTGGTGATGGTGGTGGTAAGTGGTGATACCTGTCGAGCGAACGGTAGGGCGGGCCGTTGAGGCGCACCCACTCGCGCTCGAACTTGTGCTGCAGGATCTCGGCGCCGCGATTGACTCAATGTAAGGTGTTGGTGGAGGTGGAGGTAATGAGTGGGCGGAGGTGGTGGTAGGGAACTGGAACCAAAAGCCCCAATAGAACAAAAACCCAAAAACAGAAGTGAAAAAAAGAGGCAAGACAAAAACGTAGGCAACCCAAACCGGAAAATGGTGGAGGTGGTGGTGGCGGGTGGTGGTACCTGTCGTTCGGACGGTAGGGCAGGCCATTGTGAAGTGCCCACTTGCGCTCGAACTCGTGCTGCAGGATCTCGGCGCCGCGATTGACTTAATTAAAGGTGGTGGTGGCAGCGGCGGTGGTGGTGGTAGTGGTAGCGGTTGTGGTGGCGGATGGTAGTGGTGGTTGTGGTGGCCCACTCGCGCTCGAACTCATGCTGCAGGATCTCGGCACCGCGCTTGACTCAGTGTAAGGTGGTGGTGGTGATAGTAGTTGTGGTGATGGTGGTTGTAGTGGTGGTGGTTGTGGTGGCGGTACCTGTCGAGCGGACGGTAGGGCGGACCGTTGTGGCGCGCCCACTCGCGCTCGAACTCGTGCTGCAGGATCTCGGCGCCACGTTTGCGCGTCAGCCCCGTCTCCTCAAGGCTCAGCTCGCACATCTGCATGTCGTCCACGCCTGCAACAAACCACAAAATGCTATATCGTCTTCCAGACCGAATTTCTGTGACAGTGCCAGTTACACGTAGCCGCGAGTTGTTTCAATGCCTGTAAGTGTTCGGTGAGCGATTCGCCGATACGTTGGCGCTGTAGACTGAATACGTGGCTTTCGGCGCTTTCGGAACGTTGCGGTTTTTATTACAATATAGCCCGCTTTATTCGCCCGTTTACAATATAGCGCGAGCGGCGAGGCGAGGCGACTTCTTGGAACTCTATCAGTAATTTGGGATGAATATTTATTTAAATAAGTTATCACGCATAAAAATATTCAAAAAGTAAATAATGCGTGGAAAATAATTTCCAAGGTGCCATCAGACCTCAAATTTTTATTTTATAGCTAAGGATATCAAACGAGCACACAGTCCACCTGATGGTAAGTGGATGATGTGGCCCATAGACATCTACATTTGACCTCGATAAAAAAATCAAAATGCAGATGCGTTGCCACCCTTAAGGACTAAGATGGAATGCCTCGATTTCAGTAAAACGGGTCTAGGTTTTTCTTCACTCACCATACGAAACACAGCTGCATTAAGCTACTATTTTACGGTGGTATTCTGTGAGAGCATGGTCCTTCCCCGGTCGAGCCGACCCATTCATGCTACAACCATAATATACCTGCAGGGTGGCTTTACCACGTATAAAAAGTAAAAACGAATTCGCTTATGGCTACCTTTCGTCAACACCTGCGAAGAAAAAAGGTCAAGCATCGATTAATACCGATAAGGGCAAGAGTTGATGCCGCTATTATTTCAACATCTTCCATCGTTGCTGGCTCAACGCAAACTGAATGCATCGCGAGAGTGTAAACAGGTACTCGTTACCTCGCAACAACACGCGAGCTGCGGGGCGAGGTACGAGGCAAAGCGCGAGGCGAGAGTCTAAGCCCGGCATTAAATATTACGTCACCAGTTGTACTAATTCATCGTATAATTTATTTTCTAGAAAACACGGCGAACACAAATCGCTCATTAAGGCATTAGTTTCTTAATCCACGACAGTTACAGATTTCATTTAGCATAATGTACTGGTTTATATGACGAACACACCCGGCTTATTGCTTCGAACTTACATTAAATAGTTCTATTTTTCCGATCGGAATTTTTGCACAACTTTTACGATTGGATAAAAAATATACGGAAAAATCAGATAAAATATGATAAGAGAGAATACGTTTATGATTTAGGGTTCAAATTCAGCAAGGCGGAGTGCAATGTCACGCTCCATGTAGTGTATTGGAGTGATAGTACGGCTGGGTGTATTTTAGTAAAGCGTGGCGAGATATTCTTTAGTGTAGCCTGGCGGTAGCGCAGCGTGCTGTGTTCCTGTGTAGCTCGGCGTAGTATACTGTACTGTAGCGTGGCAGAATGTTTTAGTGTAGTGCAGTGGGGTGTAGTGTAGCGTAGTAGTGTAGTGTGGTGGGGTGTAGTATAACGTGGTAGAATGTATTATAGTAGTGTGTGGCGCGGTGTAGTGTAGAGTAGTGTGGCGCGACGCTAACCCGCTTGCAGCAGCACGGGCGTCTTGTCGGGGTGCAGCTCCATCTGGCGCGCCACGTAGCGACCGTCGAAGTGCGCGTACCACCAGCCGCGCCGCTCGCCGCCGCCCGGCCGCACGAACGGGATGCGGAAGTAGCGGTGCCGCGCACCCAGCACCTCGCGCCCCGCAACCCGCGGCGCCTTGGCTGCACACACACACACACACACCCATTTACTGGTAATAACCTTCACACCGAATTACGGTCACGGTGGCCACTCTCAACGGAGACTAGCCATCAGCGCAAGATTACATTATAGTGCCAAGAACGCACTATAATGTAATTTTGTCACTTCTTCGTCTTCTTGGCACTATAACGTGTCTAGCACAGATGCACATTCTATTCCCTTATTCTCATAGTCCGATAGAACGGTAATCCGACACGACCGAAGAAACATCAGGCGCAGAACCACGTCTTTACGTGTTTTCCGAGGCACGGGGGTGATACACCACCAACTCCCCGACTCCCTGTCGAACCCGGGATTCGAACTCTGAACGGCATGATCAACAAACGCGTTTCAAGACTTCACTTGTACAACTTTTAAACGTATTTTAATAGAACCAGCATGGTCGCGATCACCTTATTCCCAGGGGCCAAAAAAAAAATTAAGAGCAAATTATTTGCGTTAAACCAATGTACTAATTTCAATAGAACATTATTTACATTGTCAAAATTTACTGACCGCAGTTTGAGTTTTAACATTAAAGAGGTATCTCTATTAAATAATACTATATCATGATTGTTCACTACAAGACAAGGTAATTCATTATTTTTATTATTTAGATTTTTTCAGTTGCAAATAATGAGTCTAAGCACAATGTTTCTGACACCGTAATGTTGTAGTTACCCGATTAGTATCTCATGATGAACACAATCGAAAGCTTTGTAAAGATCACAGAAAATACCTAGGACATCTTGTGAATTCTCCCGGGCATTGAAAATACATTTCATAAGCTCAACACCTGCGTCAGTCGTCGAGCGACCCCTTGTCAAACCAAACTGAGTTTTATGGATTAGTTTATTTGAATTAATACGAATATCAGTGAAATATTTCTCAAACACCGCTGCGACTTCTTGATTTGATCTAGTCGATTCGTTATTAAGTTTCAGTTGATAGTTTGTGTTACGAGGTTTGTCTTTAACGGTTTCACTATTAATTATACTCCACGTCATTTTAATTTTATTTTAGCAGTCTTAAGTTTGGTGCTAATATGTAAAGGTTTGGCTATGGATGAAGCACACTCTTTTATATACGAGGGTGGATTGAAAAGTACTCGGCCTAACACAGATCCATTCAATTCTAAAAATCAAATCTACCCACGTTATTTAGTTCAGTTCAGACTAGTTCATTGTGTGAAGTTCGAAACGTGTGCGATAATTAGTTGTGATTTTATAAATTTATTAACAAAGTAATCGGACATAATTTCCGCGAATGGAGCAAATCGAGCAGCGTGCCGTCATTAAGTACCTCCATAAGAAGGGGCTATCATCAAAAGCCATCCGTGATGACATGGTCAGTACATTAGGCGATTGTGCTCTGTCATATTCATCCGTCAAAAAATGGATAGCAGAATTTAAGCGTGGTAGAGAGAGTGTGAAAGATGAACCCCGCTCTGGAAGGCCTTCGAAGTCAACTACTGACGAAAATATTAAAAAAGTACTTGATTTAATAATGGGAGACCGCAGATTAAAAATTAGAGAGATAGCCGAGATTATAGGCATCTCTTATGAACGAACTCAAAACATCATTGTCAACGAGTTGGGTTTCCACAAGGTGTCTGCGAGGTGGGTTCCGCGACTGCTTTCAGTTGAACAAAAAAGGACGCGATTGACAATTTCACGCGACTGTTTGGAGTTATTTGAAGCCGATGCAGATGATTTTTTGAATCGTTTTGTTACTATGGACGAAACATGGGTTCATTACTGTACACCGGAAACAAAACAACAATCAAAACAGTGGAGAAGACCTGGTTCACCACCCCCTAAAAAGGCTAAGTCGATTTTGTCGGCAAATAAGGTGATGGCTTCAGTATTCTGGGACTCGAAAGGTGTGATTATGATTGATTATCTTGAAAGGGGTCAGACTATAAACTCTGATTACTACTGCACCTTACTACGTCGTTTACGAGAGGAAATAAAAGAAAAACGTCGAGGAATGCTCAGAAGAAAAGTCCTGTTTCATCAAGATAACGCCCGTGTTCACACGTCAGTACAGTCAATGGCTGAAATTCACAACTGTGGCTTTGAACTGTTACCGCATCCGCCGTATTCACCTGATCTGGCACCATCAGACTTCTTTCTGTTTCCTAACCTAAAAAAGCACTTGGGAGGTCAAAGATTTTCGACAAACGACGAGGTCAAAGCAGCTGTAGACGCATATTTTGACTCTAAGGAAGAATCATTTTTTTTCAACGGTCTAAATGCTTGGAAGGGGCGGTGGCAAAAGTGTATTGAACTTGATGGTGATTATGTAGAAAAATAAAAATATAACTGATTTAGTATGTGTTTATTTTCTTGGTTAGGCCGAGTACTTTTCAATCCACCCTCGTATTTTAGAACAATTGTATAGCAAATTTGACATATAATCTCTAAAAGTATCGGAAAGAGTATATAATCTTTCATGGTAAAGTTCATATAATCTTCGTCTGCTCTTATGAATTCCTACTGTCGCTCACTCATTAAAATGCCTTGCGACTGTTACTGGAGAATGTTTTAGAAATAAATGTTTTATTAAATTCATTGCTTAAGAATGGAAGGTTTTTTTACCATATTACTTCTAAATCTCTCCAGGTGTTTTCCATTGATCGTAACAAACACAATTTCCTCAATTTTCTGTTTTTGTGCATATAAGGCAATGAAACCAGTTGTCCACAGTGATCTGAACTTAATTTTTCAATTACTAATTCGGTGATTGGTACAACATCTGTAAAAATATTGTCAATACAAGTTGCACTGCACTCTGCAATATGTGTAACTTCAAAGAATAAATTATCAAGATTGTATGATTTGAACAAGGAGCAAAATTTAATACTGATGGAAGAAGCTTAAGACGAAGAGGAAGACACAAAGAGAGATCCGAACAGATCATATTTATTCTTTGGTCATGGGCCAGTAAGTCGTCCTCACTGTGCAGAGATTGCTGACAGAAGTTCCCTTCGATAGCCTTGCTGAGTTTCCGAAGGAAGTCGAACTAGTTTCTCGCCAATTCAGCCGATGTGCTTTGACTTTGCCTTGGCAATCACACTTGAAGGACCTGGAGGCGGAATTGTATTTCTTATTAAGAGTACTGGTGTTTGCATCCCGAGACGTTTATGCGTCAGCCCAGGCCCCGTAGCACTCCCGTTTATGGCGTGATAAAATTTAACAAGAGTGACCAAATCATGACTGAGTTCTGCCTCCGATAGGCACTACAGATGATGGAATAAAAAATTTCATTTCTTGAAGTATGACATCAGTGACAAAGTCAGCAACAACATTCGGATCATTCGGCGAGAAGCAAACCCGCCCCAACAATAGGATGCAAAAAAGACCGCATCCTGTCCCAATCGATCGATCTATAGTGTCAAACACGGCGACAGCGCGCAGAACGAAACCGCGATGGGAGCGTGATTGGCACCGTACTCCGGATCAGAAATTGGTCCGAAGAGCCTAGAGTGGCATCGACGGAGACCTGATATCCGTCCGGGTGAGGGGTCAGCAGAAGGTCCAACAGGGAAGGTGCATGGACCACCACATCTGGGATCCGCGTAAGCGAAGTCATTAGTTGTGTGAGACCACATACCAAGGCAAAGACAAAAACAGATCTACCCGCATGATTGGTTAAACGGGAACAAAACCATTCAGCTTGGTGGGAAAGCAGTAGTGATGATGAAGATGACGATGATGACTACTCAGAAGGTTCTTTTGTATTTAATTATTTAAATAATATCTATTTTGTTTACCCTACCTAACTAATTTTAATTGACAGCTATGACGTTACACCAGGTGACGCCAGGTCGGTCCTATTCTTATTTGAATTGCATAGTACAGTGGCGGACTTTTGATAGGCTATTATGATATATTTACATAACATTTTTTTCCATAAACCCCTCTACTTTAATCTTTGTTTTCATCAGTCCTCTACGCAAATATTGTCTGGGAGAGATCACTCAAAGTTATGGACCGTCTGTTGCACATATACTAGTTGTACTACTATTCCATTCGCATCATATATTGTGAGTTTTTTTTGACGATGATTAGTGGTTGTAGCCGAAAATGAAAAGCGCACTGATTTAGTATACATGGTAAACAATACGGAATAAATAAATAAAGGCTAATAAGTAATAAAAAAGCAAACTCACCGGCGTCCATTATAGACTGCGGCGCCCTCTCTTGCTCAGCCATAGTAGTTTTGCGCGCGTTCTTTGCTTTCCACGCGTGATACACCTTCAGACGGCGGTGGAACTCATGTCGGCACGCCTGATTATTTTTAGAGATTATTAGGATATTTTCGTAGAAAATACTTTTATAAGGTATCTTAAGGTTATGCTATACACACTAGGGTGTATCTAAGCTTGAGCTGAGTAGAGAACATGCACGCAGTAGTAAATCTATACAAAAACTCAGTTGAAACCTTAGCCCCGGCAGCGCCGCTCGTTCACGAAGCAGTAGCGCTAAAAGGTTTATTGTTTGTTTTACTAAAGAAAAGGAAATTTAAACGAAGATAATGCTAAAAGTGTTGTGAACTATTTTTACTGCAAAGAAAACAGTCTAGGTAAATTATTGAACTATAGAAACAACACAGTCACGTCAACTTATTGAAGGAATAAAAATTTGCGCGAAAAGGCTACTGTAGTTATCTACGAACGGATGAAAAGACGTATCTCAAACTGTTAACAGCGGTGATTCTTATAGTTCAAAAGAAAGTTACAGTAATGACAAAATTATATCACCTCATGAAAGGCTAAAAAAGACGTTAAGATACTTTGCAAAAGGGAGAACGTACGAACGTTTAAATATACTGCCATGCCACAAAATGCAACAATTGACGCCTGCGTATGCAACCACCACACAATCTCAGTTTTGCTTTCACAGTTGAAGTGCACAAGTATACCCACGGGCGAAAAATTATAATTCATATATTTTCAGGTTGCTGTACAGGTGTGGTAACTTGCACAATTATGTCACATACACGCTCGGGTACAGTTCAACTGTACAGGTTAACCTGTCAGGTACATCCTAGCGTGTACGGCTACCTTTAACAGTAAATTGTATAGCATCTTTTTTAACTCCCACAGCTGGACAAATGAGAACAGGTAACCTAATAGGTAAGTAGATGTCTTGGTCCATAGATAAATTACATCCATCATTTGTTAAAATCAAAATGAAGATGCGCTGATACCTTTGAGATGAGATGGAATATCTTGTTACCCGTAAAAAGGATACTTTGAAACACCACGCCGTCAGTCGTCAAAGTCTTATTTAGTATGCACGAAGAGTTTAAAATAAAACGGCTAAATAAATTAGCTCTGCGTAATTGCATTTTGAAGAAAAGTTTGTATATTCCCTTTACATAATGTAAGTGTTGCAAAATCTTAAATTGATTTTATTTTTTAATAGATTGCATTTGATAAATTAACACTTAGAACTAATTACAATTTCATGGGAGTTGGCAGGGATCCAACTGACTTTATTTCCACTGGTTGCGTGGAAAAAACAAACATTTTGCTTAGTTGGTTATTGTTTGGCCCGTGTACCAGTCCCATCTCTTTTCTTTCCCCTAAAAGCTCAAGTTGAATCCCATCACAGGACACTGGCAAAATAATAGAGTGATAGCGAGTGCATCGTCCAAGACTGCCACATGCCGATTTAGCCATCTTGTTTGGTTATAGGGAACCGCGCATACAGTCACACGAAAAACGATCCCGAAGAACAAAATATTGTCCCGAGCCGGGAATCGAACCTGAAACCATATCGCTCCACCATCCACAATGAAATTTTAAGATGAGCACGAAGAGATACAATCTATGCTGCAGCTACCAGGGTCTCGACTAAATAAACGTTAAATAATCTGAAGGTCCACTACCCCATATCGTCCCGTGGGTGTCGTAAAGAGATGGCAGAGGGAAGCTGATACAGAACGTGAGTAGCAGCATACTCTAAATTGCGGTTGCCAACCCGCTTACCCAGCGTGGATACTACGGCCCAATCCCTCTATGAGGCAATGTTTCACCTATGTTCAGCCGTGACATTTTATAATCTTAAAAGTTAGTGGTAGTAAACATCTCACCTCGAGGAGCTCTATATCGCAGGACGTGTTGATGGTGTCCCGCAGCTCTGAATACTTCCACTTGGACAGGTCGTACTTCTGCTTGCCCGCCATTGCTTGCTGCATACGTACACGCTCCGATCTGCAACGTTTCATCATTACATGCTAATAACGCTCTTATTTTATTAGAAATAAAGACTATTAGTAAATGGTGAGTAAGAAAAAATTAACTGATGTTATTAAATTTGAAGGTATTTTAGAAAGCATGTATAGTAAAAAGTTAGTAAAATTGCACCACATGCTTGTCCCCTCGCCGTAAAGTAAATAGAGTTAAATAGAAACAATAATAGCCTCATTAAAGAATGGTTTGAGAAATTTTAAGCATAGTAAGTTCGAAACGAGCATTTAATTTGTATTTATTTGTCTAATTGTTAATATGTTAATAGCATGGAAACTATTATTTTGTGTTTTTTGTAAAATTTGGCGTCAATGTCAATATAAAAAAGTGCAGTGCACCATTCGATTAAACTATTCTATCAGTCATGATACCAAATGTCACAACAATATCTATAAAAGTATGTTATTCCTGGAATTATACAGTATCATACCATTGGTCAAAAAAGTAGTTATATCGGTAAATTGTTTATATTTTTATCGTAGTTAAAATTAATTAAAAATATATATATTTCATTTTTTGCGAATGGTACAATAATGTGTATATACTAACAATTAATTACTAAACATAACTAATATTAACTACTAACTACTTTATACTAAAACCACGTGCAAAACGGAAGAAATACAGAAAGCGTAAGGCTAAAAGTGTTAGAATATTACTTTTGTAATAAACAAGAGTCCTCTTTCAACTCTACTATGAAAATTAATAGCAAAAGTAAATTATAAAAAATAAACATAAAAATAAATTCTTTTGAATTAAGCACAAATTAAAAAAAACATTTAAATTTGACCTGAAGATCTTTTTCACTTTTTCTTTAAAAAAAAAAAAACAAAAAAGATATCCATTAAAATATGCAACTTAAAAGAGGACACATGTAAGAAGGCGGCGTGCGAAAGAGAAAACAGCGTTTCTGTCTCACGTGTTTGTACCTGTTCAACTTATTCTCCCCGTTCACTGTGTCCATTGTTGGGAAACTGTGCAAACATATCACAACATTACTTATTATAAGATAGCTCACAGTCAAGCTATATACAGGAAGGTGGCATGCGTTTCAGAAAGTAACCCTCACAGGACAGTAGGCACTATTTATATGTATACTTTACATTTTACTTTGGAAGCTGTGATAGCTTAGATATTTGCAAGAACAAACATGAGAACATCTCCCCTTTCTGGTCTCGAGAAAACGGATCCTACTGTGCTTGTGCATGTACCCTCGAGAACAAGTAATGATATCGACTCCAAACCAATTTTATTCGACACGAACACCTGTTTAATTACTCATCTCATTCAAAATTCATCAAAATTAAGCATTTAATTTCATTCATATATATAATAATGAGGATATCCGCAGTAAAACGAGAGTGAGCGACATAGCCCAACGGATTAGTAAGCTGAAGTGGCAATGGGCCGGCCATATAGCTCGAAGAACCGATAACCGATGGGGAAGAAAAGTTCTCGAGTGGCAGCCTCGTACCGGTAGGCGTAGTGTAGGGCGACCCCCACTAGATGGAGTGACGACCTGGTAAGATATGCAGAAAGTCGAGGACCGTGCTTTGTGGCATTACTTGGGGGAGATCTATGTTCAGGAGTGGACTTGTGAAGGGTTGTACTGATGATGATGATGAAGCATTTATTTTCCCGACCTTTCAACAAAATACACCATATGAGTAGTAAGAACATAATAAAAATAATTAAAAAAATACTCGATTATAAAATATATTTGAATTGATTGATTAGAAAATACTACTTAATATTTTGTAACTCTACATAGATAGTGTACAAGCATCCATATCAAGAGAACCAGTAATTTAAGCATCATCATGTATACGGTATACGACGCGACATTCATGACGTACTCATATTTTTTTCCGGATTAAAATACTCTGTTTCGAGTCTGAAGTACATAGGATTTTGTGTCATTAAGTATAAAGAAATAAACAATATCATCTGTTGCAGTCTTTTGTTTTTTAGTTTAAGAATACCTTATTTAACATATTCTTTTTAAATAAAACCTTGCTATTTATTACTGGCTGTAAGACTCTGTGACAAGCCACCGTAAAAATTTTATAATTAAATACATTGAGCTATTATGTACTACGTACTAGAGGCGACACTGCATTCAGCTACTCTGTTCCACTCAACTGCGGTGCATACACCGCACTTCTTAATCAGTCACTCACTAGGCGCTGATAGAGTTGTCACGTGTTGTGTTAATTTAAAAAAATCTTTTGATAAAAATATGCTGTCATGTGTACTTAGATATTGCACAAATAATTCAAGAAATGTCAGTAAAAACCAAGGAATTACTTTTCATCTGTTAATAAGATACTTAATCAATAAAAAAAGTATAATAAATTAATAATAAAGGAAATTATTCCTAAAACTGAAATTAATATGTTCAGATGCGACATTTCTGTGGACACTTAAGGACGCGTTTACAAAATGGATAGGTATAGAATCGCACTACTACATTGACAAAAGTCACACACACACTAGTGTACGCACGGTTGGCTGTGGGAATCGTAGTCAAATGAAATTATTTTGATAATTTGAAAGATTGAATTTGTTTTTCATTTCTTATACCTACCTCAGAAATATACTTCGATACGAAATATGAATACCTGCTCCAAAGACTGCTTGGCACTGGAAGTCCTCTACTGGTAGTGAGATGTTAGCTCTGGACTTTGAACTGGTTTTGTCAGTTATAATAAGACCTTACCTACCTGCGGACTTGATGGAGTGACCTGAAGGTGTAATTTGGTGATTACAACAATAGGAACTCCTAGACTAGTGGAACTAGGTGTGCCGAGTTTGGGTTCGTTTTGTTGGTTATGATGAGACCTTACCACCGGACTTGATGGAGTGACCTGAAGGTGTAATTCGGTGATTACAAGTGGAACTCCTAGACTAGTAGAACTAGGTGTGCCGAGTTTGGGTTCGTTTTGTTAGTTATGATGAGACCTTACCACCAGACTTGATGGAGTGACCTGAAGGGGTAATTCAGTAACTACTGCTGGAATTTCTGAACGAGTAGAACTAGATGTGCCGAATTTGGGCTCCGTTTTGTTAGTTATGACGAGTCCATACCTCCGGACTTGATGGAGTGACCTGAAGGTGTAAATCGGTGATTGCAACTGGAACTCCTAGACTGGTGGAACTAGGTGTGCCGAGTTTGGGTTCGTTTTGTAGGTTATGATGAGACCTTACCACCGGACATGATGGAGTGACCTGAAGGTATAGTTCGGTGATTACAAGTGGAACTTCTAGACTTGTAGGACTAGGTGTGCCGAGTTTGGGTTCGTTTTGTTAGTTATGATGAGACCTTACCACCAGACTTGATGGAGTGACCTGAAGGGGTAATTCAGTAACTACTGCTGGAACTGAACGAGTAGAACTAGATGTGCCGAATTTGGGCTCCGTTTTGTTAGTTATGACGAGTCCATACCTCCGGACTTGATGGAGTGACCTGAAGGTGTAAATCGGTGATTGCAACTGGAACTCCTAGACTGGTGGAACTAGGTGTGCCGAGTTTGGGTTCGTTTTGTAGGTTATGATGAGACCTTACCACCGGACATGATGGAGTGACCTGAAGGTATAGTTCGGTGATTACAAGTGGAACGTCTAGACTTGTAGGACTAGGTGTGCCGAGTTTGGATTCGTTTTGTTAGTTATGACGAGACCTTACCACCCGACTTGATGGAGTGACCTGAAGGGGTAATTCAGTAACTACTGCTGGAATTTCTGAACCCGTAGAACTAGGTGTGCCGAATTTCACTCCATCAAGTCCGGTGGTAAGGTCTTATCGTAACTAACAAAACGAAACCAAACTCGTCACACCTAGTTCTACTAGTCTAGGAATTCCATTTGTAACCACCTGATTACACCTTCAGGTCACTCAATCAAGTCCGGTGGTAAGGTCTCATCGTAACTAACAAAACGAACCCAAACTCGGCATACCTAGTTCTACAAGTCTAGGAGTTCCACTTGTAATCACTGAACTACACCTTCAGGTCACTCCATCAAGTCCGAGGTATGGACTCGTCATAACTAACAAAACGAAGCCCAAATTCGGCACATCTAGTTCTACTCGTTCAGAAATTCCAGCAGTAGTTACTGAATTACCCCTTCAGGTCACTCTATCAAGTCCGGTGGTAAGGTCTCATCGTAACTAACAAAACGAACCCAAACTCGTCACACCTAGTTCTACTAGTCTAGGAATTCCATTTGTAACCACCTGATTACACCTTCAGGTCACTCAATCAAGTCCGGTGATAAGGTCTCATCGTAACTAACAAAACGAACCCAAACTCGGCACACCTAGTTCTACAAGTCTAGGAGTTCCACTTGTAATCACTGAACTACACCTTCAGGTCACTCCATCAAGTCCGGAGGTATGGACTCGTCATAACTAACAAAACGAAGCCCAAATTCGGCACACCTAGTTCTACTCGTTCAGAAATTCCAGCAGTAGTTACTGAATTACCCCTTCAGGTCACTCTATCAAGTCCGGTGGTAAGGTCTCATCGTAACTAACAAAACGAACCCAAACTCGGCACACCTAGTTCTACCAGTCTAGGAGTTCCAGTTGCAATCACCGATTTAGACCTTCAGGTCACTCCATCAAGTCCAGAGGTATAGACTCGTCATAACTAACAAAACGGAGCCCAAATTCGTCACCCCTAGTTTTACTCTGCAAGAAGTTCAAATAGCGGTCACGAAAGTACACCTTCAGGTCATGCCATCAAGTCCAGAGGTAAGGTCTCATCATAACCAACAAAACGAGCCCAAACTCGGCACACCTAGTTCCGCTCGTCCACGAGTTGCAGTAGTAGGTAAGTTTATATATTTTTAGCTAAATAAAAACTGTGAGTATAAAAATAATAATTTTATCACTTGTCAAGTACTTATGTTTCCAATTTGTTTTTTTCTAATATTTTGTGTATGTACAGCGATCTTTTCAGAATGAGCCGCTGCAAACAGGCGATACAGTGTCCACTCACGACGGCGGCCGAGCGCGGACTGTGGTTTCATCGAAATCTTTGTACAATAAATCAAAGCAGGCACCAACAATAAAATAGCCCTTATTGCAATACATTATGATTCATCCATATTACCAAAATATGTGAAAAAATGTGCATCAGTTTTTATTTTTTTTACGACTATTTGTGACATTTTGTTAAAAAATAAACCCAGGGTTTTTTAATTGAATATGTCTGTCATCTTATAGTATTTTTTAAATTTTTAAATATGTTGATAATAGACCAAAACATCTACCGAAACACAAGCCGGTATCGTTAATTTTGTAGAAAATGGCAACGAAAGTTCGTTTTTACAATATAAAAAACTACTATTTTCAACAAAAGAGTTACAGACATTTGCAGATGAAGAACCAATCTATACATGGTAGTTTTTACTTATATTTGATTTGGTTTAGTTTTGTCACAAAATCTACCGAAAAACACCCTAATTTTGGTTGATTTGCAAACGCGTCCTTAAGTATAGGACGAATATATTATATTATACACATTTTTTGTAGAAACATGTATAAGTTAATATAATTAGGCTAAATTTTCCACATTTAAATCTGCTTATTATTCTTTTGTTTTATTTTTAGGTTTCCACGTCAAAGTGAAAGTGGAATAAATTCGTCCATTTTTAACTATCGCGTGTCCAGCCTTTATGATCTTGTTTATCTTATTCTTATCTTCTTATTGTATATCTTGATATCTTACATTTAGTACGTTTGTTATATTTGACGTAGATACCTTTTAAAATATTCAGATAAAAATATAATTAAAATGTAATTGTGATATAATATTATGTAATATTATATTAAATAAGCAAATATAATATACAAAATAAATAACAAAATTTAGATATTGTTCTCGATATAATTTACCTATTTAACAATACAATCTAGTATCACCTACGGGTCATTCTACCTATGTTTATTCTATGATAAAAAAAAACAACCGCGTGAACACAGAGTAGCACACATTTTTTTGAAATAGCTGTTCTAGTACGTAAGTACATATTACTTCAATGATTATAGTCAACCAAATCTAAGAAATACATTTTGACAGCTGTCAGACTTATTGCACCAAGCATGCCAATTATAGAATTGGGAACGTACAACATTCGATTCTTAAAAAAATCGATATAGGTTATTTAGAGTTGGTAATCATCTACAGTTTGCTTTGAATAATGCCGGAATAATTTCTTATACTTACGCGAACACTACACATTGATTAAAATTATTTTTACGGATTTTAGCGCGTTTATTTTACTATTATTTTTAATTCCTGACGTTTCGGGCGCTTTCCAGCACCCATGGTCACGGGGGACTTGAGATGACTAACGTCCCGATGTCATTGTTAAACCCGGAGTACCTTCAGCTTTTTTAATTATTGTTTATGGTCCGATCTATGCAAAATGAACTGACTATGTCCTGAGGTCTTGCAGTGGTATGCTTGGGTTTAGTTTTAATTTTATTGATTATAAGATCCCAAGCAGGTGGTTGTACCCAGCCTCCTTCTCTATTGAAATTAGGATGTTTTTTAATTTCAATAGCCTCACGTATCATCCTTGGTAGGAATCGATGTTCTTTCGCGAGGATTTGTGGTCTATCAAATCTGATGTAATGGTTGGGGCCGTCTAGGATATGATCGCAAACTGCAGACTTCCCGGAACGTTGATGCTTCACATCAGCTATATGTTCTTTTACGCGGGTTCTAATTGATCTTTTTGTTTGTCCTATATAAAAAAGACCACATTCACAATCAAGCTTGTACACTCCTGCATCTTGTAGAGGAATATGACACTTGACTGATGGTAGGAACTGACTAATCTTCTTCGGCGGCTTGTAGAATGTTCTAATAGAAGCTCGCTTCAAGATGTAGCCAATCTTGTTCCCAATCATTTAGCTGATGTGAAGCATCAACGAAACGTCGGGAATTAAAAATAATGTTAAAATAAACGCGATAAAATCCGTAAAAATAGTTTTAATCAAAATGCCGGAATAAATTAAAAACAGATAATTTAAAACACAAGATTTATCAATTTCTTCGAATTTGTTGTTACTGCTTATTTCTAGAGGCACAGTTATACATTTTGTAAATTGAAACTAGATTAAAAATAAATTTATTCAATTCCTTTCAGTAGAACTAGTTGAGCTGTCGTTGTTTAGATTAATTACTATTTGAATTTCAATAATGTAGTCAAAATTAATGTCCCCTTCAAAGTCATCCATAGTCAATATTTTTTTTTTCTACCAATTTTGCCCAATCATCATTTGTTACATGGGCACATGCTTCAACGAATATATAAGAAACGGTTCAAAAAGTTCGAGCGAGTCACAAAATAAGAAGACAAACACAAAATCACAAAATTACAGTAAGCTCCCGAAATGGCGGGAGGTTGAAATTACGTAGTGGTTTTTTTCAGCGCGGTCTTGTGTTTCTTTGCCTGCACAAATTTAAGTTGACAAAGGTAAAAAATAAACTTGTTTTATTCATGATTCATGTAATTCAAGGAATTTTAAAAATAAAAATTTAACTAAAAAAATAATACATTATAAAAAATAATGATTCGATTATTTGAATATTATTACCGATTATTCGAATATTTTTTCGCATAACAACGAATTTTAATCATCCAAACACTACGGTAAAGTACATAGCGACATATCATTGAAACGACGTCAAGAAATAAAAGTTGATACTGGTTGTTTTTTAAATATTTTGCTTTGTTTGAAAGATTGGAATTTAAATTAGAGAAAAAAAAAACTATACACATTGTAATGAAATATAGATAACTTCATAATTCTTCGGATTTACGTAAAAGGTTAATTTAAATCGTGTGAGCACGTTTGTGCAAAGTTATTGCGGAATGATTAATGTGAAACGTCAAAAGGTATTTCTTAGATTTGGTTGACTATAAATATGCCTTTTTTCATAGTAGAGGGGGCAAACAAGCATACGGTTCACCTGATGTTAAGTGACTATCGCTGCCCATGAACAACCGCAACACCAGAGGAATTGCAGGTGCGTTGCCGGCCCTTTAGAAAGGAGTAAGCTTGAAGGTCCCCAGGTCGTATCGGTCCGGAAAAATCGCCGTTGGTAAACTATTCCACAGAGAGGTCGTACGCGGAAGAAAACTCGTAGTGAAACGTACAGTGGTGGACCGCCAAGCATCCAGATGGTGTGGATGGTATTGGGAAGTTTGCCGCGTAGTGCGTTCATGAAATTTGGCGGCTGGGATTAATCCGAACGATTCCTCAGAGCACTCCCCGTGATAGATGCGATAAATACGCAAAGAGATGCAACATCTGTTCGCTCGGCCAGTGAATCGAGCACTCGGTCGTCGAAGATTCGAGCCGCTCTGCGCTGGATGCGGTCAAGTGGAAGGAACTGGCACTGGGGAGCCAGCCTAGAGATGGGAACAGTATTCCATGTGCGACTGAACCTGTGCCTTGTAAAGTTGCAGGCGGTGAGCCGACATGAAATACTGTCCCGCTTTTTAGAGGCTAATTTGGTTTGGCCTTCTTTTCTAAGTGACCACGAAACTGCCCGTCACGAAATGATTACTTTTGATTTAATAAATATGTACATAACTTTCATAAGAACTGAGTAAAAGTCCTTTGAATTAGCACAAGAGCCTTATTTCTTTAACATAAGATGACATAAGTGCGAGTGAAAATTATTCATTGTCGTTCATAGGAATACCATAAAGGAGTGTACCTTCGCAATTGTGGTGGGGAGCCTTCAACATGCCCGTTGGTTTCCTCGGCCAGACGCATTGCCATTTCGTGATCCCTTCTCTCCTGTTCAAGTCTGTAAATGATGGTGATGATTAAAGTTAATTAACATTAAGCCTATACATAACTTACTAATGTACCATCATATTATTAAAAAAAACATATACTTTATATACAAAGATAGAATAAGGATGACACGCACAGTCCAACTGATGGCAAGTGGATGCTTTGGCCCATAGATACCTATATTTCTTGAATAAAACTAAATTTACGGATTCTATCGCGTTTATTTAACTGATTTTACTTATTTTTTAATTCCCGACGTTTCGGGTGCTTTACAGCAACCATGGTCACGGGGGGGACGGAGATGTTTGACGTCCCAATGTCATTGTTAGCCCGGCTACCTTCAGTTTTTGAATATTAATTTTTGGTCCGATTTACGCAAAACGAACATACAGCATCTTGAAGTCTTGCAGTGGTATGCTTGGATTTGGGTTTAATTTTGTTAATTATAGGATCACAAGCAGATGGCAGCACCCAACCATCTTCTCTATTGAAATTAGGATGTTTTTTAATTTCAATAGCCTCGCGTGTCATCCTTGGTAGGAATCGGTGTTCTTTTGCGAGGATTTGTGGTTTATCAAATCTGATGTAATGGTTGGTATGGGTCTTTTTTCTATACACAGTGTGACCAATAGTGTTATCAGGATATCGAATGACTAAAACATCTAGGAAAACTAAAGAATTATTTGCCTCTAACTCCATTGTGAATTGTATTTTAGAGTTTATAGAGTTAAGGTTGTTTAAAAATGCAGTTACTTTGTCAGATGGTAAAATTGTGAAGGTGTCGTACCGTACCGTACCGTAGCGTTTCCTTTATCATTATATCATTCCTTTATCAGGTAATAATGGACACGTCAAAGTATAGTTTTAAAATACTACAGCTTTTATCGGACGAAAGTACATATAAAAAGGTCAAAACAGACCCCACAACTAACACGCTTAAAGCAACTGGCGATTTAATAAAGAAATACTCCGAAAAATTAAATCTCGACGTGAATTCGCTAATACCATCATGTACCAAACCACCGAGGTTGTATGGGTTACCGAAGATACACAAACCAAATGCTCCACTACGTCCTATAGTGAGCCAGATCGATTCACCAACTTATAAGCTGGCACAACACTTGGCAAAAATACTATCACCACTGAGAGGACATACCAGAGCACACACAAAGGATTCATACCATTTTGTTAGTGAGATAAAAGACCTACATCTCGCTGACAATGAAACTATGGTCAGTTTTGATGTTCAGTCACTATTCACATGCCTACCTATTGAAGACTGCATCTCAATTGTAACTAGGAAGCTAGAAGATAACAACATGCCTGCTGAATATGCAGTATTACTCAAACATTGCCTCACATCTGGCTATCTATTGTTGAAGCAAGAGTTCTACAAGCAAGTAGATGGTGTGGCGATGGGCTCACCTGTATCTCCCATAGTCGCTGACATATTTATGGAGGACTTCGAGGAGAAAGCCCTTCTTACTGCTCCTGTAAATCCAAGATTCTACAAGCGGTACGTAGACGACACCTTCACAATTTTACCATCTGACAAAGTAACTGCATTTTTAAACCACCTTAACTCTATAAACTCTAAAATACAATTCACAATGGAGTTAGAGGCAAATAATTCTTTAGCTTTCCTAGATGTTTTAGTCATTCGAAATCCTGATAACACTATTGGTCACACTGTGTATAGAAAAAAGACCCATATCAACCGATATTTAAATGGTGAATCTCACCATCATCCTTCACAGTTAGCTACCTTGGGTAAATCTTTGTTTCAGAGAGCACGAGGGACCTGTGACGGAAAACATCTGGTCGCTGAGCTGCAGCATGTCAAGCAAGTATTGCAAGACAACAAGCTTCGGATCCCGCGCCTACGTCACAGTGACCGTGTGAAGCCGGCCACAGTCGAGCGTGTACCTGCTGTACTACCATATGTCAGAGGAGTCACAGACAAGGTTGGCTACATCTTGAAGCGAGCTTCCATTAAAACATACTACAAGCCGCCGAAGAAGATTAGTCAATTTTTACCATCCGTCTGGTGTAATATCCCTCTACAAGATGCAGGAGTGTACAAGTTAGATTGTGAATGTGGTCTCTCTTACATAGGTCAAACAAAAAGATCCATAAAAACCCGCGTGAAAGAACATATAGCTGACGTGAAGCACCGACGCTCCGGGAAGTCTGCAGTCTGTGAACATGTTCAAGATCGTCCCCACCATTGCATCAGATTTGATAAACCACAAATCCTCGCAAAAGAACACCGATTCCTACCAAGGATGATACGTGAGGCTATTGAAATTAAAAAACATCCTTATTTCAATAGAGAAGATGGTTAGGTGCTGCCATCTGCTTGTGATCCTATAATTAACAAAATTAAACCCAAACCCAAGCATACCACTGCACGACTTCAAGATACTGTAAGTTCATTTTGCGTAAATCGGACCAAAAATTAATATTCAAAAACTGAAGGTAGCCAGGCTAACAATGACATTGGGACGTCAAACATCTCAGTCCCCCCCGTGACCATGGTTGCTGTAAAGCACCCGAAACGTCGGGAATTAAAAATAAGTAAAATCAGTTAAATAAACGCGATGATAGAATCCGTAAATTTAGTTTTATTCAATGTGTAGTGTTCGCGTAAATTTAAGAAATCATTATACCTATATTTCTATCAAATTTATACGTGGTAGAGAAATGCCGCAGCTATATTAGTAGTATATTTGCAGCACGAATGGGTCGGCTCGACCGGAGAAGGACCACGCTCTCACAGAATACAAGCGTAAAATAGCAGCTTAATACTCCTGTGTTTCGTATGGTGAGTGTAGAGATCCGGAGACCCTATTTACTGGAAAAGAGGCATTACATCTTAGTCCTCATAGGTGATAACGTATCTGCATTATGATTCGTAATCGAGGATGATTGTAGATGTCTATAGGCCACAGTATCGACTTACCATCAGGTGGACTGTGTGCTCGTTTATTATTCTAATTCCATTAAAAAACATCAAAATGATGATGCGTTACTAGCCCTGAGGAATAAGATGGAATGCCTCGTTTCACCACACGAAACAGGAGTATTAAGATGCTATTTCACGCTAGTATTCTGTGGGAGCGTGATCCTTTTCCGTCGAGCAGACTCATGTGATACAAAACAACAGCCATCCTTTAAATGTTATTTTCTATGTAAATTACATAGAAAAAAAATACATATCAGCAACGTTAAATTTTGTATGGTATTAAATATTTTTAATTAAAGTTGTATTAACATAATCAAGTACAAACCAAGAGGGGATTGTTGAAAATGTGAAGTCTTGTGGGAATTCAAAGTAAATAATATCTGCAAATGACAAGGCATAAAGATCCCATCATCGGAGCCTCCATTGATCTATCCATCGGAGGCCACGGGGTGATTTTCTTACCGTTACCCAAATCAAAAGCCCATAGCTGAATTGGCCTCCCCCATAAACTGCCTCACAGATTCCCCTTTCTGAGGCCGGCATTTACAATAGTTGCCATGCTTGGCGAGCGGTTTGACAACCACAGTTGTACCGCAGTGTGTAACCGCAGAATGTAGACGAATGAAGACGGGATCATATACGTAGGAGGCCATATTCAAAATTCACCTGAGAATAATAATAGAAAACACCCAATTTTACTAGACTTAATCACTAAGCTATTATTTAATCAACAACATAAACAGTATAAGCACTGCTGTCCTCAGTTGTAAGTTGTCAGTAGTTGTATCTTGTCTATAAAAAAATTCTATGATCTCTATTTCTGAGTTTCTCAGAAAGAGCCTGGTTTCGGGACGATATGGGGTAGTGGATATTCCTGTTATTGTGAAATATTACCTCTCCCTACTCTCCTGGTCTGCTTTTGCTGCCTCTTCTAGCTGCTGCTGTAGTTTCATTGCGGTGGCACGATCGCGCTCCTCTTGCTTAATCCTCTCAGCTTCTTCTGCTTTGCGACGGGCCTCCATCTCTGCTTTTCTGTAAATATAGGAGTTGGAGTTATTTCAATTCATTTTGATGCATTCCAGTTCTTTATTGTGATGGTGATGTTGCTAGAATTTAGTTACGAATATATATATATAAATATATATATATATATATATATATATATATATATATATATATATATATATATATATATATATAACACGTAACATAATTAACGCACTTTGAGAAAGTAGTTTGTTCAGAATCGTTTACTGAATCGATACCTATTTTTAATATAGGTAATTTTTTATCCCAAAAATATTTAAAACCACATAAATTACAGTCACACTAAATCTGTACAAAAGTCAAAACAAACTGAAATGGACCGTAACTTAAGGCAATAAGACTTTTAAGAGTGCAGTTTTATTTGTATTATTACTAATTCTGTCATTTAATAAAAATAAAGAAAAATGAACTTTATTTCAAGCACGTTAAAGTCTTTGCGTTCGTGGATATTTACTGTGACCACAACATTCTTCCGGAATTAGTATAAGTAATTTGATAAATAATCAGTGCATAAAAATGTTTAACTAACAATTCAGTGTATGTATTATGATTATAACATAATATACTAATTGGGGCGTCTGAGGGTGTGCTTTAATTACGTTATAACGGACGTAAATGGAACTATGTTTTGTTATACGACGTCTCTGGATTAAATTACTATACGAATTCAATGCGAGAAAAAATGTATACTCAAGGTGCTGTATCCGTAACAGTCAAAATGCAGTTGCGTTTTACCTCTGATTACAAAGTTAGAATACCTCCTGGTTATAAGTATAAACGGTGTCCGGTTTTAGTCAATGAATACATGAAACACAGTAACATTATGCTGCTATATCTCTCTGGTATTCAGTACTACGGTTTTTCCCCGGTCGATCCATCCATACAGCTGCAATGTTGCTAGTAATACCAGTTACTCGACTCCACCGAGCCAGTAATTCATTCTTGGGGCGATGTAACCCTTTTAAAACAAAATCCCAGAAAATATACAAAATTTGACCTGCACAAAGTTAAAAAACATTATTATACTAAATTAGTATAAAAAGAGTCATTATAATATTAAGGAATTTATGGATGATAATAACCCTTGGGAAGGGTGATCGCTACCAAGCTGTTTCTAATTTGTTATGTGTTCTTAATTGTAATTTGTAACATACAGGATTGTAAGCTGTTATTTTTTCTTAAAAAGTCCGGCTGTGTTTCTTGCTGGTTCTTCCCAGGACAGAGGTATTTTTTCCGAACCAGTGGTAAATTAAAAAGTGACTTCCAATAAGTATTATTTATAATCTATATTTAATAAAAAAAAGTTTCTGTCTCTGTCTCTGTTTCAAGATGTGGCTCTACAAACATTTTTGTTATATTCATTATATACAACAGGCAGTGAAATTGTTTTGAAATAGTACGATTGGGATAAGATTAATGCCCTCTCAATGATGAGAAGGTTTATTGATATAAACAATTAAACGACTTGAATATGTAGCTATAATTGTTGGAGGAGGTAATTGAGTTTATCAGCGGGTCAGATTCTTAAATGAATAATAGTTATTACGAAATTACAGCTATGTTACGGATACGAAAACAAAAGTCACAAAAGTCAAAAGTCATGGGTTCGAATTCACCACTCGGTAACTTTCGTGTACCACACTACTAACAATAGCATTTTAAGCACTACTGATATTCCGACCTTAACCACTAGTCACTGAATTCTTCTCCTACCGTCGCCGAATCATTACTTAAACAAAATGTTAATGCGTGTAGAAAGAATTTTACATTTCATAAAGTATCATCAAAAGATATTGTAGAATATTTTAAAACTATTGATATTAAGAAAACCGCAGTTCTATGGGATATTTCCGTTAAAGTTCTATAATAGATACAATCGCATCTCAATTATGTATTATTTTTAATTTTATTTTTATTTTTAATTTTACTAGTATCGAATCGGGTGTGTTTCCTGACTTAATTAAGCATAGTAAAGTTAACTTAAAACAGTATTATATGATAAAGACACTTAATTAATTTTCAAATTAAAACGACAGTTAAAATGTTAACTAGCATTTTAGGTCAGTTGGAGCTATTAATTAGAGTAGGAGTAGTATTAACAACAAAGGCAGTATTCTTTCAGTAAAGTAAAATAAACAATACACAGGGGTACCAAGAAGGACTTCAATGTATAAAAGATACTACTATATATTAGATGGATTGTCTTCATACATTGCGCGTATTAACTTACGGTTCATTTTTTGTAAATCTTTTAGTTGACTACAAGTAAGTAAGAAGACTAGGTTTATTTTTTTTTTGGCAAAACGCGATCATTGTTTTCTACATAGATTGTATATTGGATTTTGAATATTGATTTTGTTAAAGGTAATTAATAAGAAAACGCTGTCATTATTTATGTGCGCACTTTGTCAATGTGATTTGAAGTTTATTTCAGATAAGTATATTTTTTTCGAATTCGCCCAAAAACAGTCGTCATGAATGAAAATAAAACTGTGTGGCATATTTATTGTGATGCGCCCCTACCCACGCGATTGACAGCCGTTTGTGTTTTTAATTACTGGTACAACAGTATACACAGAAGTGTTTGTAATATATAAATTAGGAGTGTTTGGTGTTTACTGTGCTAGCTATGTATTGTTTTGAATTACCGGTTCATCACTGAACATTTGCTATAGTTGCTACACTTGCTAAGCGGGTTGGCACGACATCCACGGGATAACACGGGGTATTGTATATTTTTACGGGTTGAATCTGAATGACAGGGTGAGAAATTGCGTGTTAAGAGATAAATGTGGTATGAAAGATGATGTGACTAGGATTAAGAAAGAATGCTTCGGTGGTTTGGTCATCTAGAAAGAATGAATGAGGAAAGAGTGACAAAGCAAATTTATATGGCAGATGTGAACGTCAGAGCCGGGAAGGGACGCCCTAGAAGAAAGTTTATTTATATATATATATATATATATATATATATATATATATATATATATATATATATATATATATATATATATATATATATATATCTGTGGTGTCTGGGAGAAACCTGATAACTCCATTTTCGTCATTTTTTAGTTTGGTACTATGCTGTTATTAAAAAAAATCATAGGAGTGGGAGAATTGTGCGGTAAAAACGTGACTATTCATGATTTTTTATTAATGGTTTGGTACAAATTCGATAACTAAACTAGTCATCATATTATCAAACGCAAAAAATTAAAAATTTAGATCTTATTTCTGATAACTCCCACATATCAGCTCTGTATCAAATATTTAAATATATTTTTAAGATTTTCTAATAAAAACATGATAAGTCCCAATTGTCATGTTTGTACCACTTATAAATCAAATAAAGCCTTGCTTCAACACTGATTTATCCCACATAACAAGTTTCTACCAAAACTAATTTTATTTTTTACTTAACTTCTGCAAAACTTATCAAAATTTGATGCTAGTTATTATTGTGAATAAATGTGAAAAAATTAATAAACCGCCATCTATGCGTATTGTTGTGAACTATTTCGCTTCTCGACCCGGTTAACTGTCAATACTGTCATTTCATTCATTTTTACCTTTGACTAGAGAAAAAAGAAAGGACATGACATAAAGATCGTTAGTTGTAGGAATGTAATGAAATATCGGCGTCTCTTTTTAGCTTATGAGTATATTCGTATGTAAAAAAGGACAACATTAGTTTTATCATTACCGAATATGGCAACAATTTTTTCGCTGCGGCCGGGCGCCATGTTTTGTCGCAGTCAAAGACACCTATATCAGTTGTCATTGCACTTTAGTGAGGTGAGTGTGTTATTTTCATATGTTTCTCGCGTGGAATTCGATTATTACCAAATTTCTTATTCTATTCCTCGGGACCTCTAAATTGGCATAAAAAGTATCCTATATGTTAATTCAGATAATAAACTATTTGTGTGCCAAGTTATTACATTCAAACTAGTCTGATACTTTTGGCGTGATTGAGGAACAAACAAACATTCAAACTTTGCATTTATTATAGTTTGATTGGTGTGAGTATGATGACTGAGCCTAATTTATTGTCTAACAAACAAACAAACAAATTTTTTTAAAATTAGTATTCCTTGTTTAGTAATTCCCGGGAAATAATTGTAACATTAATAATAGATAATTACATTATAAAAACAAAAAAATGACTGCTTAAACGTAATGAACTGAAAACATACGTATAACTTGTAATATATTTCAGTAATCTCCTTTTAATTTCCTTTATTTTAATACCCCTTATCGATAGGTTGAGTAAAAAAAAATTAAGGACTTACAATTTAGCGTCAAAAATCCGTCATATTGATTTAAAAAAACCTATTTAAGAACACACGGGTGTTTGAGACGAATCACACGAAAGAATCTTTTTCGAAATAAGCGCCACATTATCGATATTAAGTATAGTGCGCAGCACTACGTCAAGCCGCCATTTTTGTGCCAGACTCAGTTTAGGTATAAACGTTTTTTTCGTAGGAATGTCATGTCTTTTCTTTCTTCTCTAGTCAAAGATTTTTACCCTCTCTCTTTCTTATTGACGGTTTCGTTCGCGCCCTTTTCGCCAACTTTTGTCAGAACAGGTGAAGTTTTTCAAACGAAAACAATATTATTACAGTTTTAAAATGAATAATCGCAGAAACAATGCACAAAGTGCTCGTTCTCGTGGCATACTAGATTCGTTGTTGAAATTTTCAAATGATTCGCAGTCCGAGTCTGATTTACATGTAAGTGAACAACTTTTGTTGCAACTAAGATTTGTTAGCAAACAAATAAGTAATTTTTACGTTATATTCGATAGCTAGAGCCTTTTCTTATTCATTCAATCTTGTTTTTTTTATTGTAGGAAAGAAATGTAGTACTCGTTACCGAAAATGTGTTGGTACATGCAACACAAAATTGGTCTCCTGACAGGAATAAACAAGTTTCTTACTCTCGCATTGATAAAAGTGATGACGACAATTCTATTGAAATAGTAAGTAGATAGTCATTTGTAATTTACATGTGTGTGAATTAATACTTTATCTTATGCATCTTAAAGATTTTAGATAATCGATCGATGCCCCTTGAGTCTGAATTTAGAACTGATTATATTAAAATAGAATTGGAAGAAATAGCAAGCTCATCTTTATATAATATTATGGAGAAGAATTCGTTTGAAAAAACAGCTACTTCCCACTTAGTAAAAACCACAAGACCAACACAAGTCCAAATAAGTTTATCAAGATAATTAGGGTAGTTTTGATCTCCAGCCTACAAGAAAGTAATGATTAATGTACTTTCAGCTCGATATACCTAGCTCTCAGACTCAAAAGAACTATGAAGACAGGACACCAGAAAATATTGATGAACATCTGGACGATACTGTTTTACCCCAAATTGTTTGTGAAACTTCTAATCAAGTAAGTACTTCAGTTTACAAACCAAATTTTATTTTTGCAATATTGTATATATATGGTATTTATTATGAGTTTAATACTTTCTTTTTTAGAGTAATATTATTCAAAACAATGAAATTGAATCAGGATCATCAGATTTTTCTGCAGAAAAATCAAGAGATGTTTTACAAGATAATACAGAATGTCATATTGAGATGGTAGGTTTTTTGATATTTTATTTAACTTATTTTCTAAGATTGTTCTGTGATTACTTACGTAAAAATTATTCTTAGGGAATACTGACAAAACAAAAGTTGTTTTTAGTACTTATAAAACAGTTTATTTTTCACTTTTTTACAGGGTCAGGATATTAGCTCTGGCTCTGATGATGAATGGCAACCTGTCAGTCATGATTTGATAACATCTATTGAAAACGAAGAATCTACAAGTAAATCTGACTCCGATGATGGTGATGGTGACGATAATATCCCATTGGCTTTATTATGTAGAAAGAGGAAGAAAGGTTATGGTCCTTTTCAAAGAAAGCTACGAAAGGAGCGTACGGAAAAACGTCGAAAAGGCGAGGAATATGTAATTGCAAAAGGAAAATGTATACCAAAGCGTTATCCAGGTGGATTTTCAGATAATTGTAGGGCAAAATTTCAACAAAAGCTTGAGAAAATTAATTTGAACCAGCTTTACATTGACTACAGGGAATTACCGTCTAGAAAAGCACAAAAGAGATATTTGAGTGGATTGATTAAAATTAAACCAAAAGAGCGTACAAGAAGAAATTCATTTATGAAAAACAGAGAGGTAACAGTTGTTTACAATATAGATGGAACTGAAGGAAATATTTGCAAAAAATGTTTCATGAAAACATTTGGTGAAGGCAGAGGTTTTATAGACGAAATCGTTAAAAAGAAAAAGAACAGCTCATCGGCATGTGTTATTGTAAAAGCTGATCAAAGAGGTTTAAGGGATCCTGGAAATAAACGTTCTGACCATGACATCCAATACGTCAAAAACTTCATCGACGAATTTCCAGCTTATGAAAGTCACTACTCCCGACGCCATACGAATAAAAAATACCTTCATCAGGATTTAAACATGAAGATATCGTACAAATTGTACAAAGATCAATACGTGAAAGACAATGGAGAAGAAGGATTACCGCCAGTAAGCATTACGCTGTTTCGTAGCATTTTTAAAACACTCAATTTGAAATTCAAAAAACCTTCAAACGATACTTGCGATTCGCTTACGGTTCAAATTAAAACTTGTGAGGATACTAATGAAAAACAAAATTTAGAAGAGAAAAAGACTATTCATCAAAGTAAAGCTGAATCACATTATAATTCGAAAAGAGAGGACAAGGAATTGAGTAAGCAAAGTGATGGAAAAATTGTTGTTGCTGCATTCGATCTACAAAAATGTTTAGCGACTCCTTATCTATCAGCTGGAATATCGTTTTATAAAAGGAAACTATGGAGTTTTAATTTAACTGTACGTAACATCACAGAAAAACGAACGCACTGTTTTGTTTGGTATGAAAGTATCGCACAAAGAGGTGCGGATGAGATTGCATCATGTTTGTTTCGATTTATTATGGAGCTACCAGAGATTGTAGAGCAGATAATCTTCTACTCAGATACCTGCCCAGGACAAAACAGAAATAATATTTTACCATTAATGTTTGCATTAGCTGTCAATCAAAAAACCAGTTTAAATGAAATCCATCACAAATTTTTAGTGCCCGGACATACGCATTTGGAATGCGACAGCGATAGAAAGATTTATAAAACATCATAGAGTTTCAATTTCTGTTCCACAAGATTGGGCAAACATTATCCAAATGACTAGTCGCAGATACACACTCCAAATGATGACACAAGAAGAGTTTTTAGGATTTTCTCAACTTTTCAAAACAATGTTTATGAAAAGAAGCATTGATACCGATAAAAATCCTTTTATTTGGAACAATATTTTTTGGATAATGTGTTCTAAAGACTAATGATGTGGCGTTCAAAGAGTCTTTAGACTCAAGTGAACCTTTTAGATACTACTCATTTGTTAAAAGGGGACGGGTATCATCGGTTGCTACTTTGAGCATACCAAGAGCATATTCGAGTCCTTGACCTATATGCTCAAAAAAGTACCATGATATTATAAGTTTTCTACCTTTTATAGATCGTGTTTATCATAATATTTATAAAAATTTGAAAACCTCAAACACGAATCCTGACTCTGTAAGCGACAGTGACGAAAATTACGAATAAATTATAACACTTATGTTCTACTAACTTTTGATTTCAATATGTTAACTCCATTGTTATCGATTTAATTAGTTAATGTTAATTTGGTTAAAAATGATAAGTGCCATTTAAAATGAAACGGCTGTGTTTTTAGTTTTAGTTAATATATTTAAAAAAACCTGATTAATAAACTAAACTTGAACCTTAAAAGTCTTATACTGAAAAATTACGTTTTTGGACTTACTAGGTTTCTCCCAGACACCACATATATATATATATATATATATATATATATATATATATATATATATATATGTGTGTGTGTGTGTGTGTGTGTGTGTGTGTGTGTGTGTGTATGTGTGTACGTATGTTTGTGATAAAATAAACAATAATAGCAGTGGTGGTGCACTCACAGGCGGCGGTTTTGTTCATCCTGCTGCTGGCGCTGCAGCTCGGCACGCTTGGCCGCCTCGGCCGCGCGCAGCGCCTCCTGCACGCGCCGCACGCGCTCCTGCTCCTCCCTGCACGCACGCACACACAGTGCAATTATATGTATCGCTTGCGCATAAGTCGCGCTGTTTGGCTCGTGCATATCGCTCGCACGCGCTCATTGGCTCTACAATCGCATTCGTGCAATTAAATTCGTGCGCGTCCCCTCCACGTTTCATTCAGCGCTAGACTTACGTGCCGCTACTTGTAAATTACTGTTAAATCTACAATATCAGTTAGGGATGGGCTATTTTTAAACAGTATTGATAATTATCGCGTAATAAACATCGATATATAGATATATCGACATATTTTGCATAATGTAGTAAATGAGAGCCAAAATTTTATTACAGGACGTTTTGTCGACGAAAAATATACAGCACATAAATGCTTTTGTAGTTTCATTTGTAGCTTAATGTTTTGTCTGTTAAATCATAAAATAAATATAACATTTTAAATTATATTGAAATTGATACAAACTCGATACCATAAAATAAATATCGAATATCGATATTTACTCACAAATTTTTAATTATATATGAATATAATTAAAACGTATTTACCTATTCTTCTGATCGGTCATAGCGTTCTGCAAAGCGACCATTTGCATCTCCGCTTCCTTGGTGAGCTTAGTAAATAATTGATCTATTTCTGCGCGAGTGATCTTCTCATTGCTCTGGAAAGATTTAAAATTTCAAAAATTTACTCTGGTAATTTGTTGGTCCTCCTACGAACAAATTAAACAACCCACTACTACCTCCTTGGTGACCTTGACGTGATCAAACCTATGATACGTCAAGCAACTGGTAGTAAAAATCATGAAATATATTTATCTATTCAAAATAAGACAAAAAAAAATATGTTTGTCAGAATGATTTCTTATATTTACGCGAACATTGCACATGATTAAAACTACTTTTACGGATTCTATCGCGTTTATTTTTACTTTTTATTTTTAATTCCCGACGTTTCGGGCGCTTTCCAGCACCCATGGTCACGCCCCCGTGACCACTGTGATGTAACTGCATTTTTAGAACATCTTAGTTCCATAAACGCTAAAATTCAATTTACTATGGAGTTAGAGGCAAATAATTCCTTACCTTTCCTAGATGTAATAGTCATCCGAAATCCAAATAACACCATTGGTCACACTGTGTATAGGAAAAAGACCCATACAAACCGATATTTAAACGGTGAATCTCACCACCATCCTTCACAGTTAGCTACCGTGGGCAAATCTTTGTTACAGAGAGCACGAGGGATCTGTGACAGCAAACACCTGGCCGCCGAGCTTCAGCACGTCAAGCAAGTTCTGCACGACAACAAGCTTCGGGTCCCACGCCTACGTCACAGTGACCGAGTGAAGCCGGCCACAGTCGAGCGTGTGCCTGCTGTACTACCATATGTCAGAGGTGTCACAGACAAGATTGGCTATATCTTGAAGCGAGCTTCTATTAGAACATTCTACAAGCCGCCGAAGAAGATTAGTCAGTTCCTACCATCCGTCAAGTGTCATATTCCTCTACAAGATGCAGGAGTGTACAAGCTTGATTGTGAATGTTGTCTCTCTTATATAGGACAAACAAAAAGATCAATTAGGACCCGCGTAAAAGAACATGTAGCTGATGTGAAGCATCAACGTTCCGGGAAGTCTGCAGTTTGTGATCATATCCTAGACGGCCCCAACCATTACATCAGATTTGATAGACCACAAATCCTCGCGAAAGAACACCGATTCCTACCAAGGATGATACGTGAGGCTATTGAAATTAAAAAACATCCTAATTTCAATAGAGAAGGAGGCTGGGTAGTACCACCTGCTTGGGATCCTATAATCAATAAAATTAAAACTAAACCCAAGCATACCACTGCAAGAACTCAAGACATAGTCAGTTCATTTTGCATAGATCGGACCATAAACAATAATTAAAAAAGCTGAAGGTACTCCGGGTTTAACAATGACATCGGGACGTCAGTCATCTCAGTCCCCCGTGACCATGGGTGCTGGAAAGCGCCCGAAATGTCGGGAATTAAAAATAAAAAGTAAAAATAAACGCGATAAAATCCTTAAATTAGTTTTAATCATATGTTTGTCAGATTTAATTTTTTTAATTAAACTTAAAAAAAAACTGTTGCCCTTGTTTATCGTTTAAATAATGGTTTGTAGTGGATTTTGATACGTGAATTGTGATGCGATTTTGTGTATTAAGTGTCTGCACATATGAACTATTAGAGAAAACGATGAAATAAGTACTTCGATGTTGATATAAACCTCAAATTATTTTGATTGCTTACGGCTTATGAACTTGAGTGAATGTCACCTCATCGACTGTCCGCTGGGTTGAGCTGTCGTCAAAATCTTCCAAAAACTTTGCAATGTGGTGCATCAGCATTTTCAAATTTTCAAAAGAATCAATAAATTTATTGAACTGCGTCATGTACATTACCTACCATAAATTAAATGTTGGAATAATAAATGTTAAGATTCTCTAGTATTTCCGCCCGGCGGCCCGTGGCATTTTGTCCAGCTTGCCACCCTATTGCTACGCCATTGGCTGTATGTTTGTGTTATATGTAGGTATGCGAGTATCAAGTCCATTGGAGTGGGATGGGCAAATCTGGCATGTAATACATGCTAGCTGAAGCTTAGTTGCAAGGGTCTTTGTCCAGTGTAGAACTAAAAAGGTTGGTTAACAGTGATGAAGGATTGCTACAAGATAGACACTTCTGGACACAAACACATGGGAACCAATACAAGTGCACTGTGTTGACAATAAAAAAACACACACGGAACATCAGACTACTTATGTATTGTGGTAAATGGAGATATATACCATTTCGTTGTCGTCAGAGCGGCGACGGACACCATCGTTTGATAATGGCTTAAAGTTGCAAGATATGTGGTAATCCGATCGTTCGGGAGAGTCCAGCCAATAGTCAAAAATCAAGTGACAAAAAGATAATGGATTGATGAAGAAAAAGAAGAATAAGATACGAAGATCATAGTCTAGTCCATAAATTAAACGAGATTTATCATAATCGCCATGCATAGCAACCAAATATGCGATTTAGTGGAATCGCATACTATGATGTAAGTAATCAAGTCATTCTTGTGATAACACAAAAAAAACAAGACCAGTTAAAATCCATATCGGCTTTATAAATCCTAATGAAGTAACAATAAAAAAAAATTAATAACTAAACTACTGGAAAATATAGAAAACAGATAAACCACCTTTTATTCCACCGCTGTACACAGGCTTCCCCATAGATTGCCTCTTTTGGGAGGTCAGCTGCCATAGTAGCCACGACTCACGGGGGGGGGGGGGGATAGCAACCACAGTTTTTATTGGGTGCGTTTGGCAGAAAAAAGCGCTAGCAAGCGCTTGTAAGCAAAATTGCGAAACTAAACAGTTTTCGGCCAGGACACGTTTGCTAACTTCAGTAGCGCTGACACAATCCGCCATTTTGCTTATTTACTTTGTTTGTTTTGAAGTAGAGTTTATAAGTTGTTTGTGTTTAAGTAATATAATGACATGAATAAAAATATTATACATGTTATTAAAAATTCATGATTGGTAAGTTTTTAATCTTTACAAAGATATATTTAAATTAGGTTAGGTTCCCCGGTTAAAACTAACTTCGTGTTCTAGAGGAAAATAGCTACTTACACACTTACAAGCGCTTGCTAGCGCTTTTTTCTGCCAAACGCGCCCAATATGATTTGTTATTAGGAAGATGTTGCTGCCGATCACCTTTTTGATTCCCCTCTGCCTTCTCTAACGACACCCACCGGATGATATTGAGTAATAGATTCTCTTACGCTGCTGCCATTAAACAGCGACTAATTGGAGTACAGCTTACCTTAATCAACTCGCAAGCATTTCTCATAGAATTTCTCAGATTTTCTATATTCTTTTTGGCTGCTTCTTTCTCTTTCTTCAGTTGAGCCGTAACTGAATCCATCTCCTTCATCTTCTCCTCCAATGTTTTGATCTTAACAATGCCTCTGTATCTCGGTTGGTGTTGACGACGGACCAGATATCCACGTATGGTCTTTTGTAAGAGAATGAGACATTCGCGGCGGTACAGGATTTTGTTCTTCACTGCAAAGAAACAAAAGGTTAATTAATATCCAATAATTTGCGATAGTGAGAGACAAAAGACAAGGAGTTTTCTTCCACGTACAACCTCTCTGTGGAATAGTTTACCACCGGCGATTTTTCCGGACCGATACGACCTGGGGACCTTCAAGAAAAGAGCTTACTCCTTTCTAAAGGGCCGGCAACGCACCCGCAATTCTCCTGGTGTTGCGGTTGATCATGGGCGGCGGTAGTCACTTAACATCAGGTGAGCCGCATGCTCGTTTGCCCCATCTTCTATAAAAAAAAAAACAAAAAAAAACAAATAAATACAATAAATAGAATCACTTAATAGTTAGAAACAGTAGCTTACCTGATTCCAGATTTTTGAAAAAGTATTATTTATCATTCGTATTGAATAAGAAACTTTTTTATTCAATATGGATAGTAAATAATATTTTTTTCAAAATCTGGATTCAGATAAGTTACTGTTTTTAACGGTTTCTGTTTATAAAAATAGATGCAGTGGTTTAATTAACACCATAACTTAAAAAAAATTGAGGAATGTTTTCGTGTATGTTGTTTACAGTTCTCGCGGCGTAAGCTGAGCTTTGCATTTGTGTGAGTGATCGCCAAAAGTACAGTTAGTAAAAAAACTTATAAATAAAATCAATGTTTTATTAAAAGTTAATGCTGATATTTTGATTATCCTCAATTATAGTAATAACAGTAATAAACTAGTGTGAGACGTGTTATATATGTTTCGTCAGTATAAACGATTAGGCGGCCCTGAGCGCGATATTCGGCAATTTTAATGAGAAACATTATTCGAAGATATCGTATTTCATGTTTCTCCATAAGGATTCTGCGATTGTCTTCTGTACTTTTCCACTTGAATACTAATAGAGATACTTCTTTTCTTAATGACGTAATTGCACCTGGATAATTTATTTCTGCCTTTAACTTTTCGTGTAATATTTTCATAGTGGGAACCTGTTTGTCGGTGATGTGAAAGTTATGAAGTATTCTCCGAATAACCATCGGCAAGCTTTATCAAAATCATCGATCACAATGACATTTTTCCTGAATCTTGTTTTTTTCGGAGATTTAAATTTGCTTCCATCTTTCAAAGCAAATTTACCTTCTAATAAAACTTTTTATACAGTTTAGAGCGGAATTCCCGTCGATGTCGCTACCAATAGGGCCGACGTAACGACACTTGACATATCCTTGTCGTTTAAATCTTTGAAATACGTATTCAATTTGTATAAAATTTCTTTTGTTTGGCTGCTTAATGGTCGTTTAGTCAATTTACTTACAGTAGGCGCCAATTCACAAAAAATTCGAATACAACCACAAAATTACATTTACAATTACACGTCTATCTGCTAGCGGTACCAGAGGTGAAGTGGAATGTGTGCGTCAGGGAAGCAACGCGTGGAGGATGCGCCGCGCCTCAGGCCGCGTTTTAAAAACCAGTATAAACTGGTTTAACCCATGCGCGGGACGCGCTGCGCCTCAAGCCGTAGCCCACTGTACACTATTTGTGTGCACTCACACAAACGCAAAGCTCAGCTTACGCCGCGAGGACTGTACACGTTTAAAAATTGGATGTATACACAGTAAGTATATAATTACTTCGTCCAAAATCGCTAAGTGTCTGGTGAAGTTCTCAATAAACGCATATGTCGTAGGTCGGTTGCTAGCTGTCACTTTCCGAAGTAGAGTTTACTTTCACGTTTCCGAAATAACTTACTCTCCACTAACAGACGCACGCTTTTATACTCGATAAAAAGAAAATAGTTCCACTGTTATGACCGGAAAGTACTGGAACATTCGAGATTACATAATGTTACGCCGCGCTCAAATCGGCGCACTAGCGCCATCTAGTCTCGAACCGAAGAACTAAACTTCTTGCAGTTTAAAACTCGAACTCTCGGTACCTTGCGCGTGTTTACTTGAACATTCTGGATATTTTGCTAATTTATATAACTAGGCGCTGCAAGATGCGATCGGGCAGAGTTGAACTCGGCGACACAAGCGAAGCTTCGGAGCGGAATTAAGTGAATTAGTGTGTTTAATTATTAGTGTTTTTAGTTTTAATTTGTGTAAAGTAAATTAAAGTGTTAATTTAGGTAATTTTATAGGCAATTTTTATTGTCACGAACCTCGTAAGCTCGTAACAATTGGTGTCAGAAGTGGGATAAAATAATGCCGATTTTACCTAAGGAGGAAACGGAGGGTGTCCGTACCCGAAGTCAACGCCAGCAGGAGACGGACCAACGAAGATTTGGTGGTGCAACGCCGCAGACGTCGGAGGGCCAGCCACCGGCTGCAGGCCCGTCGGTAGCTCCTACATCTGCAGCACCTGACTTAGGTGCTCTGATGGTGATGCTGCAGGAGCAGGCTCGCCGACAGGAGGAACAGGTCCGTCAGTTGAAAGAGCAGCTGCAGAGCGGACAAGAGGAACAGGCCCGTCAGCAGGCGGAACAGGCTCGTCGGTCGGAAGAGCAGATGCTCCTCATGAAGGACCTTCACGCTACCTTTGGGAAAGAGATAAGGGACGTGAAGGATAGGGTTGCTCAACACGACAACCGCCTGTCGGAAGCTGAAACCCGAATCGAAGAACATGAAACCCGAATCAACCATGTGAACAATCGGGTTGACAACGTGATGGCTGACGTGAAGAAAACGCTAAACGACCTCAAACTTGCGGATGGAACTACAGCTCCCGTAGTAGCTGCAGCACCTTCGCTACGTGGATTCAAAGTGCCGCCGTTCGACGGGACCTCTTCCTGGTCGGCCTACAAAATCCAGTTCGAGGCCGTCATGGAGGCGAACGGCTGGAATAAAAGCCAAGCCATGACTGCACTCACCCTAGGCCTGCGCGACCAAGCCTTAACTGTGTTGGAAGCTCTCGGTAAGAAAGTGACCTATGAGCAGCTTCTTGAGGCCTTGGAAGCGAGATATGGCGACGCTCATCTGGAACACGTCTTTCGGAAAGGTGCACGCACAACAAACAAAAAAAGCCTTGCCACAAGCCGTGCGGCAGGATCATCGTTCCCATCGCATCAGGGAGGTTGCAGCAGCTACAGTTCGCGACCGCAACAGAGGATACAGCCCTAGGTGCTATGGCTGTGGGGAAAAGGGCCATCTTCGATCCAGCTGCCCTAAGCGAACCCTAGAAAAGGAAGGTGAACGATCTCAGGAGGGTAGTGCGGCCAACAGCACCGCCCAGCGGCAGCAGGGAAACGAGTAAAAGCCAGAACTGCGGGGCGGGTGCTGGCTGATGTTAAAAGAGCCCCAAGGATCTCGATCTCACAAACCCATGATGGGAACAGTCTAATCATCAAGAGCGAGGTCAACGGAATGCCGTGTAAACTGACCATAGACACTGGAGCCTTTCGTACGGTTGTTAGTTCCCAACTTATAAGTCAGTTCCTTGGGGACTCCGCATACAACCGAGAACGCATTAATTTGGTAACAGCCACCGGTCAGCGTATACCCGTCCGTGGAGAGAAGGAGATGGAGTTGAAGCTAGGCAACGTGATCTACCTGCATAATGTCATCGTGGCTGATATAATGGACGACTGCATCCTAGGCCTAGACTTTATGAGAAATAATTGTTGTGAGATCGACGTTAAGCAAGGTGTTTTGAAATGTGGACAGGAGGAACTTTTTATGGAAGGTGTGTTACCAGGGAACGTGTACAGGGAGCTTTAAGAAGATTGTTCTTCCGCCGAGATCGGAAACGATTGTTCCGGTTAGTCTTCCTCGAAACGCTGGGGAAGCTCACCGTTGTGTACTTGTGGAAAGGGTAAACAATGACCTTCCATGGAAAGTAGCTCGAACCTTGGTCAGGTCCACTAACATCTCAGGAGTACGTGTGCTGAACCTTTGCGGCCGGGAACAGATTATAGAAAAAGGCACACTGATTGGTACTTGTGAGGAAGTGGATTGATTACGTCGGTGCCAATATATATCGAGTGGGACCCCCAGCAAGGATGCAGAAACGAGAGTGACCACACTTTTGGAAGACTGTCGCAGTGTTCTCTCCCCGAACGAATTGGTCAAGGCGAAGAAGTTGTTACTCAAGTACGCCGATGTATTCTCATCAAACGATGCTGACATAGGAAAGACTGGCTTAGTTCAACACAAAATAAACACAGGAGAAGAATTGCCTATCCGTCAGCGGCCAAGAAGATTGCCGGTAGCACGTGAAAAGGAAGTGGAAACCATGATTGAAGGAATGGTGAAGGATGGTGTTATTGAACCTTCCTCACTAGTCCATGGTGTTCACCAGTGGTGCTGGTGAAGAAGAAGGATGGCAGCATGCGGTTTTGTGTTGACTACCGCCGTCTGAACGACGTTACGAAGAAGGACAGCTATCCCTTGCCAAGAATTGATGACACGCTGGACATGCTTACAGGAGTAAAGTGGTTTAGCACGCTGGATCTAAAAAGTGGCTACTGGCAAGTTGAAATTGACCCTAAGGACAAGGAGAAAACTGCGTTCTCGACGGGAAAGGGTCTGTGGCAATTTAAAGTAATGCCGTTTGGGTTGTGCAATGCTCCAGCAACGTTTGAAAGGCTGATGGAACTTGTACTTACCGGGCTAATTGGCGATGCCTGTCTGGTCTACTTGGATGACATCATCATCGTAGGCCGTACGTTTGAGGAACACCTTCAAAACCTGGAACGCGTGCTCATGAAGATTCAGAGTGCCAACCTCAAGTTGAGCCCGAAGAAATGTTCACTATTCCAACGGCAAGTTAACTTTTTGGGGTTTGTAGTATCGGAAGAAGGTATCCGCACAGATCCAGAGAAAATCGCCGCTGTCAAGGATTGGCCGGTTCCAAAAGACAAGACGCAGGTTAGAGCATTTTTGGGTTTGTGCTCCTATTACCGGCGATTTGTGAAGAACTTTGCGGATATAGCCAAACCTCTGCACAAGCTAACCGAGGAGAAGCGACATTTCTGCTGGGATGAAAGTTGCAATATCGCATTCCAGGAGCTCAAGGACCGTCTGTGCAAAACACCTATTTTGGGATACCCTGATGCAAGCAAAGAATTTATAGTTGACACAGACGCAAGTGATATAGGACTTGGCGGTATGTTGTCTCAACGGAATGGTGACCAAGAGGTCATGATAGCCTACTTCAGCAAGTCGTTGTCAAAACCGGAAAGGAACTACTGTGTCACAAGACGCGAATTGCTAGCTGTGGTAAAGTCGTTGCAGCATTTTAGCAAATATCTTCTGGGGCGAAAATTTCACTTACGAACTGACCATGTTGCACTAAAATGGCTATTGCAGTTTAAAAATCCAGAAGGACAAGTTGCGAGGTGGATTGAACTACTGCAGGAATACGACTTTGAGATCGAACATCGCAATGGGAAATCTCATGGCAACGCAGATGCATTGTCAAGAAGACCTTGTCCTGAAGATTGCAAACATTGTACTAGGCAAGAGAGTAAGGAAGTGGTATCCGTGAGGATGCTCAGGGCAGACCACCTCAGCAACGAGTGGAAGGACAGCTTACAACGTGCACAGCAGGAAGATCCGGACATCAAGCCGATCCTGGAATGGATGAAGGCCAGTGCTCCCAAGCCCAAGTGGAGCGACGTCTCAGCGATGAGTTCGACCACTAAAAGCTATTTGGCCCAGTGGGACAGCTTGCTGCTTCAGGATGGAGTTCTGTGCCGTAAATGGGAAAATGTTCGGGGAGACAGCTGTCATTTACAAATGGTTGTCCGTAAAGCTAAAGTACCGGATGTTCTACAGCTGTACCATAATGATTGTTCCGGAGGCCATCTGGGAGTTAAACGAACTCTACTGAAGATCCGAGAACGGTTTTATTGGGTCCACTGTCGAAACGATGTCGAGGACTGGTGTCGCAAATGTACAAGTTGTGCGGCTGTAAAGGGACCTCAGACTCGTAGTAGAGGTGCATTGAAGTTGTACAATGTTGGTGCACCATGGGAGAGAATAGCCATTGACGTGGCGGGGCCGTTTCCGGAGAGTGAAAGCGGTAACAAGTATTTCATGGTTGTGATGGATTACTTCACTAAGTGGCCAGAAGTCTTCGCCATTCCAAATCAAGAAGCTTCAACAGTTGCTGATAAGCTAGTTTATGAAGTCTTCTGTCGTTTTGGTGTACCTTTAGAGATTCACAGCGATCAAGGAAGGAATTTTGAGTCTCAAATATTCCAGGAAACTTGCCGAGTTATGGGTACTCATAAAACAAGAACGACTTCTTATCACCCGCAATCTGATGGAATGGTAGAACGATTTAATCAGACATTGGAGAGGTACCTAGCAAAAGTTGTAGACAATCGGCAACGAGATTGGGACAAGCACATACAACCGTTTTTGTTGTCATATCGAAGCGCTGTTCACGAAAGTACAGCAGTGACACCAGCTTTCGCAAACTTTGGAAGAGAATTACGGCTGCCTGCAGACCTGATCACCGGGATACCACCTGATACTCCACGCAGTATAACCGATTATGCAAATGACTTGCGGAACAAAATGAATGACGTTTATGAGCACGTCAGACAATCGGGCCAGCAAATGTCTGAAAAGATGAAAACCCGGTATGACCGCAAAATGAACAACAAAGGGTTCGACGAAGGTTCACTTGTTTGGTTGCACAATCCAGTCCGCAGCAAAGGGAAATCTCCTAAGCTTCAAGCTAAATGGGACGGCCCGTACCGGATTGTGACCAGGATCAACGATGTAACCTACCGGATACAGAAAGGCGCAAGAGGGACTCCTAAGATCATCCATGTGGATCGCCTAGCGCGTTATTATGGGGCCGATAATGCTCGGGACGAGCATGTCTTAGGAGGGGGCAGTGTTACGCCGCGCTCAAATCGGCGCACTAGCGCCATCTAGTCTCGAACCGAAGAACTCAACTTCTTGAAGTTTAAAACTCGAACTCTCGGTACCTTGCGCGTGTTTACTTGAACATTCTGGATATTTTGCTAATTTATATAACTAGGCGCTGCAAGATGCGATCGGGCAGAGTTGAACTCGGCGACACAAGCGAAGCTTCGGAGCGGAATTAAGTGAATTAGTGTGTTTAATTATTAGTGTTTTTAGTTTTAATTTGTGTAAAGTAAATTAAAGTGTTAATTTAGGTAATTTTATAGGCAATTTTTATTGTCACGAACCTCAAGCTCGTAACAATAACAATAACAATATCTAGGCTGCTAAGGTTGCTTTTTGTTTGCATTAATAGTCGGAGCCTCGACTATTTTATGTCTACACATTTTATTACTTATCTTAGGAAGCATTCTCGTGCAAGTGACATAATGCGCAACTGGCTGTCGTAACAATATTATAGAAGTTTTATGTAAGGAAAGTAGAGAAATGTAAGCGTTTAGTTATCAAAGTACTATAACTAATGAATAGCACCGTGATAAGCTGAAACGGTACAATAGTAATGAAATAATGCTTTTTCTTATAGTATAACAGTGACAAACGAGCACACAGTCCACCTGATGATAAGTGGATGCTGTGGCCCATAGAAATCTAAATTCATCCTCGGTTAAGAATCAAAATGGAGATGCGTTGCACTCCTATGACCGCCAGAACTAAGATGGAATGCCTCGTTTCCAGTAGAAAGGTCTCCGGTTCCCTATCCTCACCATACGGAACACAGCAAATATAGCAAAAATAGCAATACTTACGTTTTATGATGGACAACACGGCAAATATTGAGCGTCTCCATCTGGACTTAACCAACCAGGCCAGGACCGAGTGCACTATGGCCTTCAGGTTCTCAGGGTCGGATCGCATGATGGTGTCGAACTCCGAGTACTTCCCCGGCCGGAAGAAGACTCGCGTCAGCCCGAATTTGTAGTCCTTGTCTGATAGACCGAGGCTATGAATTATCGCCTAGAAAAACGTACAAGGTATTACTATGGTTTCCATTCTTAGGATGACCAGGATGTGCTCTAAATTTGTTTTTAAATTGTTCTGTTGTAGAACCTTAAACAGTGAATATTTTACCAATTTTTCTTAGATGTAACTAACATTTGCGTTGCAAAACCAGAAGAAATAATTGTGAAATATCTTTTTAAATTTGGAAGAGTTATATTGTTTAATTAGGTATGATAATACATTAATTGAAGTTGAATGATATATAACTTTCAAATAAATTTGTAGGTACGATAGGCGCGACAGCTACTGTAAATTAATTGTATTATGCCAATAACTTTCGCGCAAGTGCAAGCAATAAGTTGACAAAATTTTACTACAATGTGACAAAGGGTATGGACAGCACATAAAATACGAACAAACAAACATAAATTTTTATATATTAGAATTAGATTATTGTTCTCAATTTGAGTTAATTAGTCAGTATGATTATCTGCTTTAAAAATTGTAACGGTTCTTTTCAAGCCGGTTCAGTAAAATTTGCAAATGACGTGTGCGAGTGCGGGTGAGAAGAGTGTGTGTGTAGGTTTGATTGAGAGTTAGTAGATGAATGTGAGTTCGTAAGTATGAGAGAGTAGGTGAGTACAAGTAGGAGAGGAATGCGTAGGTGAGTATAAGTAGGCGAGGAATGCGTAGGTGAGTGTGTGTGTGTGTGTGCCGCCTGCATGAGCGAGTGTGAGCAGGTGAGTGTGAGTCACCTCGCAGAGCACGCTGGGCGCGAGTTTACGCAGCGGCGGCGGCAGGTGCGCGGCGTAGAGCGCGTGCAGGTCGCGGAAGGGCGCGCGCGAGGGGAAGCCGTGCTGCATGAGCTCCAGCACGGACGCCGTGCCCGAGCACTGCAGCTGCGCCAGCACCAGCGCGCCCTCCACCGCGCGCCCCACCATTCGGCTGTTCGGCTTCACGCACCGCACGAAGTTCGTGCCCTGACCAACAACACCACACACAGATAACGTTAACCGAATAGTAGCGCCCAATAAGAACCCACGACCCCATAACGTCCCGTGAGTGTCTCCAGAAACAACAGACATCTAAAACTAATACATTCATTTGTCAAACATTCTAAAACGGAAATCTTCTTGATAACAACTTCAAGTAATAAATAACCGGCCAAGAGCGTGTCGGGCCACGCTAAGTGTAGGGTTCCGTAGGGTTTTCCCGTCCGTCGCAATAAGTGTTCCCACTTATGAGTTTAAAGGTGGGTATCCATCAAGTTCGCGCTCCAGCAGCGCTCCGCGCTCCTGCAACTGCTCCCGGTAGTGGGTACTGTTGTTTCCATCCAAGTTCAAAATGATTTTCCTGGAAAGTTCTTATAAAGTTCTACTTTTCAGATTTTATTCATATTTTCTAAACTTATGGTTCAAAAGTTAGAAGGGGGGGGGGGACACATTGTTTTTTTACTTTTGGAGCGATTATTTCCGACATTACTGACATTATCAAAAAATGATTTTAGTAAACCCCTAATCATTTTTAAATGCCTTTCCACATAATAAAACATTAAAAGCTACCCTAATATAACATTTTTTCCAATTTTTATTTTACCACTTTGTCGGCGTGATTGATACACATATTGGTACCAAATTTCAGCTTTCTAGTGCTAACGGTCACAGAGATTAAGCGAGGACGGACAGACGGACAGACAGACATGGCGAAACTATAAGGGTTCCTATTTGACTACGGAACCCTAAAAAGAACTGCAGTTGCAAACCAAGCGTACCATGGCAAATATCCCCCGTATGAGAAAACTTATAGAGAAGACCTATGTTCAGCAATCAATTTTAATGGGTTATGATCATAGAATACTATAATACACAATAGAAGGGCTGTCAAACTTATTTTGTACGAGATTTGGCGTCGCCGGTAGCACACATACAAGCAATTACGTCGTATTATCACTACTACAAACCCGATTCGCCATTTTGACATACTGACTTACACATTTTAGATTTTTGATTAATGTTCAAAATCATCATTAAAAAAAATCGTTTAATTTTTAATACATATTTATAGTCGTATGTAAATAATGTGCAACTTGGTATTTTCTTAATAATTTGCATGCAAAATTTGGAAACGATTGTTACCTCAAAACACATCTCGTGTTGACATTTATACGTGTGAATTGACATTTCAGTGGCTACACGGGTTCCGTCCACTCTCCCGTTCTATTATGTATGTATTATAGTATTCTATGGTTATGATGAATTTATAACATAAAATAGGCTTAACACTGAATAATGAAACAATTTGCGAGGATATGACTTTCTACCCCAATACAATATAGTTATCTTGAAAACAAGAATAAATAGGCTTTTTTATTAAGCCTCACCATGTAAACCTTACCCTTTTCGTTAAATCACTCCTTACTGTCAGGTGGAATATTAGCCAAGCGGAGGCTTATAAAAGGCAGGCGATAAATGTTTCTATTGGTAAGTGGAGAAATCTTGTTTTTTTACTTTTATATTATATTAAACTTTTTTGGCAATGTTTTGTGATGAAAATATCATGAGACCAAAGAATGATTCTTACGAAACACCTGTTTACACCATCAATATTGTAGTTGAAACCATCAAAATTTCTCGTGAGAAGAAAAGATAAAATGGTCAAAACAGACGTAATCTGACACAAAAACAATTACTGGTTTAATTATAATACTTGAATAATTTTTTAAAGGTACATATCAAAAGCCTTAAAGAGATAGATAGTGAACAACTATTAACTTTCTACATTTTACTAATAAAACTACTTTATACACTATATTAATATTTCTTTTTCTCTTATTTTGCACGTGTCTTTTAATTTGTCAGTAAGAATACCCACTAACCCATATTGTTGTGGTATTCAACACCTTTTGATTTAAATGTTGAAATATAATTGTTTAAATGTTTAAAAAATACCCAGGAACCAGGGCTCCAAATCCTTTGCTAGAAATTTGTCAGCCAACTATCGAAGCTGAAGACCGAACGTGGCAGCGTCGTTTACGGGGCATCTGAGATTTTGAGTGAGATTAAGAGGTTCTATGGGCAGCTGTTTCTGTTGATATCCCGGACTTTAGTCTGAGCGAGTTTAGAATGGCTCTCCAGCACCTTAAAAACGGCAAAGCCCCGGACGAGGTTAGAATTAAAGCGGAACTTCTGAAAGCGGGTGGAAAACTAGTAGTCCTTCAGAAGCTCTTTAATTCCGTCCTCCATGATGGCACTCCTCCAGAGGCGTGGAACAGAAAAGCGGTGGTCTTGTTCTTCGAGAAAGGCGACAACGCTCTCTCGAAGAACTACAGCCCCACTACCCTTTTAAGCCGCGTCTACGTGCTGTTTTCTAGTCATTACGAATTATTTCGTACGCAGACTCGATGACTTCCAGCCTGGCGAAAAAGCCGGTTCCCGAAAAGGCTTTAGAACCATAGACCACATACATACCCTTCGACAAATACAAGTACCTACAGAAGACCGAAGAGTACAATCTGCAACTTTGTCTTGCGTATGTGGACTATGAGAAAGCCTTTGATTCCGTTGAAATTTGGGCGGTGATGCAATCCCTTAAGCGGTGTTAAGTTGACTGTCGGTATATCGAAGTGCTGAAGTGTTTGTATAGAAGGGCTATGATGGCGATCCGAGTACAGAAACAGAGTAAGAAACCTATACAACTGCAGAAAGTATCCAGTGTAAGAACGGGTGACGCTATATCCCCGAAACTTCACCGCTGCATTGGAAAACGTTTTCAAGCTAATAGACTGTAAAGGATACGGTATTTACATAAATGGCAAGAGCATCTCTCACCTTCGCTTTGCCGACCTAAGGATTATGCTCAATGATCTGAACATTGCCTACCAACGTATAAGTCTTAGAATGAACACGGAAAAAACAAAGATCATGTGTAACGTCTATGTCACACCTATGACGGTAGTTGTACTAAGCTTGGAGTTGTTGACGAATATGTTTACCTGGGACAAATATTCCGACTAAGTAATTCCAACTTTTTTTTTTTATAGAAGAAGGGGCAAACGAGCATGCGGCTCACCTGATGTTAAGTGACTACCGCCGCCCATGATCAACCGCAACACCAGGAGAATTGCGGGTGCGTTGCCGGCCCTTTAGAAAGGAGTAAGCTCTTTTTTTGAAAGTCCCCAGGTCGTATCGGTCCGGAAAAATCACCGGTGGTAAACTATTCCACAGAGAGGTTGTACGTGGAAGAAAACTCCTTGTGAAACGTACAGTGGTGGACCGCCAAGCATCCAGATGGTGTGGATGGTATCGGGACGTTTGCCGTGTAGTGCGTTCACGAAATTTGGCGGCTGGGATTAATCCGAACAATTCCTCAGAGCACTCCCCGTGATAGATGCGATAAAATACGCAAAGAGATGCAACATCTCTTCGCAGCGCCCGTGAATCGAGCCGATCGGAAAGCACTCGGTCGTCGACGATTCGAGCCGCTCTGCGCTGGATGCGGTCAAGTGGAAGGAACTGGTACTGGGGAGCCCCAGCCCAGAGATGGGAACAGTATTCCATGTGCGGCCGAACCTGTGCCTTGTAAAGTTGCAGGCGGTGTGCCGGCATGAAATACTGTCCCGCTCTGCTGAGCACGCCAAGCTTTTTAGAGGCCAATTTGGCCTTCCCTTCCAAGTGACCACGAAACTGCACGTCACTCGATATGTCGACGACGAGGATTCCGATACTGGCTGAGGCAACAAGGGGAGTGCCTTGAAACTGAGGGGATACGACAAAGGGGTTCTTTTTAGCGGTTAACGCGCAAACTTGTGTCTTCTGGGGGTTAAACTGGACTAGATTTAGTCTTCCCCAATCCGAGACTCTGTTCAGCAAAAACTCGACTTCAGGCACAAGTTTGTCCCGGCACTCGGAGACGTTTTCCCGAGAAATCGACTTTGACCGATCGAGTCGAGTTGAATCCGTCGATCGATTCGATCCGTCAATAGACGAATAGAAATTGGTTGAGCAGCGTTCGGGAGATTATGACACATCTTCTCAGGTACACTTCAAAACTTGAAAACGAGATCGTACAACCAGTACGACTTGCCATTAATGATTTACAAATCTGAGATGTGATCCTTCACTGCTAGTTGTATGAGGAAGCTCGAGGTCGCTTAGCGATCTATGGAAAGGGCTATGTTCGGGGTTTCTCTGCGTGATAAACATAGAAATGAGCTTATTCGCAGTAAAACCAGGGTAACTGACATAGCCCAATGGATTAGTAAGCTGAAGTGGCAATGCGGCGACCTTATAACTCGAAGAACCGACAACTGATGGGGAAGCATAGATCTAAAGTGGCAGTCTCATTTCGGTAGGCGAAGTATAGAGCGATCCCCCACAAGATGGAATGATGACCTGGTAAGACATGTAGGAAGTCGATGGATGCAGGTGGCTCAGTACCATGCTTTGTGGCATTCGTTGCGGGAGACCTATCTTCAGCAGTGTACTTGTATGGCTGTAGTGATGATGATAATGATTTCTTTTATTCTTCATCAAACTGTAAGAAAACTATTTCAAATAGTCGATTGACATGGTAGGTGAACTGACGAACGCCGTACTAGATGAACACACTATTAATACTATTCCACATCGCCGGTTTGAATATTTTATATCGGGCAAACATAAGGTAGTACAATGCCATTTTTCGAAAGACGTAAGGTCTTTAAAGTCTTCCTATTTTCATTACCATCTGTGTACCACTTATCTATAAAGTTATGATTATTATAAGTTATACTCACATTTTCCTTAAGTTTGTCCATAAGTTGGGATAATTGAGCTTGGAACTTTGCCCCAACGGATATAAAGTTCAGTTTCCCTTTGGCATTATTGTTGTCCGTGTTTTGGAACAGTTGCTGCACCAGTGGATTGCTGGACTCTTGGACTAGAAATTCCAGTGACGCGTGTAAGGCGTCATTGTTCTTTTCTATGAACTGGTTCTGTGGGAGAACGCATAAATTAAACAATGAGCGTCAAAATTCATAAAATTAATTTCAGTAAAAAATAAATTCACTTTTTTTAAATAGGATAAGGGTGACAAACCAGCACACAGTCCTCCTGATGGTAAGTGGATGCTGTGGCCCATAGACATTTACATCTATCCTTGATCACGAAACAAAATGCAGATGCGTTGTCACCCGTGAGGACTAAGATGGAACGCCTCCTTTCCACCATACGAAACACAGCAGCGTTAAGCTGCTATTTTATGCTAGTATTCTGTGAGAGCGTGGACCTTTCCCGGTCAAGTCGACCCATTCGTGTTAAAACTATACTACTAATATAGCTGCAGAATGGCTCTACCATGTGGTACAATTAAATTCTTATTTTTATATTTAAACAAGGAAGTGCTTAAGAGCCGTAGGAGCTCAGGGAATTCGTCTTTAATTTTATAGCGCAATTTCAATTGTACTATTGAAATTGTTAATTGCAATTATAATATTGATGTACCACGTGCTCGGCAGAGAATAAAGCAATGATTGAAAGATGTTGAATGTTGGAGGCTGCTCAAGAACCGAAAATTTTGGGAGTTTATTAGCCAAAAAAATTTATTATAACTAAACAAAACAAAATTAAACAGCTATTTATGGAATGGTTTCCCACATGATAGATGAAGAGATTAAAAAATAGATTATTATTAGGATATTTTCAAAAGTTATCATATTTACCCCTCCATGCGGACTTGATAAATCTACAGTGTAGATTATGTAAATTGGCTATATAAACAACTAAAACCACTTTTATAACGTAAAAATAGCAATTAATCGATTTAAAATATAAATAAATTCAACAATCATTTATTTTTCTGACAATGTGCTTTTTACATCACACTATCATCAACTTATATGTTCAATATGTTGTGATTTCATGCGACAAAGCGTTGGAATTCTTGATTTTTTGGTGCTAGTAGAATAAAGCTACGCGCTTTGCGCTCAAGGCATACAATATTTTAAGAACATGTGAAGTCCGCCAACACGCATTAAAGGAGAGCCAGAGGTTAATTCCTGCTCAAAAGCCCTCTCAGAAATGAAAGTGTCTAATACTGGAATGTATATAGTCCATTAGTTTATGTTTAAGAACATGCCTGCTAAATTTGACGACGGTCTTCGCATTAGTTTGGAAGGAACTCAATACAGCCAAAAGGTGAAACATATAGCATATAATAGCGGTATGAACAAACGAACAAACCTTATTTGTCTTCGAGAATCTTGAACAATTTTTTTGCAACTTAATTTTGACTATGAAGTTTAATAAGCTGAAAAGTATTGTTTTAATAAATTATACATGTTATGATGTTACTCACAGTATTGTAACAGACTGCACCAGCAAAATGCCTTAATAGGAAACCTTCATCGTCTCTGAGAGATCTGTGCGCCTTGAGACGAGAAGCCCGCGGGACTTGCAGTCGAGAACTGAAAATTTTAACAAAAATATGTCACTGGAAATGGTTAAACTCTGTTAAACTCTAATGGTTAAACCTCCGCAAAAAATACTTTTTGACTAAAAAACAACAAAATCGATTAAATATCTTCAGAGATATCGTGTTACAGTAGATCAGAACTGAACCTATCTATACGTGGTAGAGCCACGCTACAGCTATATTATGGTTGTAGCACGAATGGGTCGGCTCGACCGGGGAAGGACCACGCTCTCACAGAATGTCAGCGTAAAATAGCAGCTTAATGTTGCTGTGTTTCGTATGGTGAATGTAGAAAACCGGAAACCAGTTTTACTGGAAACGAGGCATTCCGTCTTAGTCCTCAGGGGTGATAGCGCATCTGCATTTTGATTCTTAATCGAGGTTAAATGTAGATGTCTATGGGCCACAGCATCCACTTACCATCAGGTGGACTGTGTGCTCGTTTGACACCCTTATTCAAAGAATAAAACCTTTTGAATTCAGTTACTTTTTACACAAAGCTACAATAACAATAATCTTACCTTGAATTGTTTCCACCGAGTTGTTTGTGTACGGAATGCGTGAAGTGGCTAAAATCAGGTTTAGGTAATTTTGATTCCTCGTCGAGAATGTGGAAGATGCCGTGATTCTTGCTCTCAATTAAATCTATAAGACAAATACTATTTTGATAATAAATCTACGAAACGTTATTTTATTGTCACTGATTAAGCAAAAACAGATCAAGAATAGACAGAGTAAAAATAAGTAATCAAAGTATGACTAACCTATGCAGTCCTGGTTGTCAACGAATCTGATCTCTGGCACGTTGAGTCCCTCGCGCCGGTACAGATCCTGTTCGTTCTTGAGAATGCGCTCGTTGAAGAACTGCTGCAGCTTCTCGTTGCAGTAGTTAATGCAGAACTGCTCGAAGCTGTTCATTTGGAAGTACTCTGCAACAGTAAGTATTTTGTGTGATACTCGTAGAGCTAGTTAGTAAGTAAGCAGGACAGGAATAATAATGCACGAGTATGTGCGCAAACACTAGTGGACTCTCCATTCTTTCACTCTCATATGACCACCGAGAGATTAGACGCAGGTCAAAAGGCTCCACGTGTTTTCCGAAGCTCAGGAATAAAATACCGTAAACTTTCTGACTTAGGGCCGCCACTAAATTTTTTTAACTGACAACGCAACTGAGTTAGGCCCGACCCAGGATTCGAACCCGGGACTACATGATAAGGAGTCGCGCTTACGACTACCATACCAAAGGGACAGAAAACGAACCTGATGTCACTGATATATATTGTGGTTGTACCACGCTTTAGCAGAATACCAGCGTAGAATAGCAGAATAAGGTAAGGTAATATGACATGGTGAGGGATTAGATATGCATAACCCTTTCGCTTGTACGAGGTTTTCTATATGAATTTTAATTCTTAAACAGGGATAGATGTAAGTGTCTATAGGCCATGGTATCCACTAACAATCAGGTGTACTGTGTGTTCATTTTCTATATTACTATATTATGAAAATTTAACTACCCCCACTTATATAAAAAAGAAGGGAATGGTACGCTATGAAAATTTTGACTTTGAAGAAACGTGAGTCATGGACATGTCTATATTTAACGTGTAAAGGTGAAGTGCGGATACAATTATGTTTAGTCGTAATTAACCAAATTTTTAAATTTTTAAAATTTCTCGAAAAACAAAAACAATTATCGAGTCAAATCAGCGGCAGTAGGTGTGGCTGGAATGACCCAAGTCACAGTTTGTATTATATCACATATAATCCATAAATATACAGGGTGTAGCGCGCCGATACTTACCTATGTCACCCGATGTCTCTCTATCCCCTCTCGTACGGTGCCCCACCTGCGCCACGGGATCGCGCCACTCGTCCGAACCTTTGACTGCCGATACAAGCAGTATGCTAGCCGACTAGCTCTGAGCTATACATATGTGTATTAGTGTTTGATCCCGCGCTCGCGCTGCGTTCGCGAGACGCCGTTTATGTACTTACGTGTCAAATATTGCCTATACTGTTACTATTTAAGTGAATAAACTGTGCATTCGGATTATTTGTAACGTTTCATTTATCATGCGTGACCAGTGAACGTTATATTGGCTCCCAACGGTGGGCCACGAACGAACCTACCGTGGCTCTCGAAGTTTCTAGTGCACAAGTACGTACGCGAGTGTATGCCTAGTGTACCCACGCGTTTTTCCTTGATATTGAGACGTGAACTACAAGGACACAGTCATAATGCCACCGCGAAAACCGCGTAATAATGACTCCAGTTCGGATGAGGAACCGGTGAAGCCGACACCTGTAAACCCGACACCTGCGGCACCTGTGCTTATGTCCGAGAACCAGCTTTCGTCGCTTCTGGCCGCCTTCTCTGCGGCACAAGCCGAGGCAAACCAGAAGCTCGTCCAGTCTCTTCTGACATCGCACTTAGGGGCGCCGCCGAATGTCGATTCAAGCGCTGCCGGCGCGGCCACTGTCACGTCACCGCGGTCGTCATCTATCCCAGGAACATTCGTAAAATGCACTACACGGTTCGACGGTTCATCTCAACACCCGGAAGCAGTGGAAGCATTCATTGACGCGGTGGAAATGTATAAGGATTGTGCATCAGTTAGTGATGAGATGGCACTTCGCGGTATCCCTATGTTACTTCAAGGAGATGCTGCAGTGTGGTGGCGTGGAATCCGAAACGAAATACACTCGTGGTCGGATGCTGTGAAACGCTTGCGCTCGATGTACGGAGTTCCACGACCTGCATATAAGTTGTACCGAGACGTTTTTGCCGCCGAACAAGGATCGGAGCGTGCCGATATTTTCGTCGTAAGGATAAGGGCTTTGTTAGCGAAACTACCCTATGAATTACCAGAGGAAGCGAGATTAGATATGATTTATGGGCTTCTACATAAGAGAATCAGAAAACGATTGTCGAGAGATACTGTGAATGACATCGAATCTCTCATTGAAAGATCTCGAGCTATAGAAGAGTCGCTGACGGAGAACGCTGCGCTGCCACCGCTCGCGCCGCCACAACCGCTGGCGTCGCCGCTGAGTGTGCCCGCGAGACCTAGCCGCAGGCATGGCGAGGGACTTCAACATAGTACTTCGGGTTCGAGTTCGACGGCGCCGCAACTGCGCGCCCCCCGACTCCGCTTCGCAGTCATCACGCGACCGTGTGCCTGTGCCGCGTAGTGATCATTGTGTGAGCAAAAATAGTGATGGTGAGAGAAAGCTATTCTGTGTTTACTGCAAAACGCGAGGACACGTCCGTGACTCCTGTGATAAGTTAAGTAAAAGATCTCATTCTTCTAACTCAGGTATTGTTTGTTATAATTGTGGCGAGAAAGGTCATATTAGAGTAAATTGCCCTAAATGTTTACAAAGTATACCTTCTAATGATGACATTAAAGTTGAAAATGTATTTTCGTCCATCTTTGTTAATAATTGCATCTCGAATTCGAAATCCGATTGTAAGGAGCAAGGTCGGCCTATCGTACGAGTGAGTATAGGGGGATACTCGGGTACCGCGTTGTTAGATACCGCCGCGCGTCGTAGTGTTGCGAGTTGTTCACTTTATGCGTTAATGAAACGTATCGGTTTAAATTTTCGTACCGAAATGATGTCGGTAAAGCTTGCGGACGGTACTATTAGGAATAGTGAGGTGCTACTCACGGAGGTCAATGTTCAACTTGCTTCCTTAAGTATACCTATCGAGTTCATTATTTTACCGAATGCCGTCAATAACGATACTTTGTTAGGTATTGACTTTATAACAAAGGCTAGAATGATTATTGATTTTGATAAATGGAATTGGCGTACAGTTGATCAGCCCCGGACATTTCACGCCTTGTCATGGGAGACTCGTCGCGAACCTGTTGAGTGCGCCGCCGCATTGAACGTGTTGCGAGAGGACGAGGCCACCGTGCTATCGGAGTCGGAGAGGTCTAGACTGGCGAATCTATTAGGTGAGTATTCTGACGTTTTTGATGTTGTCGGAGAACCGACACCATTCGCCGAACACCATATAGATACCGGTGACCACCCGCCGATTGCTGTGCCCCCGTATCGGGTCACGCCTGCGAAGAAGGAAATCATGCGCGCCGAGTTAGACAAGATGCTGGCTGATGGTGTGATTGAGGAGTGCGAATCCGCCTGGGCCGCACCATGCGTCCTGGTACCGAAGTCTAATGGTACCTATAGGTTTTGTGTAGACTATCGCAAGCTAAATGCGGTTACCAAGACAGATGCATACCCCATGCCGCGTATCGACGAGCTGTTACAGTCGACCAAGAAGGGCTGTGTGATGAGCTCGCTAGACCTCCGTAGTGGGTACTGGCAGGTCAGTACGGCGGATAGGGATAAAACGGCCTTCGTTACACCTTTTGGGACCTACCGCTTCACGCGTATGCCGTTCGGCCTGAAGGGGTCTCCGGCAACGTTCCAGCGTCTCATAGATCGCTTCCGGTCAGGACCTTCACTTGGTGGTAGGCATATTCTAGGTTATCTTGATGACCTATTAGTAATTTCAGAGGACTTTGAGTCCCATTTGTTTGATTTACGTGCGGTATTTGAGCGTCTTCGGATGTTCAAGTTAAGAGCCAACCGTGAAAAATGCGTGTTCGCTAGGGACCGGCTCAAATACCTAGGTCACGTAATATCCAACGACGGTATATCTCCAGACGAAGATAAGGTGCGTGCTGTCCTAGAGATGAGAGAACCGACTAATCTCCAGCAACTTCGTACCTTCCTGCAAACTTGCTCTTGGTTTAGGAAGTTCATACCAGAGTTTGCGAAGGTAGCTGAACCGCTTACGCGCCTTACCAAAAAGTCACAGATCTGGCAATGGGGAGATGATCAGGCCAAAGCCTTCGTACATCTTAAGTCCCTTCTGGCTTCACCACCCATTCTTGTTCAGCCAGACTACTCGAAGCCATTTATCCTTAGGACGGATGCCAGCGATTTTGCCCTAGGAGCAGCTTTACTCCAGGGGGAGTCTCCACAGGATGAACACCCAATCGAGTACGCGAGCCGTCTCCTCACATCAGCCGAGAAAAATTATACCACTACGGAGCGGGAGGCGCTAGCAGTTGTGTGGGCCGTGGAAAGATTCCGTGGCTATATTGATGGTCACCAGGTAGTGGTCAGAAGTGATCATCAACCCCTGAAGTGGCTTTTTTCTGTCAAATCGCCTAGTGGTAGGCTTGTTCGTTGGGCTTTAAAGCTACAATCATTTGGTCTCCAAATGGAATACACCCCTGGGAAGGTTAACGTGCTAGCTGACGCACTCAGCCGTCCAGTCATCGATAGCACTTTGACGGAATGTGGTGTCTGCCCCGTGTCTGTGGATGTTCCACGTTGGGATGCTACATCAACCCGTGAAGCCCAGCTGGCTGATCCAGAAGTAGCCAAAATCCTTAAGGACTTGGAAAGTTCTGATGAGCTGTCAGTTCATCGGTGGTCGGAGAGGGGGTACCTGATAAACCAAGGTGTATTGTACCGGTACGTGGACAACACCGATACTGAGGAGCCTCAGCTGGTAGTACCTGAGAGTTTGCGGGGCAAAGTTATGTTTGAGTGTCATGACTCGCCAACCGCCGCTCATGGAGGTATTCAACGGACTTTGCATCGTATATCCCAGCAGTTCTATTTCCCTGGTATGAGACGCTATATCACCGATTACCTGAAGACCTGCACTGAGTGTCAGCGGTATAAGTCTTCCAACTTGAAACCGCCCGGCTTACTCCAGACTCCGGTACCGGCTCAACGATTCGAGGTCATCGCCGTCGATCTCTTTGGACCGTTACCCAAAGGACCTCAGGGTGAAAGGTGGATTTTGATAGTGGAGGACACTGCTAGTAAGTGGGTCGAACTGTTTGCTCTAACCGAGGCCACAGCCGAAAACTGTGCGAAAACTCTTGTTGGTGAAATCTTTATGAGGTATGGACTTCCTAGGCGGATGATCTCCGATAACGGTGTCCAGTTTGTGGCTGATGTTATGCAGAAGGCTCTGTTTGTCCTAGGCGTAAAACAGAACCTGGTGCCTTTGTATCACCCAGAAGCGAATCCTGTGGAACGGAAGAATCGGGACCTCAAATCTCACCTCGCCATTCTCGTGGAGGGTAACCATAAGCAATGGTCTGAGATATTGCCTTTCGTCCGATTTGCTCTTAATAGCTCAGTCACCGTTTCTACGGGTACCACTCCGGCTTTCTTGACATTTGGACGTGAGCTCCGGTCTCCTTTGTCGGTTCAGGCTGATCTACGAGCGGTCACCGAGTCTGAAAACTTTGTCCCTCAGATTACGCCTTACCTCTTGAAGCTTGCTGACTCTCTCTCGGAAGCTAAGGAGAACATTGAACATCAACAGGATCTTCGTAAGCTCCAAGCCGATTCCGATCGCCGTGGTTCGGATCCGTTACAAGAAGGTGATCTCGTACTCATGAAGACACATGTCCTGAGTAATGCTGCTAAGGGTGTTACTTCTAAATTCGTCCCGAAGCAGGATGGTCCGTATGTGATCTCCAAACAGGTCAGTCCCACTACCTACCTTCTAACTTCGCAGAAGACTGGTGAAGGCGTTGGTAGGTATCATGTGTCGGATCTGCGTAAATACCATGACAGGGGTGGTGAAGAATGTCCGGAGCCGGTTGCTCCTAAGCGTCGTAGGGGTCGTCCGCGTAAGGATCGCAGCTAGGCGCTAACTAATAGTTTGACCATTCGTGATGTTCCCTCTTGGTCAAAAGGGGGAGTATGTAGCGCGCCGATACTTACCTATGTCACCCGATGTCTCTCTATCCCCTCTCGTACGGTGCCCCACCTGCGCCACGGGATCGCGCCACTCGTCCGAACCTTTGACTGCCGATACAAGCAGTATGCTAGCCGACTAGCTCTGAGCTATACATATGTGTATTATTGTTTGATCCCGCGCTCGCGCTGCGTTCGCGAGACGCCGTTTATGTACTTACGTGTCAAATATTGCCTATACTGTTACTATTTAAGTGAATAAACTGTGCATTCGGATTATTTGTAACGTTTCATTTATCATGCGTGACCAGTGAACGTTATAAGGGTAATTTTGCAATTTATGCCTAAAATTAAAGAGAAGGTTCAGAATAATATAGTAATATAGGCGAATGGTGAAAAAATTAATATAAAAATCTAAAACGTTCTGTACTTTTTATCTTTTAAATTTAAAATGCGTGGTAATGCATTATTTTAACTGTTTATCATTCGTAAGGGTCGCTCGATTAAAAATAGGTGCCTTGTTTTTCCCCACCGTCAACCGTTAACGGTTATACCTACCTTCGTCCGCTGGGCCGGCGGATAGCTGACAGTGTTGACCTCATTAAGTACAGATGTGCACCAATGACGGAACTAAAATATTCGAACCTTGAATACAATAAAACTATGGAATGATTCGGTGTTATATTTTAAGCAATGAAAGTTTACGTGGAGAGCAAAGATTATACGAAAAAAATAACGTACCTAACTATCAATAGATGAACAATTGATAGCTAATTAAACTATTCAAGTGTAGTGAGCGATAATTTGAATAGTAAATATGGAGATGGTGGATTGCGCACGGAGACCTTATACTGTGGCGTGCAAATTCGCCGAAACTTTCACCGTTAGACTTTTATCTGTGGGTGTGTATGAGTAGTGTTGTCATACAATATTAGTTAATGGGACTGCTTGCGTTATTTAGTATAAATAGTTTATTCCATTTTTTTGATATACGCCATAATAATGACGGTCATCGGTTACGTCGCTGATTAGCAAAAATATTTTTTATTTATTATATCTATCCAAAGAACGTTAAAAGTGAAAAGCGAAAATTGGAATCGTTATTCGCGTCGTGTTTTTTTTTGTTATTAACTTAAACATTAGCAGTCAACGTATCACTAAGAGAGTAAACAGTAGACAAAAACTTTGTGAATTGAATCGCACACACAGGAGCGTGTTTACGCGTATTTGTTGCCCATAAACCAAATGTAGTAGAAGCCTTACTAGAGAAGAAGTTTTCACTCGTATTTTCAAAGAATGCAATAGTGGTAAACAATATCTGGGGCCACGGCAGTGCCCCAGATATTGCAGTTTAGTAGTAGTTTAGTAGCAGTCGAGCTAAAAAGCGGCACGGCCGAACCATACTTTTCTCGAAGCAATTCAGGCCATTTTCGACCCCCTATAACTTCGTAGTGAATAAAACTAGAAGCCTGAATTTTCAGTAACCAAGAAGGCACTGAGCAATCTAATTTAATATAACATGTATTGCTTGTGAGATACATTGTGTTTTCTTGCGATGGCCAAGTCAATCTATTTATTTTAAACATAAAAGATTTTTGAAGTAAAAACCTCTTTAGCGGCGTTGTACACTTTTTTGTAATGGGTAAAAATGTTAAACTCGCGTCAGGACACGTGACCCTGATCGAAAATTCGTAAGAGGGATGGAGAGAGAGAGAGACAGCCGGCGCGGCGTAGGAGAGGAAGTATCCCCCTCTCTTTCTACGGCGCGGGGAAAATGTATTCCTGCGCCTGCTGTTTCGTTTAGGCGGCGCAGGGCGCTTGCGCGAATGTTCGTGTGTGAAAATTAAAGCAATTCATGCAAAATTATTCCCTAATCATTCCAAAATATCAAAAATGCACAACGTTAATATTCAAGTTTGCACTTCTGCCGGCACTCCCGGAGTGCAACCCGTCGTTTTTTAACATTGATATGGTCACTGTAAAATGTTGTTAGGTTAGTTAATTACTTAATAACTTAAACAAAATGATCCTTAAGCAGGGACTGCATAAATTAACCGACTTGGTATTACATGGATCTCACAACTTTTTACGGTAGAAGAACTGAGTTGCGACACTTGGTTTTTTTTTACAAGTTATTTTTTGATGGCATCATTATTTATATATTTGAACATAAATACAAAACTTGGATATTTAGAAAAATAAACATGTATAGGATATGCCTTAGTTGAACCAAGTACAATTGCTGCACTTATGTGTGGCTACTAAACCTAGGCTTAGGTGTAACATGTACACATAAATATAGTCACCATTATTTTTATACTTGTACTATATTGAATTTAGGCCAATCTTGAGTACTAAGAAGTAAGAACTTATCTCTGTATTACCATCTTTTTAGTATGCCCTACGATTACGCAAAATTAAACTATTGGACTTGTGACTTAAGATAGATATCAGAATAATCAACGTCACATATACAAATTTTAAAATCAGCGACGAAATGAATGAATCTAAGATGCAATAGGTGGCGATTACGGCAAATCTTCTCCGTTATGAAAGTGTACCGTTCCCGGCAGTGATATATTTACAAAAAAAAAAAGAGGAGGTAAGGAAAAACAGAAAGAAGTATTACCAAATCCGGCGATGTCAAGCACGCCGATGTAGTAGGCAGATGCCTGGGAGGGGATACTGGAGTTGATCCTGTGCACGATGTAGTCGAATAGGCGGCTGTATATCGCCTTCGCTAAAGCATCGCGAGCGTTCGTAGCTTCGTGTTGCTTTAGCGGAACCCTGAAATCAATAAATTTAATTAAAGAATATCCAAGTGTGTTGCGGTTGATCACGGGCGGCGGTAGTCACTTAAGATCAGGTGAGCCGCATGCTCGTTTGCATGATGACATACATACATGATGGCGGTGCCCGTGTGTCCGGCGCGTGCGCTCTGCATGAGGCATGACACGTGCGGTGAGTATCGCGGGCGCGCGGTGCCCGTGTGTAGCGTGCAGAACGTACATGATGGCGGTGCCCTTGTGTCCGGCGCGTGCGCTCTGCATGAGGCATGACACGTGCGGTGAGTATCGCAGGCACGCGGTGCCCGTGTGTAGCGTGCAGAACGTACATGATGGCGGTGCCCTTGTGTCAGGCGCGTGCGCTCTGCATGAGGCATGACACGTGCGGTGAGTATCGCAGGCACGCGGTGCCCGTGTGTAGCGTGCAGAACGTACATGATGGCGGTGCCCTTGTGTCCGGCGCGTGCGCTCTGCATGAGGCATGAGACGTGCGGTGATTATCGCGGGCGCGCGGTGCCCGTGTGTAGCGTGCAGAACGTACATGATGGCGGTGCCCTTGTGTCCGGCGCGTGCGCTCTGCATGAGGCATGACACGTGCGGTGAGTATCGCGGGCGCGCGGTGCCCGTGTGTAGCGTGCAGAACGTACATGATGGCGGTGCCCGTGTGTCCGGCGCGTGCGCTCTGCATGAGGCATGACACGTGCGGTGAGTATCGAAGGCACGCGGTGCCCCTGTGTAGCGTGCAGAACGTACATGATGGCGGTGCCCTTGTGTCCGGCGCGTGCGTTCTGCATGAGGCATGATACGTGCGGTGAGTATCGCGGGCGCGCGGTGCCCGTGTGTAGCGTGCAGAACGTACATGATGGCGGTGCCCTTGTGTCCGGCGCGTACGCTCTGCATGAGGCATGACACGTGCGGTGAGTATCGCCGGCGCGCGGTGCCCGTGTGTAGCGTGCAGAACGTACATGATGGCGGTGCCCTTGTGTCCGGCGCGTGCGCTCTGCATGAGTCATGACACGTGCGGTGAGTATCGCGGGCGCGCGGTGCCCGTGTGTAGCGTGCAGAACGTACATGATGGCGGTGCCCTTGTGTCCGGCGCGTGCGCTCTGCATGAGGCATGACACGTGCGGTGAGTATCGCGGGCGCGCGGTGCCCGTGTGTAGCGTGCAGAACGTACATGATGGCGGTGCCCGTGTGTCCGGCGCGTGCGCTCTGCATGAGGCATGACACGTGCGGTGAGTATCGCGGGCGCGCGGTGCCCGTGTGTAGCGTGCAGAACGTACATGATGGCGGTGCCCGTGTGTCCGGCGGGCGCGCACTGCATGAGGCGCGACACGAGCGCGGTGCGCATCGCAGGCGCGCGGTGCCCGTGTATAGCGTGCAGAACGTACATGATAGCGGTGCCCGTGTGTCCAGCGCGTGCGCTCTGCATGAGTCATGACACGTGCGGTGAGTATTGCGGGCGCGCGGTGCCCGTGTATAATGTGCAGTACGTACATGATGGCGGTGCCCTTGTGTCCGGCGCGCGCGCTCTGCATGAGGCGCGCCACGAGCGCGGTGCGCAGCGCAGGCGCGCGGTGCCCGTGTATAGCGTGCAGAACGTACATGATAGCGGTGCCCGCGTGTCCAGCGCGTGCGCTCTGCATGAGGAATGACACGTGCGTTGAGTATCGCGGGCGCGCGGTGCCCGTGTGTACGGTGCAGTACGTACATGATGGCGGTGCCCTTGTATCCGGCGCGCGCGCTCTGCATGAGGTGCGACACGAGCGCGGTGCACAGCGCGGGCGCGCGGTGCCCGTGTGTAGCGTGCAGAACGTACATGATGGCGGTGCCCGTGTGTCCGGCGCGTGCGCTCTGCATGAGGCATGACACGTGCGTTGAGTATCGCGGGCGCGCGGTGCCCGTGTGTAATGTGCAGTACGTACATGATGGCGGTGCCCTTGTATCCGGCGCGCGCGCTCTGCATGAGGTGCAATACGAGCGCGGTGAGCAGCGCGGGCGCGCGGTGCCCGTGTGTAGCGTGCAGAACGTACATGATGGCGGTGCCCGTGTGTCCAGCGCGTGCGCTCTGCATGAGGCATGACACGTGCGTTGAGTATCGCGGGCGCGCGGTGCCCGTGTGTAATGTGCAGTACGTACATGATGGCGGTGCCCTTGTATCCGGCGCGCGCGCTCTGCATGAGGTGCGACACGAGCGCGGTGCGCAGCGCGGGCGCGCGGTGCCCGTGTGTAGCGTGCAGAACGTACATGATGGCGGTGCCCGTGTGTCCGGCGCGTGCGCTCTGCATGAGGCATGACACGTGCGTTGAGTATCGCGGGCGCGCGGTGCCCGTGTGTAATGTGCAGTACGTACATGATGGCGGTGCCCTTGTATCCGGCGCGCGCGCTCGGCATGAGGTGCAATACGAGCGCGGTGCGCAGCGCGGGCGCGCGGTGCCCGTGTGTAGCGTGCAGAACGTACATGATGGCGATGCCCGTGTGTCCAGCGCGTGCGCTCTGCATGAGGCATGACACGTGCGTTGAGTATCGCGGGCGCGCGGTGCCCATGTGTAATGTGCAGTACGTACATGATGGCGGTGCCCTTGTATCCGGCGCGCGCGCTCTGCATGAGGTGCACGATACGAGCGCGGTGCGCAGCGCGGGCGCGCGGTGCCCGTGTGTAGCGTGCAGAACGTACATGATGGCGGTGCCCGTGTGTCCAGCGCGTGCGCTCTGCATAAGGCATGACACGTGCGGTGCATCGCGGGCGCGCGGTGCCCGTGTGTAATGTGCAGTACGTACATGATGGCGGTGCCCTTGTATCCGGCGCGCGCGCTCTGCATGAGGCGCAATACGAGCGCGGTGCGCAGCGCGGGCGCGCGGTGCCCGTGTGGTAGCGTGCAGAACATAAATGATGGCGGTGCCCGTGTGTCCGGCGCGTGCGCTCTGCATGAGGCATGACACGTGCGGTGAGTATCGCGGGCGCTCGGTGCCCGTGTGTAATGTGCAGTACGTACATGATGGCGGTGCCCTTGTGTCCGGCGCGAGCGCTCTGCATGAGGCGCGATACGAGCGCGGTGCGCAGCGCGGGCGCGTCGGCGCCCAGCAGGCGTGCGGCGGTGTTCAGCGCATGCTGCGAGCCCGCGCTCACGCTGCAGCCGCCGCGCGCGCCACCCTCCTCCTCGAACTGCACGTTGCCCAGGTGCAGCACGCCCGCCACCACGCCGTACACCGAACGCCGCTCCGCATCCGATAGCCCCACACGCGCCAGTGCCTACCACATGCGTAATATACTTCACAAAGGTATACTACGATCGTTAACGCTAACCATCTTATAGCATTAATAAGCAAGCTCTAGAGCGGACGTTAACGAGTACTCGTATAAAATTAAGCACGATAATGAAGTCTCAAATGCCCCATCTACTCTCAGCCTTGTTGGGCAGGGAAGTGAACAGGGATGTGGGCAGTGTATGTAAATAGGCTTCTCGCGCTATCACTGCCCATGCTGCTGCCACTGTCCGGTGCTCCCTCGATTGTCGGTTTTTCGTGCGGAAGTCAAAGGACGGGCAGCGCGAGCGGGAGCGAGTGTTTACATTCTCGCTCACTTGCAGCCAAAGTTCGACCGAAAAAGAACGTGCTACGATTGAAAACGGCAATTCTTTTATTAATCTGTCCTGTGTTTTAATGATATTTAGTAATGACAAAACATAAAAATATTAGAACTTTATGAAATAGAGCGGGTAATATGGGATCCTCATGATAAAAACCATAAATTGCACATAGTAGCTACTCATACTGAGCAGACATAATGCTGTCACACCAAAAACCTCGACTTCAGTTATTGTTGCGAGTTGATCAATTAAGAAGTATGAAGAATGAGTGTAAACAGTAAACACCCATTCGCGTCGTTATCGCCGCAGAAGTATTAGGGAAATGTTTCCAGCAGCGACAGGAGCAGTAGCAGTGGAGAGTGAATGGGGCAAAAATGGCAAAAGCGACCTTATTTGTCAAGAAAGGTCACGCGCGTTAATTGTTTCTCTCGAGCAAACTAAGAAGAAAAATTATATTTATATGTAATACTTCGATAAGAATACATTGATTTTATCAAAATTACTTAGGATATCTAAAAGTGTGGCTGAAGGTACACCGCTGGGACGACATAGCACGCGCTCGTGCCTCGGGTTTTCCCGAATCAGAGCTAGTGCTGTGCCAGGTCTTCTCGTCGCCCATACCGCAAAGTTAGAAGACGAAAGTCTTCGACCAGTGCGTCCTGCTAGTACTCAAATGTGGTGCCGAAACGTGGACACTAACGGCACGACTACTCCACAAACTCAAGTCACCCAGCGGGCGATGGAAAGAGCTATGCTCGGAGTTTCTCTGGTGGATAAGACTCGTAACGAAGAAATCCGTCGGAGAACCAAGGCTACCGACGTAGCCTTCCGTATTTGCAGGAATTGCCAGAAGTGGCAATGGGCTGGTCACATTTGTCGCAGAAGCTATCACCGTTGGAGTAGGCGTGTCATAGAGTGGAGACCGCGTTTAGGTAAACATAGTGTGGGACGCCCTCTGGCTAGATGGAGCGACGATCTGCGCAAGCCGGCTGGCAGCAACTGGATGCGTGAAGCCGAAGATGGCTAAGTGGCGCGCCTTGGGAGAGGCCTATGTCAAGCAGTGGACTGCCGCAGGCTGATGATGATGATGATGATGATCTTTTTGTACCTTTATTTGTGGCAATGTCCTCTAGACCGAATTTCGAATACAGCGGGCAGTCTCAACGGAGACTAGCCATTTGCATTGAACAGTATTATAGTGCCCAAGTGTATGAAATCACAGGTCCACTCCTTATTATCTCACTCTCATAGACCGATGATATACGCCCGACACAACCGCAGAGAGCTCATCCGCAGAACCAACGGCTGAAATTGCTTCCAGTGTTTTACAGAGGTAAAACACCGCACCTCCTGACTTCTGACTGAGAATATCTTAACAAAAAACCCTAAAAAATACTTTTATCCCAACTCTGGATTCAAACTTAGACCAGGTAGTAATTATAACAACATAAAACAGACTACATAACTAACAACGAACATTTCAAGAAGCGTTAAAGAATTATGATCACTGCCGAGAGTAAGTATACGAATGAGTCATGAGTCCCGACTACACGTCACGTCAAGGAAGGACAGAGGCGAAGCCCGAACGTCGAAACCGCATACTTGTCAAGCTTCTAATTGTTTGACCGGAGTAGTATTACTTGTAATTCAGATACAACTATCCTATTTAGTAAGAATGGTGTATATGTACCTGATGCAACCTCTGGAAGTCTTCGACGTCGTCCAGTATAGGGTCGCGGAGTCCACCTTTGGTCCGTTGCTGTTCACTTTTCTGGCTGTTGCTGATCTTCTTCTCAGACTCTGGCGTCAAGAAGTACTGCGTGCATCCGTTTTTAAGATACTGTAAAATAAAAATATAAGTATGTAGTAACATTAATCACAGATTATTTTTGCCCCCAAGCGGCAGTGCGTGCACTGATGTGTGTTTTTGTGTTTGTGCTGTGGTCTGTAGGATTCGGAGCCGTCATAACTATAGGCTGTGAGACATTCCTTTAAGACCGATTTATACTTCGACAAGTACAGTAGCGAGTTAACTTGCGAATCTGGCGAGTTAAGTTTTAACCTCGTTTGAACGGCAATAAGCGAGTTAAGTAGCAAGTTAACGATTAAGTTGAACGAGATAGCCGGCCGAGCTATTTTTCGGCGAGTTAAGTGCGAAGTGCTGCCCTCTCGCGCGTCTCCCGCAACCCGAAACTAAACTCGCCGTTCGTGTAAACGAACGAGTTTAGTTCAGTGCATAAGACGCAACATTTGCGCGCCTAAACGTACAATTGTACTTTTATAATGAAACTCGCCACAAAGTTTGTACGGTAGTGTTTATTTTATATCATAGTAGAAGTTTAAATTGTAAAATTAAACCTGCTGAGATGCTGCACACATGAAAATTCTTAAAAACTTCTTTAACAACAACCATTAATACTTCTCTGACTAGATCATTTAATACGTAATCCTAGAACCATCTTAAACGAAAACCGGAAAAATACTGTAGTCTTGAAACGTCATACTCAAACGAACTCTATGAACTAATGTCCTTAACTAAACTCGCCACGAAGACATAGTTTGAACGCTACTGCCCACTTAACCGTTTACTGTCAACTGCCCTGTAACTAAACTCGCTACTGTACTTGTCGAAGTGAAAAGCCAAACAAACACAACCTGTCTCGATAGAAAAAAGACACAATCGTAAGCTGTGCTCTTAGGGTAAAATAAAGCAGATATAATAATGATGTCCCCCAAAACTAAATTTCGGTCATGGCAGCCAGTCTCAACGGAGACTAGCCAAATGCGCAGGACAGGATTATAATGCACGAGCGTATGCGCAGGCACAAGTGCACTCTCTATTCCCTCACTCTCAAAGTGAGATGTGACGCAGGCACAGTACCAACGACTTTACGTGCTTTAAGAAACACGGAGATGAAATACCACCAACTCCCTGACTCCAGGCTGCTACTGAGAATTTCTTGACAGATAAACTCAACAACAGATTTTTAATACGACCCGGGATTCGAATCTGGAACCTCATGATCAACGGTCGCGTTTACAACCACGACACCAACGAGGCAGCATACAGTCCACCTGGTGATAAGTGGAAGCTGTGAACCATAGACATCTACATTTATCCTCGATTAAGAATCAAAATGCAGATGCGTCGTCACCCCTGAGGACTATAAGATGGAATGCTTCGTTTCCAGTAAAAAAGGATCTCCGGTTCTCTACACTCAACATACGAAACACAACAGGCTTTGGCGGCTATTTTACGCTGGTATTCTGTGAGAGCGGGTCCCTACCCTGGTTGAGCCGACCCATTAGTGCCACAACTAATATAGCTGCAGCGTGGCTCTACCACCTAAAGAATATATTCTAATAACTTCCACATAATTTAATTTACTTTAAGAACAATTATGTTGTGCGTTTAGCCCTGCTTTTCTTTTCCTTTGTGGCTATTATTGTTAGTTTCACTTATTAAACATTTAAATTAGACTCCATTTTTTGTTGCTCATAATTGTGTTATGTCCTTTAAACGACGAAAGATTATGTTAGTGTATTTCTATTAGTGAGAACCTGTTATTGGCTATTTAAGATTTGTAAGCTGTTGGTTTTCCAGTACATAAAAATAAAATAAAATAAAATAACAAATAATTTAATACCTTATGAAATGTAATAAAAGCATAATGGCTGCTGTGAAAAGAGAACCAGTGACCCTTTTTTAATGGTAACGAGGCATTCCATCTTAGCCCTTAGAGGTGACAACTCATCTGCATTTTAACACACAAGTGGACTGTGTTTGTTTTTTGTAATTTCCTAAAGCTCGAAAAACAGTTTTTTTTTCAGAATTATGTAAAAAAAACCACTTACTAACCCATATCAACTATATGTGTCCGAAGAGCACAATAATATTGGGAGCACTGCTATGCTCTAGGGTAAAGTTGACACCAATTGCCGTTACTTCTACCCAAGGCTTGACTTAGCCTACAGGTTAATTAAGCTAAAAGCTGGAACCAAGCGAAAGGTCGTGGTGAGATAAGCCAGAGGGTAAATTGAGAGCACCCTTATCTCTTCCTCGACGTTTCAACGTTTGATTACCCGGTATACTTAACTTTTATTGATTAACATTGTTAAGGTATCCATTTTCGAAAAGATAAATGCGAAATGGGAGAAAACTAAAGGCCAAGGTTATAAATAAGCCTAGGCGTGAATGTAGTGTCCGTTGAGCATATAAATGGGAAATTTTAAGGAAAACGCGCGTTTTGTTCCTACACGTTTTGCTTTAGGAGGTATAGGAGGTGCGGCCACAAAGGGTCTGGTGTGTGCAAAAGCGTCAGTCTGCCATTTCTGCAGTAGTACTGGCTTGCTATGAATTGTCAGAAAACTGTACTCTAAGATGAAGATGTTGATTCAAAGAGTTATGAAAGAAAATGATGAAATAAAATTACGATGTTCAAGCAAGATTTAGTAAGGACATGGAGTGTACGGTCATATCTTTTCTATGCGCATGATCACAGAGAAAATTTTGGCCAAAACCCAGAAAGAGTTAGAAAAGGACTATGAAAAGGGTTGCTTTGTGGTAGGTGCTGGTCAAGTTTGGGTTGAGCACTGAACTAATGCTGTTACAGGAATTGAAATGTCCTTACAGGTACTACATATAGAAGGATCAATGGGACATCCATAAAATAATCAGACAGGGTTGTGCAGCTTCCCTGTGCTGTTGCCGTTCAAGGACAGATGCCGAATGTAGGTTAAGAATAAGAAATCCAGTCGTCAAATGCTTCTTCTTGTACGCCAACGATCAAGTCATATTTGCATAGCCGGCCGGATGAGTTGCAAAAAATGATTACACTAACGTAGCATTTAAAGAAAGGGAAATGAAAGTGAACGCAGTTAATACAAAAATGAAAAAGTGGTGATATTTAAACGATAAAAAAGTAAGACAATATAATGATTTCTTATATTTACGCGAACACTACACATTATGGATTTTATCGCGTTTCATTTAAATGATTTTTACCTCCTGACGTTTCGGGTGCTTTCCATCACCCATGGTCACGGGGGACTGAGGTGACTGACGTCCCGATGTCAGTGTTAACCCGGAGTACCTTCAGCTTTTTAATTATTATTTATGGTCCAATTAAAAAGCCGAAGGTACTCCGGGTTAACACTGACATCGGGACGTCAGTCACCTCAGTCCCCCGTGACCATGGGTGCTAGAAAGCACCCGAAAAGTCGGGAATCAAAAATCAATTAAATTAAAAGCGATAAAATCCGTAAAAGTAATTTTAATCAAAGTAAGACAATATGTTGGAAGAGGGGTGAGTTTATGTATTTAGGATGTGTGTTCGTTTAGCAGGGATTATAGACCTGACAAGTATATAGAACAAAAAGTGATATGGGCAAGGCTACTTCATTGTGAAATGTAAGAATGTATAAAAATAGGGCACTTTCAATGCACATCATCATCATCATCATCACAGCCCTTCACAAGTCCACTGCTGAACATAGGCCTCCCCCAAGTAATGCCACAAAGCACGGTCCTGAGCCACCTGCATCCATCGACTTCCTGCATATCTTACCAGGTCGTCACTCCATCTAGTGGGGGGTCGCCCTACACTACGCCTACCGGTACGAGGCTGCCACTCGAGAACCTTTCTTCCCCATCGGTTATCGGTTCTTCGAGCTATATGGCCGGCCCATTGCCACTTCAGCTTACTAATCCGTGGTGCTATGTCGGTCACTCTGGTTCTACTGCGGATATCCTCATTTCTGAGTCTATCACGCAGAGAAACTCCGAGCATAGCCCTCTCCATAGCTCGCTGAGCGACCTTGAGCGTCCTCATACGGCCAGCAGTGAAGGACCACGTCTCTGATCCGTAAGTCATCACTGGCAACACGCACTGGTTGTACACATTAGTTTTCAGAGATTGAGGTATACCTGACGAGAAGATGTGTCGTAATTTCCCGAACGCTGCCCAGCCGAGTTGAATCCGTCGATTGACCTCTCGGTCGAAGTTTGACTTACCTAGTCGGACTATTTGTCCCAGGTAAACGTACTCGTCAACAACTTCGAGCATAGTGCTCCCAACAACTACCGGCATAGGTGTGACATGGACATTAAACATGATCTTTGTTTTGTCCATGTTCATCTTAAGACCTATCCGTTGGGAGGCACTATTGAGGTCATTGAGCATAGTGCTTAAGTCCTCCAGCGATTCTGCCATAAGGACTATATCGTCAGCAAATCGAAGGTGAGTGATGTACTCGCCATTGATGTTAATACCGTATCCTTTCCAGTCCAGTAGCTTGAAAACGTCTTCCAAAGCAGCGGTGAAGAGTTTCGGGGATATAACGTCACCCTGTCTTACACCTCTCTGCAGTTGGATAGGTTTCGAGCTCTGGTTCTGTACTCGGATAGCCATCGTAGCCCTACTGTACAAACACTTCAGCACTTCGATATACCGACAGTCAACTTGGCACCGCTGAAGGGACTGCAGCACCGCCCAAATTTCGACGGAATCAAAGGCTTTCTCATAGTCCACATACGCCAGGCAAAGTGGCAAATTGTACTCTTCAGTCTTCTGTACAATCTGCCGCAGGGTATGTATGTGGTCTATGGTACTGAAGCCTTTTCGGAAACCGACTTGTTCGGGAGGCTGGAAGTCGTCGAGTCTGCGTGCGAGACGATTCGTAATGACTCTCGAAAACAGCACGTAGACGCGGCTCAGAAGGGAAATCGGTCTGTAGTTCTTCAAGAGAGCGTTGTCGCCTTTCTTAAAGAACAAGACCACCGCACTTCTGCTCCACGCACACTACTATGTTAATCCCTACTATAAATTATGGCGGTGAAAATTGGGTATGGTAGAAGAAACAAGAGAGTACATTGAATCCTGTAGAAATGCAGTCATTAAGAAATGAAAAAAAATGTGTGATAAAAATGTGGTTTGCAAGAGTCGTTGCAATAAAAATGACTCACCTGATAATCGTCGGGCTTGGTGATGTTCAAATCACTACGTAACTCCGCCGGCGCGCCTGCGCACAGAAGGTAGAACACGTGGTAGTTCCTCTCCTCTGCGCTCTGCATACAGATTCTAGACTTTTCTAGCAGATAGTGTGAGATGTGCCCGCCTACCACTTGGTACTTGTTATTGAAGTGCACCTCGATGAACTTGCCGAAACGCGAGCTATTGTTATTCCGCGTAGTTTTCGCATTGCCAAACGCTTCTAGAATGGGGTTGGCTGGAAGGTAAAAATTACGTCGTGATGTTATTATAGTTGACCGTGCAGTGGCTGTACAAGAATATCCACTAACCCATATCATATCGCGGGTGTCGGTAAGAGGCTACAGAGGCAAACAAATTAGCAGAAGGACACTTAATATAAAACTTGAAGTGGACAACAAGCTTGCCAAGCGTGGCAACTATGGCAAATATCCCCCTATAAGGCAATCCATGGGGGAGGCCTATGTTCTGCAGTGGACTTTAATAGGCTGTAACAGTAACGGTCATTACAGTTGCTTTACCAGAATATCCATTGCTGGACACGGACCTTCTCCATTAAAGTGTGACGTCATGGTAAGGTCGCCTTGTAATGTCGGAAAGGTGTCAATGAGAAAACGTTTGTCAGGTGTTAGGCCTTTAATTGGAATATTGTTATTCTAAACATAACCCTAATATATGTTATGTCGTGTGGGCTACAACACTATATCACAAAAGGGAGGATTTGTCAGAATCGCCACACTTGCCTAGTGTATTGGCGATCGCAATACCAGACTTTTCATACCTTTAACGCTGTTGTCCATCACAGGTCTTTGTATTGTACGTCTGACATAAACGAGATAGTTATTTGCAGTTTTAAGCACTGGTTTGCTAAGTGCTCAGAAGTAAATGAAAACAACCTAACGATGACAAATTGATGACGAGGATTACAAAATTGAATAGGAAAAATAATTTTTATTCCATACACACCAAAAGTATAATTTTTGAAAAATTTTTTAGCTTCACCACTAGTACCGAAAAACCTCTGTACTGAAACGAAACGGGACTATTTAAAAAAAAATTACAATATAATACTTTAAACAATGTATGAAATTATTAGTGCTTAAGAGCTTAAGACACAGTGTAGAACCGAATGTGAATTTATTTTGTTATTTTTAGTTCTTAGAAGTCCGCTTTTACAACTTTAAAAGTTTAACTTTAAGACCATTTTAATATCACACTCAAATTTTTTTAAGGCGGCTGCTAAAAACATAAACAAATACGGGACCAGAGCAGCATACACTTCTGCTTCTCTTAGAAATAAGTGAGCTACAATCAGGATTAGGATGTAGTTATATCACAGTTTGTTACTTTACTAATGATCAACTAGAATTCTCTAGTTTTCTTCAAATTTCACTCACCGTCCAAAATCTTCTGTTCGACGGGGCCGGCACCCTTCGCCCACAAGTCGCACAGATATTTGAGTATGTATTTCGTGGACTCGGTCTTGCCCGCCCCGGACTCGCCCGACACTATGATCGACTGCGACTGCTTAAACGACTTCATGTCGCGAAACGCCTTATCCGCTGCAAATAAGTTACGCATTGTATTACCTACATCTTCACCTTTTATACCTATATCACCGCCATTCTGTGCCTTGTCCTCCTAAAAGTAATAAACGAGTAACAAGATTACCTGTACCTAGTGCCCGGACCGTGTTTGCTAGAAGAAGCTACAATTTTTGTGCACAAATGCTTTATAATAAATTATTCAACAAGTTAAAACTATTAATAACAGAAATGTTTAAACTGTTATTAACCTTAATAATCATGAATTTAAAAAATATTAAAACAAACTCTTAACGGCTTGAATTATGATGCAATTGAAGAATTGTTCATAAAAATCATTTAATCGCTCACAAACACAGACACACACACACACACACACACACGCACACACGCACGCACGCACGCACGCACGCACGCGCACACACACACACACACACACACACACACACACAAAAAAAACACACACACACACACACACACACACACACACACACACATGCGCGCGCACATGCGCAATTTGGCCTTACATTAGAATTAGTACCATATTATCACTTTTTTATATTTTATTTTATTTTTTTAACTAACAAATTTCTTTATAATAGTAATATACATTATAATACTTAGACAATAGATGGGGAAGTCTGAGGCCTGTAGCACAGATTTTACTAACGCAGGCTTCAGAGCTCAAAAATAATTGTAACAATAATGTAATGTATGTTAATAAATTTCATTTAATTTCATTTTATAGGAAAGATGGGCAAAGAGATCATTGGTTCATCTAATGATGATCAGCGTCGCTCATAAACATCAGCAATACCAGAGAAATTGCACGCGTATTGCCGGCCAAGGTCATAAAGTGCTCATGGCTTCCAATAGATGGCAGTATGACAATTTCAGTATCACATTTTACGTCAGACGTAAAATGTGTGAGACTTTTGGTCAAGCCAAGTCTAGCAGTAAATTTCACCACTGCACATCGTGACAGAATTCGCGATACCGCCTATATCAGCTGGATGTTCCGTGGTCCACCACTGTACGATTTACTAGTTTTCTTCCTCGCACCTTTGTGAAATCGTTTACCGAACTGATACGGCTTAGGGTCCTTCAAGAAACGAGCTTACTCCTTTATAAAAGGTCGGCAACGCACCTGCAATTTCCCGGTGTAGCAGTTGTTTATTGGCTGAGGTCGTCACTTACGATCAAGTTAGCTGCACGCTTGTTTCTTCCTCTCATATAAAAAAAACAGAATGTTTTTTGTTATTTGTGTTACCGTTTCGAGTGTTTTGAGGCACTAGGATCTAGTACATTAGATATCTCAGATAAAGACCGGACTCTGAGTATTCTTTCTTCAATACCAACTCCTGATTTTCCACCGTTTAATTTCTCTCCTTTCACTGATAGTGATGTTAAAAAGAACATTTTGTCCATCTCGTCCAATGCCGTAACATGATCTTACCTATCCTAGAATTTGTTACTCCTATCCTCACCCATATTTTGAATAAATCCATCTCCTCTTCAAAATTTCCTGATGTTTGGAAAAGTGCACTTGTAACGCCTCTCCCAAAAAAGCCCATGCTTTGCATTTTTCCGACTTTCGTCCTATCTCAATTCTCCCGTTTTTATCCAAACTCCTGGAGAAACTAGTTTTCTTTCAGTTAAATCTCTACCTAAATAGAAATTGTATCCTGGATCCTCTCCAATCTGGTTTCCGATCGGGTCATAGTACGACAACAGCGTTGGTTAAAGTTACCGATGACATTCGACGAGGTATGGATAACAAACAGTTCACTGTGTTGGTATTGATTGATTTTAGCAATGCATTTAACACTGTTGATTTTGACATCTTATTGAGTGTGTTACGTTCTATTAACATATCTCCTCCGGTGATTGGCTGGTTTCATAGTTATCTTTACGGCCGACGGCAGCGTATTCGCATTGAAGATGAGTTCTCATCTTGGTGCGAATTACGGGCTGGCGTGCCTCAAGGTGGTGTGCTGTCTCCTTTACTTTTTGCTATATTCATTAATTCTATCTCTCAAAATATTACTTCTCTCTATCACATGTATGCAGACGATCTCCAAATCTACACTCAGTCAACTCTGTTAAATCTGCCTTCTGCTGTTGCCACCATCAACAATGACTTAGCGGCGATCAACCAGTGGAGTCAGCGTTATGGTCTAAAAATTAATCCGTTCAAGTCCCAGGCTATAGTTATTGGTGGTGGAGGGATGGTCTCCAGAGTTGACTGGAACAACCTACCCTCGGTGACATTAAATGACGTTGTCATACCCTACAGTAAATCTGTAAAAAATCTGGGGATATATCTAGATTCTACCTTGTCGTGGTCGCAGCAGTTAAAACAAGTGAGCAAAAAGGTGTTTGCTTCTATGGGTTCACTTCGTCGTTTACGTTCTTTTCTCCCCATTCCCACTAAGATTATGTTAGCACAATCCTTACTTCTCTCTATTCTCGATTATGCGGACGCAAGTTATCTCGATTTAACTGAAGACCAACTGAACAAACTTGAGCGAATTCAAAATATTGCAATTAGGTTCATATTTGGTTTGCGCAAATATGATCATGTATCCGAATATCGTTTACAGCTCAAGTGGACCCATTCGCTTTCGCCGTACGCGTACAATTTGCAAACTGTATCTCTTCTGTACTGTGTGTTGTTCAATCCTTTGACTCCAAGCTACTTGAAGGAAAACTTTAAGTTTCTTGGTCATGATCGACCTGATAAGAGTTCTTCGGTCAGCCGGCGAACTAATTCTAGAACCATGTTCATTTCGAACAAAATTTATGAAATATTCTTTTACGAGCCAAGCCATAAGGTTATGGAATGAACTTCCACTCCAAATTCAACGTGCACAAACTTTGGAAAGTTTCAAAAGTGACGTCAAGAAACATTACCTAACACTTTGTGGTTATTGATAACCAATTCTAGCAACAGATAGTTATTCTGTGTTTTTCTTTTTTTGTTTTATATTTATTTATTTATCATCTATGTATATATATGTGTGTGTATATATTTATATATATATAAACCTATTTATTAATATGTATGTTTATTTTATTATTTTTTATGTATTATTGTGGTATTTTAACAAAATATAGTTTAGTTTATTTAGATATTAGAATGTAAGTGTAACATAAAACACACCACCTCCTACTGTTCTTAATTCCAGTTTCTCCTTAGCCCAAAGGTTGTCTGGAAGAGATCGCTCTTTAGCGATAAGACCGCCTTATTGTACATACGTATATATTAAGTTTCCTCTGTAATGTATTTATTCGTTGTATATGTGTGGTGTACAATAAAGTATATACTACTACTACTACTACTACTAGGATACCTATATATATATATATATATTTCTTATTGCGCTAATGATAGAAATCTGTAAAGCTTACTGTACCTATAGCGAACACGTGAGGCGGCAGCTCTCCCAACGAACGGCCCTGGTACTTCTTGATGGTGCTGGACGAATACAGATCCGGAATATCTTCGTAGGGGTTCACGGCCAGTAGGATGTTAGCGACGTACGTCTGTGAAAATAATAAATAGGTTTAATTGGGGCACTAAGGAACATTAATTTTATTAAAGTTATAATAGATTTTACACAAAAATAACCGTCAAGTAACTATAAGGTTAGTCTTTTAAAAGGCTTCAATGATATATAAAAACTATAGATAATTTACTCGCGTCTCAAAATTAAAGACGTGTGTGCGCTTCGGCGTCCTACTTCTCCTTCTTTATTTATCAGCTCTCTGCAGTCTACTCTTTAAAATATACCTCTCCATTTGTGGAGAGCATCGCTTGGCAGTTGACGATCGTCTTTCACACGTTTCGCACCCTGAAGTAGATTTCAGACTACGCTATAATATAAATCATATAGTGTATAGCTTATGGCACAATGATATCGCGCAACATACAAAGTCAATAATATATAGTACAAACAGTGTGAACGTGTCCATAACAATGTATAGTGCGCGATATTGTTGTGCTATGAGCTATATACTATTATATTATGGAGTAGTCTGAAATTTACTACAAATAAGTCGCAAGCTAAAGCATGCCAAATGGCAATGAGGGACAAATCAGGAAGGCCTCGGAAATGGACAATTTTACAGTAAAGTACCAGTTAACGTAACAAGCAAACAGATATTATGTTAAATATTTATTCGTGGTTTACATTTCGTTTACGTGACAAAATATGATCATGAACGTTTTATTTTAATTGTTTGGAGATTTCCTGCATTCGGCTTATCATAGAAATAGTGGTTTTAAAAAAAAGGGCACAGTAAAGGGTTTACAAGAGACTTTCGCTTACTGACGTGAGAAAGATGGGCAAAAATTGTCAGGAGGGCAGCGACTCAATAATCGTATCTTCATTGATTAAAAATACATTATTAATATTCTTATATAATTTTCGAATATATACCTGAAACTGACTTCTATTGAAAAAAACGCCAAAATAAAATCTAAAGTACGTTATTCAGGTTCATCTTCTTTAGAGCAAATATTTCGTCGCCAGACAAAGACGTAATATAAAAAGCCCAACCAAAGCAATCTATTTTTAAGAATAAGTAACTAATAACTTACTAATAACAACAAAAATGTTTGTGTTAGGAGTTAGGAATGGATTATGACCGTAATCGTGTAGCAGATTTGAACCCACGACTTTCTTTAGGTTTCAATGATTTAAAACCCACCAAAACTACCCAGCAGTAGACTTCAAATGGCAAACAATATACATTGTTATTTTTTTAATAAGAGAGGTGGCAAACGAGCACGCGGCTCACCTGATGTTAAGTAACTATCTCCGCCCATGAACAACTGCAACACCAAGGAAATTGAAGATGCGTTGTCGGCCTTTTAAAAAGAGTAAGCTCTTTTCTTGAAGGTCCTTAAGTCGTATCGGTTCAGAAAAATAGATGGTATAGTATGTGCCAAATCGAATGAGAAAAACAGATAATGACCTTTCGGTCATTTAACCAGGAGTTACAAACCTTCAATATATAGGCACATTTTATATGTAGTACTTTCTTTATTTATAATGATTTTTTTAATTATTTTTTTAAATGATTGATATAATATATATTTATTAACCATTATTAAAAAGTTATGTAAAAGATCGCTGTAGAAGAAACATCATCTATTGTTATAAAGTACTTTATTCATTTAACAACAAAAAGCATTAATTTATAACATTTATAAAGATTCGAGTTCGAACGACACCGAATAAGTCCATACTTATTCAGAAGATAAAACTTTATTTTCAATATTATATAAGAACTTTATTTTTATTCGGTACAATCATCACTCGTGTCGGTCATATATACCGGCCCAAAAAAGGGGACGCATCTCTGGCTGCCATTGTCACGTTTCCTTTAGAACGAACTTGTGCCAGCTCCTTCCACTTGAGCGTATCCAGCGCAGAGCGGCTCGAATCGTCGACGATCGAGTGCTTTCCGATCAGCTCGATTCACTGGCGCTGCGAAGAGATGTTGCATCTCCGCAATTTCATTTGCATTGCATTTGCATATACCACGGGGAGTGCTCTGAGGAATGTTCGGATTGATCCCAGCCGCCAAATTTCGTGAACGCACTACGCGGCAAACGTCCCGATACCATCCACACCATCTGGATGCTTTGCAGTCCACCACTGTACGTTTCAGAAGAAGTTTTCGTCCGCATACGACCTCTCTGTGGAATAGTTTACCACCGGCGATTTTTCCGGACCGATACGACCTAGGGACCTTCAAGAAAAGAGCTTACTCCTTTCTAAAAGGCCGGCAACGCACCTGCAATTCCCCTGGTGTTGCGGTTGATCATACGGGGCGGTAGTCACTTAACATCAGGTGAGCCGCATGCTCGTTTGCCCCCTCTTCTATAAAAAAAACTGACGTAACGCGCGTGTTGTTTATTTTAAAGGGATGAATTTGCAAAAGCTCAGTATGATGATTATATTGCTACAAATATTTTTTTAATATGAAACTGTTATTAAATGAATTGCTGCGTTACTTACCATAAATAATATAAAATATAACATTTTTCGCGATGTACCGTAAGATTTTACGATGATTATAGGAACCACAAACAATATTATTTAAGAAACCAAAAAACAAAACATATGTGCGGACTTAGAAGTGTGAATAATATCAATATTTAAATATTGTTATCACATCTAAATTGCGATTTTGTAAGTTACGCCTTTTGACACTCGGCTCATATCTGAGGTCATTGTCCGTTTTTCTCAATCGATTTGGCACATACTATAGTAAAGTCGATCCACAAGGAAGTATTACGAGGAAGAACATTATACCTTAATTATATACATTTCATGTTTTCGTCCCCTCAACTTTCCTAAACGTTTAATATTCAAGTTCACTGTAATCTCTTTAACTATCAGTAACCAAATCCTATTCTGCATTCGTTTACTTGATCATAACAATCCAATTACACGTTTACAAACAAGACTTAACGCACGCGAGGTGAAAGTTAATTATTTTATTTTTTGCTTGGTATATTTGCTTTCGATTTCAATGTAACAGATTTATTTATATTTTTATAAATATACGGCCTTACTTATAAAGATGATTATCGCTTACTTAAATTACGGTTTCATTATCTCTATATATCTTTATTTCTATTGTTAAACTGATGTCAATTTTTATAAGGAAGGCCTAGTGTCTTTTGTTTGACATAGAACGACTGCCATGTAATGGCGGCCCAAGAATATCCATCAGTTTTTCGTCCTATGGCATGGGTATCGTAAGAGGCCAATATGAGAAATGCCATTAAAACCTCAAGGCCTCTGATCTTTGAGTATTAAAACTCAAAGCCTCTGATATATGGCGGAATACCGTCTAGTTTATGCCACATGTGAAATGGTGAGATCGGCGACGGGAGCAGAGTCAAGTTTGAGAAACTAAGTAGTACCTGGCCAATCTTTCAATGGGGAAAAGCCAAAGTACAACAATGGATAGTAAAAGCTAAGAAACTAATAACGAAATCTTCGCCGGCACCAATAAAATTATTAATTGATTTTTTTAAGTGCTGATTTACCACGTGCTCGGCGGTCAAGTAAAACATCGTGAGGAAACCGGCATGTCTGAGAAAAAAGAAAAAAAATATTTCGAAGACATGTGAAGTTCGACAACATGCATTGGGGCAGCGCGGCGGACAATTCCTTTTCCCTAAATCCCTCTCAGAAATGAGCGAAGGCTAGTGCCCAGGAGTGGGATGTATATAGGCTGTAAATTTAACTTTTTTTTAATAACGAAAACGTATGAACATGACCACTTATGCGAAACAAGCAGCACTGCCTAAAATCTATGGTTGATTTCTATAAAGACAATTTGACATCACCTAGAAGGTACTGTCATAATGTTAATAACTATACGAATCTTGTTCTTTATCTGTATCAGGCCGTAGAGTTTCATTGCTAGACATGTGCTTCTGTAGGGAGATTTTGCTTTAATCATCATGCTTGAGAGGCGGATTGACAATCGAAGTATGCCAGATATCTTGGACTTTTGTTTATGTCTAAGGTAAACGAGATGCTATACCGTCATCCATCGGAAACCATAACATTTTTACGGCATAGTTGCCTCTTACGACACCCGTTGAACGAAATGAGAACCTTGCCCACGCTCATATATCTAAGCTAATAAATAATACGATTGAATTCAATAAATTGAAGAACTAAGACAAAGTACACATTACGCGTTTTAAAGCGCGCGCTTTAGTAACGCGTGTTTTAAAAAATCATCTGGTCTGACACATTCGTACACATCCTAATATGCGCTTTTATTCAAGCGGGCAACTAGTACACATTGGGCGTTCGGTGTTGCGTTCAGCGCGCGTTGATAGCGTACATACATTGCGCTCAGCACGGCGCCACGTTCGATGAGCGTAAGCAGGACGAGTAGCAGGGTGAGACCCTAATAGTTGGTCTTATTTGGATTTCATCGACAAAAACTCCGTATCAAAATGCTCTACCTCTATTTTTATAAACGTGCGTCCAATCTACAATCAAATGTGTAAGAAAATGGCAGGCCATGTATCTAAAAATGCACGACATGAGTGATTCCAACCAACACCGCGCAGTACGCATTAGTATTTAGTACAGCACAGCGTAAAAATGACACGAGGTCTGTGCTAATCTGTGGTACGCATATAGGCTGTTATAAAACTTTTTATTTCAAAAAACTAAACAGTCTTAAAAAATAATTTGCTCCGACGAGGATTTAACCTTACCCTCATGACTCAGCGCTGATACGCAATCCGCTATGCAGAAGCAAATGCTCTAAACACAATCAACACTGAATAGAGGTACGTTTCGCAATCGTCGCATGCTATTGTTTTTATTTCTCACAAAACACGAATATTCCGACGACAAACGGAAACAAATTGTTTGGGCTTTGTATTTCACACGACAGCAATGAAACAATGTCTAACGGAGGACGATTAAATTTAGCTAAGAGACTAATCTTTTTTTTAATAAACTAAAGTGACTAACGAACTTACTGTCTGATGGTAAGTGGCTACAGTCTTCAAAATACGAAGGCTATAGCTGCGTTTTCACAATAAGGATAATATTGTCCCTTTCAAATGCCATATTAAAAAGGAAAAAGCATAATTTTTCCTTCTTAATATGGCCCCATGCTACGGATGGATATATATGTCTACTCGCTATCTCAAACGGGGATAGATAGGTATACTTGTCGGGATGTTATTGGTGTTGTTGTTGTTTTCCCCTATTGCCGTGCTCTCGTATAAAATAAAACAAAAAAGCCTTTTTATTTCTTGTATAAGTGCTCTCGTATAAGGACAAGTTAATTTTATCTCTTGTCCATGGATATAATCAGGGGATAATATTTTTGTCTCCTGCCCATGCTAGCCCTGCTGAGGACTAACATGGAATGCCTCACAGCTTGTAATTATAATAATGTCCTCCAGACCGAATTCCGGCCACGGCGGCCTGCCTCAACAAAGGCAAGCCAGGAGTCGCCACTAGACTAACGAGGCAGTCTTTTTGATAATTCTGAAAAAGCAGATTTTTGTAATTATGTACTGACCTTTATTTCGACCTTTTATTAAAAGCAGTTAACAGTAGCACTGCTAATTGACGGCAGGAATAGATAAGAACGTGGTACCCAGACGGAATTCTAAAGCAGAAAAGCCGTCCTCTCACATAATCATATAATCCTCCTCTCACATAATCATATAGTCCTCTCAAATAATAATCTACTTTATAATTTAAAAACTTAATCCAAAAATTAATTTTATTTAGATATTTTTTCTTTTAATACAGAGCTAGTTGAAAACTAATAAACAGATACAAAAATGTTATTTAACTTTTTTTACATTATTCCTGACCGTATTTCGACCGCGGCAAAGCTAACCGGGTGAGCTATTATTTTCTTTCAGTTTGGGCATTATTGAGCCCGGCAGAATGTTCAATATGTACCCTGACGGCTCCGTGGCGCAGTGGCTTAGCAATGAGTTACGGGGCTGAGAGCCGCGAAAGTATTTGTACGGCCTGCAAGAAATTGTTTCAGGTCTGGATGTTTGTCCTTGTGCAAAAATTCTAGGCAGAGTCTAGAATTGGGCTTTGTAACCTTTGCCCTATGCGTGACGTCTTAATTTTGGAAAGTTAAGTACATATATACATACAGTAGTGGACTTTTGACGATTTACTCTTGCTGAATTTGATAATGTCATAGAAAAGCCTGTCATTAACTTTTTAAGTATAAGAAAAGAATATTATATCTTACTTATTTCATAACCGAGAATATTATGTTTCAATGTTACATAAATAAAAGTTATTTCTTCCAACTATATAATATGTAGGAAATTACAATGAATTCAATATTGTATGTTTACGTGAATCGATATCAAAGCAGAGCGTCGCGTCCTCAAGGTGAGAGCGACAGGCGCATGACTCATATCTTTACGAGTTTACGACATAGAATATGTGTAAAGCAGTAGTATAACTTCACACGAAAAAAGAAAATTTATTGATTCATTGATCGAGGTCTAGTGGTCGTAAATACAACCACTAGTCATGTGGTCCCTCTTCAAATCCTTGGTCGAGCCGGAATAGGTGTTTGGGTTTTTCTGTCAAGAAGTTCAAAGTTGCAGCCCTGAGTCAGAAAATTGGCGGTGCGGTGTTTTACCTCCTTGCCTCGGAAAGCACTTGAAGTCTTTGGTTCTGCGTCTGATTTCTTTTTTTTTTTTTGACAGCATTTTTGGAGTTGGATTAGCATCCCATCGGATTATGAGTTTATGAGTGTGAAAATAGTGACACCTGTGCTTGCGCATACACTCGTGAAGTCCCGTCCTGCGCAGAAGGCTAGTCTCAGATGTAAGTGGTCACCGTGACCAAAATTCGGTCTGGAGGACATTAGGTATACTTCAACAATACAATGCTATGCAAATTTTTAAGTTTTATATTTAAAAAAATACATTAATTTTACGGTTATTCTATGTAATACGTTTTATATACAAGCTGATTTCTATAGCATTTTTTAAAATAATTAGTTAATAAACTAATTTTGTCTTGTTTTTAGTTTCTACTAAGGTATAATATTATTGGAAAATTTATTAAGTAAGACTTATTTAGATTTTCTAGTATATATGATCTTTAAATTTATATTTTAAGATTTTTTTTTCTGTAAGTTCGTTCTTAATTTTCTGGAAGATCGTTTAGAATAGAAGCTTATATATTAAGAGTTCGCCTGTCTCCATAAAAGTTATTTGATTTTATTTTCGCTACTGTTTTTTATTTATTATGTATTAAAATCTTCAACCATGATATGATATTCAAGTTTTTTATTTATAGATATGACGTTCGTTACAGTATTTAAAAGGACCAATATATAGTTATTTTCTTTATATATTTGATTTACTTTGTAATCAACAATGAGCTATAAGAATTTTAGTTGTCGATTATAGATCCTTCCGATGTATGTTTTGAATGTACGACCATAACTTGTTACTCCATATGATATTATCGAATCTACTAGCGCATGGTACATTGATAGTCGTACTGCATATGTCACTTTATTCTTGATAACATAGATTGTTGCAAGCAATGACCTTAGCTTATTACAAAACGTTTCTATATTAGGACCCCGGTTAAATCTGTTGGCCTAGGTATTTTTATTTGTAACTTGTTCTATTGGTGTACATATACATTTTTAAAGTATCCATGCATACATTCGTGCGTAAGCACAATTATTGATATTGGACTAGATGACTTTAGTAAGTCTATGCACAGTGCGAACACAGTAGATTTTTCTGCTTGATCACATATGTTCTACTCGTACTCAAATCACTTGACGTTACGGGGTTACGGCTTATTGGCATAACGACCTTTATAATATGACTGTGTGTCATATCACTCTTCACATGCTGTGGCTACTCCCAGTTCAGCAGTGGACAATAAATGGGCTTATGGTAAGGAATTGTTCTTTTTGATTATGACCTCATTAACAGTGATACGAACCATATATATACGTAATTAAAAGCTAGCATTAAATATTAAGATTTTTGAGGTAAAATGGAAAAGTTTACGTACATGAATATAATTACTAATTTTTAGAATACATTAATATAATTACTAATTAATAGAATACTTGAATATAATGAATACTACTATTAATTTTATATTATGTCTTATAAGTTATAAAGTATATATTTTCTACATACTACTAAATGCATTTATAATTGCATAAAGAAAACAGTAAAATGATTAGGGATGGGCCGAATATGGATTTCACCGAATACGAATATTCGGCCGAAAGTTTGGTAAAACTTTTACCGAACCGAATATTCGGCCGAACATTATTCGGCAGGATCACCTCGGTACCTTACCAATTTCTGTCGAAACTTGTTACCGTAAAGAGCGTGGGATTAGTGCCGGACCCTGCCACTCACTCCCCCGCCACACCTGACATGCCTTTGTATCATCATCTTGTACTGAGCAAATTGTCGGCGAACATGCTTATGCTTTGACTAGTTTTAGGCGAAAACAAGTCCGTAGTGTTATTCTCAGTGAAAATTGATAATTATACGTTAAAAATGAGTGGCAGGAGATCTACTAATTTGGATATATTTCAGAAAAACTGACGACCAAAGTAAAGTGAAATTTACTAATGTAATGTAATGTATCTTTGCTTGATTCCAAAAACATTTTATCAAGCTTTCTAATTGATATAATTGGAAATGAATCTATATATATATATATATATGATATATCTAAAAATAATACAAGTAAATTTAACCCATAAATAAAATATACTTTCAACAGTAAAATTATGATAGATATGGCATTACTCAATTCATACATTTCAATACAGTGGATACTGAGTATACTACTTTACCGAATGTTCGGTGATTTAGCCGAATATTCGGGCGAATACGAATATTCGGTATAGCTGCCGAATATGCCGAATACCGAATATGAAACGAATATTCGGCCCATCTCTAAAAATGATCCTACTGATAAAAACTGTGATTATCACTACTTACGTAAATCTTTTTCTTCTTGTAGCGGCATATTATGTTGTTTAGAAGCGTTGCCTCGTTCAAAAACATCAGTTCACCTGAAACATTATTTTAGTTTTGTAAGGCATTATTTTAAGTGAACGATAAAAACAACATCGCAACACGATTCTGCACAGTGCAGTGCAAGCCATATCAAATAGGTAATAGTTGTATAGAGGAATGAGTTTAGTATGGTGAGTGTAGAGAACCGGAAACCCTTTTTACATGTAACAAGGACAAGCCGTTCTATCCTAGCCCTCGGAACTGACACTGCATGTGCATTTTAATTTTCAATAGATAAATGTAGATGTATATAGGCCGTAGGCGCTTACTATCGTGTGGACTGTGCGCTCGCTTGTCCCCCTTATTCAGTAAGAAAGGAGGAAATACATAAAATCATAAGTATCAAATATATCTGCGTAAAGAATCGCAAGTTTGCGAGAAGTTAGCGAGCCAGTAAGTTTAGCGGTTAGCCATCCCACTGTCCATTTTTCCCGAAAGGGATAAGCCTTTTCTTTGTTCTCCTGATGATACCTCTTTTAGAGACGAAAACTGATTATTGACCGTGATGTGTGCTTCTTATAGACGCCACACACGGTCAGTTCAACTGATTAGTTCAAACTAAAACTGTTGACATTTTTTAAAATAGTGGATTTTCGATATATCGATCATTATAAATATATTAATATCGAACTTTTACATATAAGTTTATTTATGGATATATCGAAAATCCGATATTTTAAAAAATATCACCAGTTTTAGTTTGAACTGATCAGTTGGAATGATCAGTTTAAATGACCGTGTGTGGCCACCATTATAGTAGTGTAAAGGTAAAAGTGATGATTTGTGTAGTGGTGTTGGGTTTAGTGGTAATAGTTATATAGGACACGCAATTAAGGATATGTCTTTTCAAACTGATTCATCATTTCAGTAACATTGTAGCGTTTTGCGACAATAGTATAGTATAGTCAATAGTATATAATAAAATAGTAATATAAGACAATAGTATAGTCACAGTATTATATTATAACCAACGTTATTATAGGGTTTCTAATTTCTATATTTGAAACGATTCGTTTTTTACGTGTTGTTTTGCAGAAAGGGAAGTGCATGAAATCCTCTTCTTTAAAACACAATATCGCTTCAAAAATTTATGAACCGTTTATTTTTTTTTCATTTTAGGTCATTCTATGTTGCTAAATAAATAGTTTATAATATAAACTATTTTAAAGAGCACCTTGTATTTAATAAAACGAATCGTTTCGGTAAACGAAACGTTAATTGAATATCACACTTTCCAGGCGGTTTGATGATCGCTGCACCAGACATCTTGCACCATTCACTCTGCTCCTCGTCATCAGTCGGAGTATTTGATGTCTGGCGTAATTCAGATAGTATACCACTATCTATAGGAAGCCTTAAGATTTTTTTAGTCGGCTCTTACGATACCTGTTAGACAAAATGAAGCGCGGGTCTCTCTTACGTGATGACGTATGAAAAATACTGAATTTAGCCTGCTTAACTTACAATTATCATCAAAGTCCTTATCTGGATCACCAGCGGGGACGATGTCGTCGAAACTGACGACGCGTCGCGAGTGCTTGTTGTCGAGCGGCACAACATCCGCCTCCTCGCCGAGGAGCTCGTGCAGCCGCGCCAGCACGAAACCCTCCGTGGGCTCGCGGACCCACACCAGCTGCTTGTCTAGCGTCATTGTAGCCTGCAATCAACATATTGAGTAAGAGTAAGGAAGAGCGAGTTCAAACAGCTTCGTCGATTTCGGTGCTGATGTATCATTGCCGATTTAGATTTACCATTACGACAATAAAATCAAATTACTAAAATAAATCCATTTCACACTGTATTGATGAGTCTATATACCAGAAATAAAAACCTAAGATTTGGTCAAGTGTGTTAGAACACTCATAAGGTATTCGTTATAATTTTGATCAAAAGTTCATTGGTGGCTACTTTATTTTGAGTTTAACTTAATATAACACAAGCCCCCACGCTTTTCTACTAGAGGGGTCGGCAGAGACTACAGATTTCCATTTGGTATCATCCCCTCTACATTCCTTTCTTGGTGCACACCTCTCTAGCTTCTTTCACATCACAAATGAACCAAAAGTTATAAATGAGAACCCAATTAGAAGAGTCTTTCCTCTTTTAATGATGTGAGATGATACAGCAAAAAATTAAAATCGGAACTCTTAAAAAATTGTTTGACTGAAGAACCTTGCAGTAAGGAAACGTGTATGTTCAATAGCGTATAAAATAATCTTTACGCAATCTTTAACAGGAAACATTGATTGATCTATAAATATAACATATATTATTAATAATATTCATGTTCCAAGTTTAATAAATAAATACATAACACGGCCGCTTTATGACATGTGATTTATATATATTTCTACAAAGAATGTATTCAATGGATGAAGAGCCTGGGTAGATAGGTACTTAGGAACCGGACGTTCGTCATGTTTTGCAGTACGTGTGGTTCACTCCCCGGTGCAAATATTTTGGACTTTGAAACATTGCTTTTTTTATAACATTTTATTTGAATCCTAGTTTTTACGAAAGGCTTGTTGTCGTTATTAATTATTATCATCAAAATCTTGTTTATATAACTCTTAATAGTAAAAATCTAATTAAACTTAAAACGGAAAGTGACCACGTTTTGTGACACTGCTAAAATACGCAATAGTCGTGTCCACATTGTGGCGAAGGCGCGGCGTAAGATCGACAGAGCGAAACTGAAATAGAAGACGTGCTGCATCATCCTCCTCAAAGCAATTTTCAGGAAGATGATGATGCAGTTGTTGTGGCCCATTGACATCTACATCTATCTTCGATCTGCTATTCTACGCTGGTATTCTGTGAGAGTGTGGTCCTTCCCCAGTCGAGCCGATCCATTCGTGCTTTTTATATAGGATAGGGTGACAAACGAGCACACAGTCCACCTGATGGTAAGTGGTTGCTGTGGCGCATAGACATCAACATCTATCCTCGATTATGAATCAAAATGCAGATGCATTGTCACCCGCAAGGACTAAGATGGAATGCCTTGTTTCCAGTAAAATGGGTCTCCGGTTCTCTACACTCACTGCTATTTTGCGCTGGTATTCTGTGAGAGCGTGGTTCTTCCCCGGTAGCGTCGACCCATTCGTGCTACATCTTTATGTTTTCATCATCGCCGAGCACGTGTTAATTAGGCACTTAAAACTGCATTTTATGTTTGTATTATATTCACACGTAACCCAGCCACGCGCGGAGAAACGCTCAATAAAGAAAACCTTAAAACATTGTTTAACACATAATTTTTCGTTACGTGTAATTACTGGAAACAAATCTAAAGAACGGTACTGGTGTGTTATTAACTCACTTTCGTGACGGTGGACTGTGTCTCGTGTTGTATTACATAACGGCGAGCATAAAACAGTAAGCGCGATACGAGGCGATACGGTGGGTGGGTGAGTGAACGGAAGCAACTGCTAAATAGGGGCGCATCTGGACGGAGTGTTACAATCCACTAACTCTATTATGACATTATACATATACGAACAAGTAAAAGTTAAAAAAGTAAAATTATAGCCAAAGTATTCTACGGCTTTTGTTTTCAGAAAGGGTTATAGAGAATGGAGAAACTACGACCGAGTAGTCAAGTAATTTAACATATTCATTGAGAGAAATTACATTTTGTTATTTAGACATAGATATTTAAATATTATATATGGATAAATAATTAATTATTGTTATAGATGGAGTGACGACCTGGTAAGAGATGCAGGAATTCCATGGATGCAGATGGTTTAGGACCGTGTTTTGCGACATTCCTTTGGGAAGGCCAGAGAAGGCCTGCGCTCAGCAGTGGACTTGTGAAAGGCTGTAAGGATGATGATTTAAATATTAACAAGCTAGCTAACAAGATAGTCAAGGTAAAGCTGTCAAAGTCGCAATCCTTGTTACCTATAGGCAACAAGTCGTTTAGTCTAGTGTAATATGAGACCACGAGAGGTCGTATTCGTGTACAATAACTTAGGCTAAAAATAAAATAATTTTCGAAGAAAACGAACCGAATTGTGCTCAATTTCTTCTAATTATTTTAATTGCGTGTTTTTGTTATTGAAACAGAAACGGAAACTTTTTTATTCAATATAGATTATAATTATAAACAGTACTTATTGAGTCACTTTTTTCATTTACCACTGGTTCGCAAAAAAAAAACCTCTGTCCTGGGAAAAAACAGCAAGAAACCCAGCGGGACTATTTTTTTTTCAAATAACACCTTACAATCATGTACGTTACAATTAACAACACAAAACAAATTAGAATAGTTTGGTAGCGATCATCCTTCGCAGGGGTTATTATCACCCGTAAATTCCTAAATATTATAATAACCTTTTTTATACAAACTTAGTTTAACAAAGTTTTTGAACTTTGTGTATGTCAAATTTTTTATATTTTCTGGGATTTTGTTGTAAAGGCGTATACATCACCCTAAGTATGAATTACAGACTCGGTGGAGTTGAGTAACTGGTACCACTAGCTTGTGACTGTTCCTAATATTTACAGAATGTATATCACTTATTTTTGCAAAACTACTTTAATTTTTTGTACGTACATTACATTTTCATAAATGTATTGAGAGTAGGGATGAAACGATACATAATTGTGCCGATACGATACCGATACCCTTATCGGTGGCTTAGTAGAAATGGAAAAAAAGAAAACAAGTAAATAATGAATCATTTTCTTTATTATGCATAAAAGTTACCTATATTTATCAGAGACTGAACCAATTGAGAAGGTTGAAAACCAAAATATCAAATCATAATTTCAATACAAAAATTTGAAAAATCAAATTTTGTATGTGATAAAAAACTAACCAAGAAATATTGTATTAAACTTTCGTAATTAACTAAAGCGTTAATTGAGAGGAAAGTAATAATTTCCTTACATTTTTGTCTGAGCGACTCCTTTGGTTTTAAATCATATATTGCTCTAATAGCCCACTTCTCTCTTCTCTCTATTAAAAGCTAGATAACGTTACTATAATACGAGTTCAAACTTTTTATATGACAATGTTTTCAATCACCGTTCTATACATCTTTGAATCTCTTTGAACTGAGATGAGAAAGTGAATAAAAACATTTATACCAAAAAACCCGAATCGCTTGCCAAAGTACTGTCAAGTACCGTTAAATCACTCCGCGAAACAAGAGCAAGAGTTTTGTAATGACCGTTCAAAAACTCTACACTAAAATTTAATTGCCCTGTTATAAACACGACAACATAAAAACCTATTGGATAACAGGAAGTGTAATGTTGTCTGCAGTAAGAGAAATTTTATAGACGTTATACTAGGTCAAGCACGTTGCGATTGTTACTTTGGTTCTATTCGGTCATATACCTACAAACAGACTATAAACAAATTTACACGATAATTAATTACGATCGACCAGTGCTATTTACCATCTATATCAAGGACTTCATCGCTACTCACCACCAGGTGGGATTATGGTCAAGCATTGGCTATAGTATGTAAAAGAAATCTATTTCTTTACAGTTAGAATTAGTTTATGGATCAAATTGGCCGATATATTAAAGATAAGTGTTTACCAAATTAAGAGTACTCTTAACTGAGGAGCATGTATGATTAGATAAATGGATTAAGGATGTAAAAGAAGCAAGAAAGAGAAAGAGAGAGAGAGAGCATTGTGCCAAATAGAAGTCTGTAACCTCTGCCTACCCCTTTGAGTGACAGGCGTGAGAGTTTACATATATTATGTATATTATAGTTAGAAATTGTTTGCGTATTGAAATACTAGCAACCTATGTGTTATGTATAAATTTCTCACAACAGTGAGTTTTAATGATTTCCCAGCAGGTTTCGTTTTAAATTAATTTATCATTTACAAATAATTGAATAAAAAAGTAGAAATTATATCGTGTACGTAAAACACTAACGTTTGTAATAATTAATTCTACCATCTAGTGAAATTTAGTAACCGTAGACGTAGAATATGACTAACGAATTATTTAAAGGAGTAAGCATATGAATATGATAGAATTATATATATATAGTACTACAAAAATATATATATATATATATATATATATATATATATATATATATATATATATATATATATCTAGGGGAATGTACGTGTAAAACAAAAAAGTAAAGACAGCGAATACTATACTATGCCAAAGTAAACGACAACCCCCCCCCCCTAAAAAAAAAATTTAAATTAAATAATTGCACTCAATATTTATTTTGTGCTAGACAAAAATATTAAAAAAATAGAGATTATAAAACAATGTAACAAAAATTAATACCGTCGGTATAAACCAGGTCGACGAAATTGCACCGAAGAAGCATGGGAAAAGCGAAAATTTAAAGAACGCAATACGACTGTAGCGTAAATAAACGCCGACATGCAAATTACACGGCCCAGCCGCGGGGATCCAATGAGAAAGGCTAATGAGGGCATGATGGCTTTTAAATTGTGTTCGGCTTAATAGATACCGCATTGTGCTTTATGAGAAACGATACAACATAAAAGAATTTGCGTTAGATGTATATATTACGGTGCAAGCTACCACCTCATATAACTCCGTCCGTGTCGAGCCGTGGGTGTCGGTTAGAGGCGACAAAGCAGAACTAAGGCGGGAGATTGGCAGTAGCATTTTCCTGATAACTACTTAAAA